TTCGATTATGCATATGACATGTCAAATCCACAAAAAATGTTTCCCGCCAATATAAAAAATTGTTGAATATTTGTTTTGTTAATATTTACGCTACACTCGCGTGTTTTTAAGCTTTTTAATGTTTGGTGAGCGTTATTATTGTTATGTTTGCTTTCGGCGATGCATTAACGTTAGTTAGAGTTATTCGCAAGCGGTTTCTAAGAGCCAGCCGGAAATGGAACACAAAATTAAATAAAAGAAGAGTGCAGCACGCCCGGCCTGGTATATTAAAAGTTTATTAAAAACGCGCCGACGGCTGCTCCCATTCCAGTTAAAGCGCAATAATATTCATAACATTCCTACGCTTATGCGCAATTTCTGCATTTCTATGCGTTTTGCAGTTTGCTTTTGAAATGCCCGGAAACGCAAAAAAATCGCACGCAAAGAATTTAATTTGAAACGCGATTACGCGTTAAGATAAAGTATTTTCCTGTTTTTCATAAACTTAAAATTAGTTTCAACTTATTTTTTTTATAAATATAATACAAAATATTTATGCGGTTGCATAGTTGGCATGTAAATTCAATTTAAATTGGCTGGTGTGTCGCTTGTCAGTTCGATATTCCTAGGTCAATATTGAATCGTTTCCACGTCGGACGACAGATGGAAAAATTAAATAGCAAACGCGGCGGAGGACGAAAATTAAATAGAAAATAATGAGAAAGCGCCCGTCGGGCAAACACTGCAAGTGACAACACAATAATTGCCTGCCTGCCACGCCGAATAGCGTCTCCCCGAACGTCTGGAAACAAATTCCGGAAAACAGAAAACGTAATGAATTCTTCCAATTTAAGATTTCAATTAACACTTACAATTACAAATTACAATTATGCCACACGCACAGGCAAACCGCTCCCACGTTCTCCGTATTTGCGAAAAGAAGAAACCGAATGAAAGAAAACGCGCGGAAATGGAAGCTGGAGATAACGACATATTTCCAACACAAACACGCCGTAATAAAGTACGGGAAAATTAGAGAGAATTGCTAACCGCGCCAAGGCAAACACAAAACAGGTTGGTAAAACTCAGTCGTCCAAAAATTCACAAAATACGAAAACATGCCGAAACATCAACGCCGGAGCGTTGCAAGTGACTTTCCGCCTTCCTAAGATCGCGGAAATGGAAATATAGGTGAAGTACGTGCTTTCCCAGACAAAGCTCACGCGCGCCACTCGTCGACTCGTGTCAACCGCAACCGAACATAACCAAAAGTCAACATGGCGTACGCGCGCACTCCTCGAGAAAAATAAATTTCCTTTGTTTGGAGCGCCCTGCCGAATGTTGTTCCACATCACACGAAACAATGCAATTGTAAATATACTTACGCAAACACTCGGTATACTATTGCCTTTGTGTAGTGAGTAAATACTACGCGCTATGAGTTTACTTAGCTGCTGCTTGTTGAATCTTGTGAAATGGAATTTGCGAACTCACCTGCAACAAAAATTCGAAATTAGTTTGAAACGGCAGGCGCGCACATTTCGTGCAAATTAGTTGCGTTCGTCGGTGTGCCAGCGCTGCGGTGACATTCGTGCCTGTGCGAAGAAACGTTAGCGTGACGTGTGCTTGACTAGAAGCATTTTGGATGTGACTTAAGTATTAAGTAGGTATAACAGTGACAGAAGTAGTACAAATAGATACAAAGCATTAGATATTAGACATTAGACATTTTATATTGTTTCTGAAACACCCTGTATGATATTATAGCTTATTTAGCTGTCAAACTCGTTTTTTCTTTTCCTGTCTCTAACAATTAATCCATCATCTGCGATAACGCGACGTGTGTTCGATTTGAGGTTAGACTTTTAGGTTAGTGATTAAACAAAAAATCCAAGGTTACCCTTCGTCTTTTCCTCATTCTCCTCCTTCTTTTAGGAGACAAACGATTCGCAGTGTCTAGAACAGCGTTCGGAAGTATATCGTCGCGCGCCGGGTAAAAGAAGGGGATGCGGAAAGTACTGGTGAGGGTAAAAGAGGATGGTTTTCCCTTTCGATCAATTTCGTTCGTTCAGCGGCGCTCCGGCGCCATCAAACCCTCTCGAGTATACTCGCAGGCGTCGAATAGTGCCAATCCTGATATTTTCGTCTAGCGTAGTATACGAAAAAAAAACCGTTAAAAAATCACTCGTTTGAGGTTCGACGCTTGCTTTTAGAACAAAAAAGGCGGGGAAAAATTATCGAAAAAATGACACGGTTACACTAACCCCGATATATGTACGCTATCGTATACTTTTGATGTTGTCTCTGATAGTGTCAATATTGTTAGCTTTTTTTATGCGCTTTGTACTAAGAGTAAGAATAATATTCTTTTGTGAAATGCGTGAAAGGAGTGTTGGTTTAGGTTAGCGCCTAAACTTTGAGTCCTTCGATTCTTTCGGCTCGCAGTTCTTTAGAAATTCTTGCCGGCGCTGCGGAATTTCCCAAAACGGTAATTTAATGCTCCGAAGGCGCGCGCGTTGGAGCGTGCGTCGGTGATGTCTTATGTGCTCCTTGGGTACTGTGATCATAATCCTAGCCGCATGCGGTGTATTGACATTGACCCGACCTGCTTCGACCATCTTAAAGTGGTCTATAAGTCAATAATTTTTATTTTTAACAAAAAAACGAATTTACTTTAAAAATTTGTCTAAAATGCAAATAAAAATTTTATCTAATGAATTTTTCGGTTTATTTTTTCTATACGCACGATTTAAACGCAAATTTATGGTCGGAATATTTTTATTTTTCTTTTTCGTATATTTTTCATTCATTTCAAGCTTTCAAGCGGCTCAAAATTCCACTTTATACAATTTTTTTTCTGCGGTCTGTCGAAAAATGCAAGGCAACATATTTTTATTTCTTCCGCCGCGTAATTTATACGTTTATACACTGTTATTTTTATTTTCATTCTATACGTAGTGTTTTTTATTCATATTTATATTTATTTTTGGAATCATAAACAAATCCGACGCGTAAAATTCATAATAATGTGATTGACAAATATTCAAACTTCTTGCGCGTGTGGATTTTACATTCACAACTGTCAAGAATAACAATTGAAAATCCCCAATCCACAACCAACAATCTGCAGTAACAAGCAGGTGATAAAACACTAAATGCGACACGACGATTCTTTCTCGTCGAAAGTTTTCCCTCACTCTGCGCAAAAGAATAAGCGGATTTCTTTCATAAAACCAAGGGAATCACACGCCATTGTTGCAGACATCGCGCGCAGAACAATAACCGACTAGACGCCCGTCCGTCGAAGCTTCAAAGACAGTTGAAGGGAGAATCGTGCGCCGACGAACGGCAAACGATTCTAATAACGACGAGCGTCTTACGGTCGGCATTACGGTCGGCTTAGTCTTAGTCCTTTTGCGGACGGAATCACGGTCGAGTTGCGACCAACTTCGCAACGAGTGCATCAAAATAAAATTATTGCCAACCAAATTTTTTTTTATATAACTTATCTTTTCAAATCACCATTAAAGCTCGCAGCTAGCGCGCGTTTGCATAACGTGTTTTTTCCACGTCTTGTTATTCGGCGAAAAAATTAAGTCTACGGGGAATCCGACGCGTAATAAGAAAGAAAACGCCGGGATTACGTTACGGGCCCCGGATGCCCGGATTAAAAGGACAACGACATTCCGGTCGGCGTAACACGAGTCAGGACGTCGCATCGTCAACGAGTCGTCGACCGGGCCCGGTTGCGAACGTGACGAGACCGCGCCGCGCCGTCGACAATAAAGTAATAATAAAGCAATTTTCCATTTGGCCGTTTTCACCGTTTTTCTCGTCGAGGACATTGTCGCAGAGCGTTTTCTTCCTCATCTCCAGATTAAAACGCAGAGTAAAGCAGCGTGAGGACGTTATTTTTACATTAGATAATAGACAGTGAGCAAGAATTACAATACAGGGTGTTTCATACATGTTTTCACATTGAAGGTATACATTCACACTGGCTAAAAAAGAATATAGAGATTATTGCACACAGTATAGATTACGAAATTTGCGTATCATATTACTTTGCATATCTAAGAAAAAATGGATTCGTGTGAGCGGGTTGTAATCGTAACATGACAAAAGTAAGTCATCTAGAGAAGCCAGAAAAACACAACTACGTTCATCGATATATAAATTGTATAATCACAAAATTCGGTACTAATTAGCGTCATCTAAGTTCAAAGTTCATTACTGTGCCATTGAGAAAACAAAAATTTAAAAAAAAACACAAAAAAAAAACAACTAAATAAATAAGCACGAGTAAGATGTTTATTTGGAATTGTGTGCAATCACTCTAAAGTCTCAATCTCAAGCAGTTCGACTACGTCTGATGAGAGAAGAAGCAATAGAGAAGGCACAGCTACTAAAACACAGATGGCGCTACTTGTGGTACCATATGTGTGTTAGTAGAAGAGGCACCTATCGAGTGATATGTTTTTTGATTTGTTGATGTTTGAAAAAGGCGAATCACTGAAACTGAAAGCGAGAATCACTCGAAGGCAATGAAAAACAAAGATCAAACGGAGGAAAATCAGAGTCGAAAACAAAACATGTGTGAGTAAGTGACCAGCAAATACACTAGGTGTTTAGTTTCACTACTGCTAAAACGGTATTCGGCTCTAATTGGTATCACTAGGTATAAGCACGTAAGCCCATCGGGTAAGCTCCAGCGCTCCTTCACTCAAAAGTGCACTCGAAAATTGAATTTTGGAGTGAAACAAGTTTTCATTGAGATTTTTTGTTTTTATTTCAAAAATAAAAAATTATTTTTTTGTTTCTAGTGTAATAGTTAAAGAGTGTTTTAGTTATTTTTTGTCTTAATGAAAACTTTGAAACTTTGGTCGGCTATTGTTTGTTTAGTAATTAAATTAAATTACTTTTTTTTTTTTGTTTTTGCTCTTTCGACTAAAGTTTTTTTTTCGAACTTTTGGTACTGATTAAAGCTGTTTTTTTGCTTTTCGGCTCTCTAAACAACTCACCCTCGTCTGGGGTATGCACACCCCTTCGGCGCCCGCCACGATCCCGTTGTCGCACTGCAACAGCACATGGTTATGGTTGGCAAATAGGTGTCATTTCGACAAACTCTCTAACCTAGATTCACTTTTTGCAAGAGAAGGCGAAACATGTTCAAGTTAGAAATTCACAAAATTAAGTGCAAGAGAAAAACATTTTTTATATAAATTTGCTGGAAAAAAAGCGGTGCCGGATGTTTCTAGATGTGCTGCTAGACAATTAAATGTGCTGAAAATAATTTCAAATTATATTTTTCAAAGTGCAAATACAAAAATTGATTAAATTATTTTTGAAACACCCAGTATAACATTTTTGTATTCCGGAATAAATGTTGCGCTTTCTAAGCCTATTTTTGTATATTTCAAAAACCAGCGCCATTTTATGCGAATAGAATTTTTCTCCCTCTGCTTTGAAAATGAACGGAAAACCGGAAAACTCGGAAAACTGTGTTGGCATCGTTCCGTTTGTCTTTTTGCATCGCGATTTGTATTCGGGTCGCGCGTTCTGCGTCGGGGTATTGCGGACGTTTCGCGCTCGACCAACTTTTCCCCTTTCGCCCGAACCCCACGTCTTTGATACAATTTTGATACTGCTAGTTATACTTTTCGGCGGTTTCACAATGAAAACGAGAAGACCAAGGACCAAGCACCAAAGAACCCACCAAGCAGTTCTTATTGATTTAGATTTAAAGGATTGCCGGAGATTTCCTTCTATTCAAGGTTATGTTTTATTAAAATTTAAAATTTCACCGTTAGATGGCGCGCGTAGATAAATACAACTTTATTACTTTATTGATTATTGTTCTGTTTTCTGGAAAGATACTTACGTTGAAAATTGTGTTAGTTTTGCTCGTTAGTTGGATTTTGATTCGTCCTCCTTCAACGAGGACGAAAGTTCAAGCACCCGCGCCATCATTACATTACATTAAAACGCAATTGTCTGTTCTGAATAACGATTATCCTTTTCGCATACCATGTGTTTTGCTTCAACTCAACTCTTTGTAATAAATTGCGAATCGCTGCGTTTGCAAAATTTTGTGCAAAATGCGCAGAAACGCGACAACGATATCAATTAAAACTTTGACCTCTACCACTCTGCTGGCGGTGTAACTTTGCGCCGTGCTGCATTTGTAACTTTTTAATGGTCATTTAATACTTGCCAAAACACACGTACATCGCAGCTCAGGTCAGACATTTCGTGTTGTAGCAATAATACAGTCGCGGGATGCAGTCGGATGAGATTATAATTTAAGTTTGCCAAACGCGAAATGCGAGTTCATATTGAAATCGTCGAAATGAGGTGAAGAGGCTGCAATTATTATGCAGCCGAATGGAACTTTGTTACGCTCACATCGTCATGGGACTTATCTTTACCTCACAAACATTTAGAAACTGCTATGAATATTGATCTGCTGATAAAACTATTCATTTTGGAAGGTTTACATGAATAATGTATTAAAAATCATGTGCGCTAAACAGGACTTTAGTCACGATATTATTTAAACACGAGCGGAAGCTTCGCACATTACTGTGCGCATGCGCAAGCTCAACCTCGTGACTAAAGTACTTTAGTTACGTTTTTTGCCGTCCGTGACTAAAATATCACTTTTCTGGTAACAAAAAAGAAGAAATGTGATTTTCTCAAGGTTTCCACTAATAGTATATTAAATATCAAGTGCGTTAAACGAAATTTTAGTAACAAGTCAGCAAAAATTTAATAAACGGAGTGTTTTAACAACTGCACCGAAGGCGTGATTAATATGTCACTTTTCAGACCCCAAAACCGTAGAAAAAGAAGTAAAAGTAGAAAAAAACTATTATTGCACTGAAATTAATTGATTGCATGTATAAAAAGTAAATAATCTTGATAATGCTTTTTAAATGACAAGATGGCGTCGCATTCAATTTAAAACTCATAATCAAAGTCGGTGCCAACTCGCATTATTTTTCACCGCTGGGCGTGTGGGCCATAAATGAAGAAAATACATAAATTTCTCCATTAATTTAATGGAAGACATAAAACACGTATTATAACAGCGCGAGCGATATTATAATCGAACTCTGGGCCGCAATTTGTCCCACCTCAACAGTGAAACGGCCGCCGCCCCCCGCCCCCCATTACACGTCAATATTTGATGCGTACATTAGCAGCGATAATGTCTGCGTATTTATTATATTTTTCCAAACATCCAGCAACAACAACAATAGCGGATTATAGGTAGCCATGTCGAAATCGATTTCCGGTCGATTTTCCTGTTGTGCTCGACATGAAATAACAATAATAACAATGATAGGTACTTAATACATTTCATGTATTTATTTATGATAGCAGCGACAATAATTACCTATTAATGCATGGGTAACAGTTGTTTTAAACATTTTCATATTATTTATTCCCGTCGGTTGAACTTCCATCAACTTTACACAAACTTTTTCTATTTTCTCTAATGTTATGTATGAAAGTTTTAGATCTAATGCACTTTGAAGTAACTTTCTTCCATAATGTTTTCTAAACGAGGTCAGGATAATTTTTTATTTAGATTCACGCCATCTGAACTTTTCAATAATTCGTAAAATGTTGAATTTTGAATAATCCAATTATATCTTTGCAAATTTTCGTGTTTTTTCGGAAACAAATTTGTTAATCAAAATACGCTCATGAATAAATATACCTGGATGGGTTGAGGCGAGTGCAAATTCGAATTGTAATTGAAAAAAAAAAGAAATACGAAGAAGTGAGGGTAGGTGTACATTTTCGATCGGTGAACTCGTCGTAACAAGCTTACGTCGCTTCCAACACAACACTTTTGTGTTGTATAAGTGTAATGTACACGACGTTTTGTATTAGCTTGAGGTATTGGAGGCGGCAACCGTGGCGGCGGCAGGTTGAAGGATGGTGTGATGTCGCGTGCGCGTGTTTTCGAAATTTCTTCACATTAGCGAGCAGAGAATAGAAATTTGAATTATACGAATTATGTAAGCATATGAATAATAGGTTATGTTAGGTTAGGAAATATTTCATATAGAAAATGTAACTATAAAGCGTATTTTTGATTTTCTTTTGGGAAAATTTTTGTTTTAAGTTGGCAGCACTGTGATATCAAACAGAGAAAAAATATCAACAGATATTTTGTGTTGGTGCTTTTTAATGGTGAGTTGGCAACACTGTTTAAAACTCGGATTTCAGAACAGAGAAAAAAATTTGAATTATACGCTACGAATTATGTATATAAATTAAGTTAGGTTAGGTTACATTATCATTAATACAGAAAATGTAATTGAAAATTTTAATTTTTATTTTTAGTGGATTTTATTGTTTTAAGTTGGCACCGCTAATTAATTCGTTTTAGGGACTTTTGTGTTGGTGTTCTGGTGAGTTGGCAACAATCACAGTTGGCAGTATTGTGTAGTCGCTCGGCAGCCATTGTTCTTGGAGCGCAAGTCGTCGATTTATTTCGCGCTCGCTTATTTATCGCGAATTCGCTTGGTCGTCCGCCCGACTCTTGGAGGAAATGCGCTCTCGTCGGCGCGCGTATTGTGCGTTTCGGTTGCTTATCCGCCATCCGGCCCGCAGCTCTCGCTTTAATGTATTATGTATAATCGCGGCCCACAGCGCGTGATACAACTTTCATGTATAATTCAATGGCTTCTTCGCCGACGGCGGCATTCGACGTGAAAGCAGCGTGAAAAAACATTTCATGCGATAACCTGCGCGCTAATCTAAGCTGCTTTCGCTTGAAATTTTCGATGTTTTACCTCCAACGCACGACGCCATTTTAATAGCGTTGCCGCCATTTTGGTAGTTGTAAAAGAGAATGGTAACAAAAGTTTAAAAATAAACATATTTTTCTACAGCGGCCACAATAATAAAACGAGGCGTAAAAATTTACATGCATATATAAGAAAGGGAAGCGGGGGCGGCACAATAGAGGAAAATAAAAAATAAAAGAAAACACTGCGATCGCCGATAAGAAGCTTTTGTGATTTACGATTTTCCTTCGCGGCGCGCCTCTCGTTAGAGCGCTTTTTTTTGCTCAACGCAACCATTTGCATTTTTCCTGTTTCGCATTCAGTTTCGTTTTTGTCGCTCGTCGTGGTGGTGGAAATTAGTCCGCGTCCAATTACCGTTCGACGTTTGTTCATTCATGAGATTTTCATAATTTTCTTTTTATTTCCACAGCGTTTTTTTACTACAAACGAGTTAAATTAAACAAGTTTTTCCCAGAAGAATCGATCAATCGTATGCAACCACATTTACACATAAAGAATAAGTCGTAACTCCTAACAAAATTAGATTTTTTTTCAAAATGGCAGAATTTGTATGTTTTGTTGTAAATATTTTATATCCGCGAATTTTTTCGACATGTTTGCATATTTTCTAATAATAAAAGCGGGTTTCCTTTAGTCCTACAAAGGACTGCGCCGCCTTCGTGTTGCGGGCTATCGTTGTGCTTTTCATTTTTGATTTATAGTCTTGCTTCGCAGTCATTTGCATGTTACTTCACTTTGCTCGCACATAAACATGACTTTTATTCCGGGGCTGCTCTAACGTTATTTTCAACCCTTTTGAATTCATAAACTCAGTTTGTTTAACGTAAACGCAAAAACTGCTTGTAAATCAACAAAAATCAACAAAAACCAACAAAAAACTTTAATTTTTTACATTACTTGAGTAAATATACATATTGCGCATGTCAATAGCTCTCAGCAGTGATGATATGTGGGTTGCCAACATTTTATAACCTCAAAATACTAAAATATAATACGCTTCCAGTATAAAAATGCGCGCAATAAAGCGGGCAGTAAACAAATTTAGTAAAAATAGAAAATGTCAACGCGGTGGCGCAAGTTAACGCGACCATAAAACTTTCGGCCACCCACGCGAACAAATCACGGTCAACGTCTCTATTTAACGCTTTGCACCTTTTTCACCCCGTCACTTTTTATTTAATTTCTGCGTGCGTTTTTCTGTTTTTCTTTCTGTGGTTTTGCGCCACTGGCCACTGTAATTATTACCTCAACACATTGTCGCATTCATTTCCATGTCGACAACATATTTGCTTTTCACCTTGATAATTACTTCCTCCACCCAAAAAAAAAATCACAAAATAATCTTATGTTTACACATCGCATATTTGAACACATTGTATATAAGATTGATTTTCCCGATCATAAACGACCTAAATTTAGCCGCTGGCCTCGTGGTAAATTTAAACAAAAAACTTGAAGCATATTAATTTCATTTCATTGAGGAAACGAGTTTAGGAGTGGGGGCGGCGGCGTGGTCGTATTCATGTTTTCTCGCTTAAACCACCCCCTGTCTCAGTCGACCATCGACGTTATTTTTAATAATTAATAAAGATTTTCATTCAGTGTTCCGTGCACGTCCACGCCGCGCTCGCTTTTCACTTTGAAGTCGCTTATTTTCATCGGCGGACCGACCCGCCCCTCATTCCCCCTTTCAGGCAACCCCTCCATTCTATTAGCTTATTAATTATAAAACGTGGGGGAGCTAAATTTATGCTCGAGCCGTGGTGCGATTAAAAATAAATGCGCGCTCTTCGACACGTGAATGACACGCGACAAACTCCCTCTAGCGGACGAAATAATTCACAACGGATGTGACGACATTCAAATTGAGAGCTATTCAAATGGGTAGCTCATAAATTTTTCCTCAAAAAACAATTTGTACAATAAATGTTTTATTTTACACACTCGTTGTTATTGATTGTTTGATAGGTTCTAGTTTTTATAGTAATTATAAATTAGCATTTTCTAAATTGTATTTTTAATTAATGGCAATGGCGGCACGTGTCATTCCTTAGCATATGCAAATTGTTAATTTACGTTCGTCGAGTTGGTTAAATAATCGTGCGAGCGGCATTTTTCAGCGTTTTGCGTAATTACAGCCTTGCGCGGCGGGCGGCGGCGGCATAATGGCGCAGTTGCATGTCGTTTCAATCATCCCCTTCACCCCCTTTGCATCCCTTCATCCACCGCATCATCCCTTCGCTTGTTTTTTACATTTCATGCGATAATTATATATTTTCTACATTTCATCGTCTATTTAACACGATTATACTGAGTGTTTCATTAATTTAAAACATTTATTATAAAAAAAAATAACTTACCCTATGATCCTTTGGTCGCGTCTCTTGCCGTCGTGGTAAACCACCCTCTTGATCCGCATAGACCAGATTCCGAATGGATCCGATGAAGCGCGGCTCGAAGATGACGCTCGGCAGCGCGAGTAAGGTGAGCTTGGTATTGTACCACGTCGGCATGCCGCCGACGAAGACATCAGAGTTAGTCGAGAAGCGGCCGAATGTGAAGTCTTTACCACGCGATGTACGCACTTGTGACTGTCCATCGACAGCCAGCGTGGTGCGTTCCTCGTGCCGCTGCACGTGCACCTTGTGCCAATGGCGGTCGTTGAGATCGCGGCCTACGGTGATGATCTGCGCGCCGCCGCCGAGATTATATCGCAGCCGCAGCGCGCCTTCGACCAGCTTGATCTCGAAAAAGTCATACGTGCCACCATCATCGGTGTATAACAATAGGCCATTCGGCTGTTCGGTTTTGAACTCAAACTCTAGACTGCCGTTGATGCCGCCGCCCCACTTGCGGAACTGCGAGTATGAATTGGTTGCGCCGTCCAGCAGGAAACCCGACGCTGTGAATGCTAGCATTGCAAGCGCCGTCAGCGCCGACAATAATTTTCTACACATTTTCATTTAAAAGCGGAAAAAGAAGTTGAATTTAAAGAGGAAAATTATTTAAACACAAAACGCGCACGCGCACTGAATTTTATCATTTTTTTGGTTTGATGTCTTTTTTATTTATTCATCAGCACATGTTTGTAGTTTTTGTAACGCCCTGTAGGCTCATTGATGACCTGGAAAAGAAATTAAACAAAAAGGTTAAACATGTTGTTAGTTTTGTTTATTTTGATGATTCGTTGTGAAAATAATTTTTGTGATGCTGTGTGGAAATTCGCGCGCCTCATCGACCCGTTGCAGTGCGCGACGCGGAGATGTGAGAAAATAAACTCGGTGGCGGCGGTGGTAAGCGCTGAATTTTCCGGCGGCGGCCGAATTTTCCGACACACTCGCGCACACACAGGCGCGGCGTCAAGGTGCACACGGACATCCGAATACGTCGATTTTCAAGGTGACGACCAAAATGCTATCTCTATGCGTCCACATCAATATCACCCAATTGCGCAAATATTACCGATGTAAATATTGTTAAAACCAACTAACCTTAATGTAACGGTAATAAAATAATCCAATATTTGTGTCTGATGCGAATTGTTTATCCTGTCCGATATTCGCTTGTTAAAATGGCTGCACTGCACTGCAATCGACACGAACGCGTTGTGGATAAGAACGACGCGAGACAACTCACGGCACGTTATTGTTGAGATATATTGTTGCTAGATTTGCGCACAAACGACGGGCGTTTGACGTCTTCGGGGCTCGCACAGCAACGTCGGGGTCGCACTGCCGCCGCCGAGTTCCGCGACGCACCATCGCCGAACAACGCGCTCGGGGAGCATCGACTGCGGTCGTTACTGGGACGGTGCGCGCAGCACGCGCATGCGCATTGTGGTACTCCTGCATGCGGACAGATTCGACTAGCGCTACGGCAGCGAAAAGAGGCGGAAAGCGGAAAACGGATAACGGAAAGGATAACACGAGGGGTGAAAAGATGAAAGCCTGTCGCGATGTGCATGTGAGTAATAAGCTAAGTTTTTAATTGATGTCAAATTATATATGCAATAGTATTTACAACACAAAGAAAACATTTAAAAATACAAAAATTTAAATTAAAAATTTTAACGTTTTATATTTTAGGTTGTAAAATAAAATAAAGTACCTCAGGGGTGTTTTTCTCAAAGTTTCGAACAGTATTACAACTTGTGAGGTTGTTATTTTAATATTAACATATTATTAAAACATTGTTTCGGTTATCCGCCCACTTCAGACACATTGTAAACTCGTTGAATTACACGGGGGCGGCAATGATGAACATGTCATCCGTGACGTAGCGTGGGATGCGCTCAAATAACTGGATAAAATTGTATAAAGTTTCATATCTCGTGGGCGTGCGATCGTTATTGTTTCACCTTTACGCAAATTTTACTCCAGGCATTCAAATATTAATTCATCTGCTGTATAATATAATATAATATTTTATTTCAGAGTATAATACAATAGATGGCAGTGATTTCTTGATCATTTCGCGATTGAAAAGCGCGCAGAAAAAATCAAAATTAAATAACGCGCGTCGGTGAAAGCTTTGCAGCTTTACGCGGCACACATTCGGGAATAATCTTCCGTGGCGTTGATACTCTCTGCCCTCTTTGCCGCCTCCGTAGTCACTCGGCGCAAACGGCGTGCTTTATGAGGATAAAAGTATTTGCGCGTCTTTGCGTCGCGTTCCATACATTCATGCCGCGGCGTTTCGCGTTTTCAGTTTTGAGTTTCACTTTGCTGCACGTTCACGCCACCACCGCCACTGCCACCCCCAGCCAGCATCCGGATCGTGTGCATTTGCTAACTTTAGCGTTGCAGATAAAACGCGATGATAAAACGAAACAAGCCACTGTAAACGTGTAAACTCCTTTTCGCGATGTGAGTGTGTGGGCGGTTGGACGGGGGCGGCGTGTAGATAAAAAATATAAAGAAGCCGTGCCGGGGTCGTCGTTGCGTAATTCCCTAGCGACGCGCGAGAAAAATTATATTTCGCTGCGGGCTGTAAACGTTGATGGATACGCGCGGATAAAACCGGATGTGATAACAAATCGAACAACTACAACAACTGCAACACACACAGTTATCCGCTGAAACAATTTGCACATATACATTTTAATGTACACGTTTTTTAAATCATTTTTTTTAATATAAAAAATTATTTTGTTGAATTGTGGGGAATAGTTGAGTTTTAGAAAAAAATGTAAAAGTCATAAAATGATGGATCACGACGCGTGTAATACACTACGTGACCCGCCATAATAAGCATGGCTGCCTCGCCGGCAGTACATAACCTATTTTCAGCGCTTCCTGCGGGTGCGCACGAGAGAAAATTGCAGCTTTGACATTGTGCACCTTTTCGATCAATCATGAAACTTTCAGGGAAAGAAATTTTGATTGTATTAGACTCCATAAAGTTTTTCTATGATCAAAATAAACTAAACTAAAAAAGTCTAAAAGTGGTATTTTATTTATTTTTGTAAAATTTGATGAAAACAGGATTCACTCGCGGCTGGTGTTTGTAGCATCAAATGACTTATTAATATCAAACGTGTATTTAACTTAAAGCCACTTATGTTCGAGTTGTAAACTTTTGCGTTGCATCAGACCCGACGATTGTGTTCTGCGGTGGAGAATCTACATCGTGCTGAAATCTTGTCAGAGACCCAAAGCCTCTCTACCTAACTTTGCTCAACACTTGTGTGTGAAAATAAACAAATCGCTTAAAATGTAAATAAATGCATTTTAAGATGTAAAAAAAAAACGTTAATATAGCGCCATCTATGAGTGAATTATTCAACTGAAATTATGATGAAATCACTATATAAACTTTAAACCCGTATTTAACACTCTGTAAATGACATTTCACGTTATATTAATAATTATTCTCTTATTCTAGACAAAAACAAATCTAATACAACTTAAATAATTAAAATCCGTCCAATAGTTCTTGAGTTATAAGAGATGTAACTAACAAAATTTAATTTTAGGTATAATAAAATGTATCTCGTTATGAATAATTATTTATATGATGCTATGATGAGTGTCTCTTTGCTGAATCGAACATTTGAGAGTTTCTCAGTTCGGAAACAGTCGTGAACCGAGAAGTTTACGAGTCGTTAGTTGTTCCCCCGTTCCTCGCATGTCTTCACATTCTCCTGTGTCGTGCATCATCATCGTTTGCGGACACAATTCAACAAACGCGAGTTCTACTTGTGCTTCTAGTTCAATAGTTCACTTGTGTATTCAAATCTTTGGTCATAGCGTTTTGCCGTGTTTGTCGAAGTTGAAACTTATCGTTATGCCCTGCGAGGATGTTCGGAGATTTGCAAAGTTGGCAGCACTGACGTCATAAAATACAAGATGGCCGCCCGCAACTAAACTTAGACTATTTCAATGCGATTCAAGATACTCGTAGATAAATACAGTTATATTCTGGTATATTCGGTTGCCTATATTACACAGGATGTGTTTTTTTATTTGTATCGTCTTGTTGAGTGCCTTTGCAAGCATTAATACGATTTGCATTAGCGCGCGCCGAGCGGAAATTCAATTTTTGTTAAATTGGTTCACTCCAGTTGAGTGTGGCGCGTTTATTACTGATGCAACGCGCTTCTATTGCTTGTGTTTCGACATTTTAACATTTTCACTTTTTAACTCGCCGCGTGTAATTGCATTAAGCGGCTGAGTGCTGCTGGAAATGTGGTTATGTAAAAGGATGATGCGATTACTAATAGCTTTCAAAATGGCGTCTTAAAATAGTTTCGTCTAATTGTAATCGCATTCGCTTGATAATAGTTTGAGACTATGACAATTGCACAGCACAAAATTGTTTTGTCATTTTTGGTGGATATTGTCGTAAGTTTTCTCCGGAAGGGAGACTTTCGTGCACACGCCGCGGGCGCGTGCATCTGATCCAAAGTTGCGTTAAGTCTTCAGGACAATTTAAAAGTTGAAATGAAGTTTGCACGCCGACAAAATGCACATTGCACGCTCCAAGCGAATTTACAACCTGAACTTTTATTTTATTTTCTTGTTTCTTACAAAAGAATGTAATAATAGAAACAACTGAGTTTCATAGAATTTGATAATGAAACTACCTTGTACAAAATGGCCGCCCGAATATTTTTTACTAAGAAATTATTTTATGCAAGACCCGAAAATATAAACTCTCAACTTGAAAAATTCCTTGAATATTATTCTTAGGTCCTTCTTTTATTATGTCGTCTCGTCTCGCAATCGTCATGAGACTCTCTCCGAGAGTGCTTTGCGGCTTCTTCTCCTTACATACACAACAATTTTCCATCATCCCCTCGAGCGTGAACACGAACAACACCCGTCGCCGCTTCATGCACGTTTGGTTGCCTACACTTATTCTCGCTTTCCCTCCCATCGTATTGGTATGCATTGTAATCTATTAGAATATAGGTTATGTCTGCGTGTGTTGTGTGTGTGGGAAGTTTGGAGACGCAGTCGTATGTTTTGCACAAGAGTTGTGAATGTTATGGCTTCTATTTACTCGCGAACGTTCTTGCTTATTTCGCACGTTCCAATTTGCGTTCGAGGGGCGCATGCTGGAGCTGGGATGTTGGCAAGACGCATTATTCGACGGTTTTGACGCGTGCCTCACGTACGCGACAACAAATCTTCCGTAAATTGATTTCCGCATATTTTCTTCTTCTCTTAGAAAAGTGTTTTTCTTTCTTTTTGCTTGCAATTGACACGAAAACATTCAATTTTATTTCAGTTACATTTTATTATGTTTTTCAATGATAAATATTTTTGTAAAAAAATTTTTATATTTTTTTGTTTTTTGTTATTTTTTGTTGTGTGACAAGGGGTAGTTTTGGTTTCCGGCTGGAGCAACAGGGAAAATAAGTGATATTTATGCCGCGCGCACATGTTTCGGATGAGAAGCGAGGCGTTCGTCGTCGTCGCATTTCATTAGAGGCAAACCCGGACCGCCGCCGGGATTGGGACGCATTGGGTTGGGCCCACGCCACGTGGCGCAATTACACCCAACGCATATTACCGCGTTAACTTTGTTCTTGTTGTGCTAGTCGCGAATTGACTATAAACAACTGGGCGGCCCCTGAAAATTTACTAAGAAATATCTCACAACACCAAAACAAATTTCTGTTCTTTAATTAATTAAACAAAAATTTCTAATTCTGTTTATAAATATTTTCTGAATGAAAATCAAGTTTATAAATGTTTATGATGAAATCTCATGAATGAAATACGCTCACCGCCTACGCACGTGCTCGTACAACGCAGCAGCGCGTAATAATTAATTAAGCGCGTAATTAAAACGAAAGCTCGGTGCGTGGCGGCCGTTGATGTCGTAATAAACACGACTGCGAACATGACGCGCTGTTCTTGTTCCGGTTTTCCGTCTTACGGATGGGAAACATCTGCTGGCGCTGCCGCCATCTCCACCCACGTCGTGTTGCGTGCGCGTTGCATAACCGTAAGCGACGGCTGCTTGCAATTTGTTAACTTGCCGCCACTTCCACTCTTACCTTCCCCACAACACCACAAGTAAACTCACTCCACAAGTCTTAGAGAAAACTTTTTTAATTTTGTGTTGTTTTTAACACAAAATACGTTTTTGTTTGTTTTGTGCGATTGGCATCACTAATTACTCATTAGATTATTCAACCCGTGGTGAAACCCACACAGTTGGTGGGATTAATAATTAATGCCAAAGCGCAGCAAGTAAATGGCACCATCATGAAAACTCCCATTCGATGGATATTGGAAAACGCCAAAACGTTCGAAATTAATCGCACTGCAGCAGCAGCTCTCGGTGACAAACTAAAGCTTAGCAAACACGATCACTAAATAATTACGCGCATATTTAATTTAAATTACAGCACGATGTTTGCGTATAAATTTCACTACACATATTGCATAATGTAATTTTCTTGTTTGCTTGCTGAAATTTTTATTTTATTTTAACTTTATTTTATCTTTGATCCTCTTGCAATTCTTGATAGTTAGTTGATTTTCGGTGGATGGTTGTCATGGCGCGCACGTAGATGGCACAAGGTTACTGCAGAATTTCGTTCCGCTCCGCAGCGTCGTCTGACCTCAGCAGGAAGCAGGAAGAAGTTGGGTCGCGTCTTTTTCTGGGGGGACGCTACGTGTTGCTACTTAAAATTAGCGCTGGCTCAAGAATAGCCGACGTCGGATGTGGGTTACTAAAGTTACTGATAAGTGCCTTGGCTGCCACAGGAAGAAAAAGCGTTCGAGTGCAAATTCTGCGGGATTTTCGTATTCGCTCATGCGATAAATTAAATAAAGTAAATTGTCGAGAACTGGGATGGTTTTCCCGTTTGCTGCATGTGCGTGTGTTTAATTTATTGCTGTATTGATCAATCAGTCAGTCAATCAATCGTCGGCGTTGAGATAATTGACGGGAGCAATTGCCAAGCGTAATTTTGCATGATGGTATAACACCAGCGATGACTTTTTAAATTGATGAGTTTGAGTTTTTTTTTGTAGAGATAAATATTTGTTGATTTTGTAAAGGGAAATGTTGAAACTATTTTTTGTGTGTGTTTATGGGTTGGGCTGCAAGTTTTTCGGAAGTTTGAAAGCTTGGACTTTGAAGGTTTGGCGGAGTGAAAGCGTTTAGCTGTGAGGACACTTTATCAACGTCAATTCAACATTGCGGTGTTATTAAAATCGATTGAACGACAGTCGAAGTCGCAGCCAAACCGAATAGCTTTCAATTTGATCGAATGCCAGTGAGTGAAGTGAGGAAAAACGTTCTGCAGAAAAATTTACCACATATCTAAAGCTTTTGGTTGTGGTTATCGTGGGCATCAGCAACAATTGGAGGATTTGGGATTTGCAAGTAAAGGGTTTTAAGGAAAATTCACCTGTAATGAAATTGCAATAATTTTGAAAATTGTGATTGAAAAGAGGGAAAAGTACATTTTTTTCGTTGCTAGAGGTCTGAAAATATCGTTTATGCTGAATATTTTATTATTATTATTACGTATCTAGATAATTTTATTGAGAAAATTAATATTTCACATAGCGCCGTTCGGTTTCACTTGCCCTAAACCTAATTTGTTGAGTAGCAGGAGAACTCTTCAAATAATAGAACGCAGCATTTCCCAAATTTTCTTCTATTGATTTTCTTTATGGTTATGTGCTTGATACAAGCCGCTACCGGCAGATGTCTCACTAAGGTTCATATCCTTGTTAATATGCGTCATCCTAAATTCTTTAAAATAAATGCAAATGCACAATATGTGACCAAATACCTGCTATTATGTAATAAAGCGCCTCCACCAAATTTTCACTTTTAAATTTAATTTTTTTAGAAAATTGAAAAATCGAATATTTTTATTGCTTTAACAACTTTTAACATTCTGTTGAACCGATAAATTTAATATTGATTGCTTCTTTTTTTTCAAACATCTTTTTTCATCCCTATAGAGTAGAAATCCAGTTAAAGGGCAAACACCGAGAAAAACGTCGACCTCCGAAATACGAAACCCACTGACCCGAGTTAATTACAACGGCAGTTTTTCGTCTTTCCCCGAATTAAAGTTCAACAATCAAAATCAGCCCCGAAACAAACATCAAATCTCTAAACAATTAACCAACTTTCCCAAAACTAAAATCCCAAAGGTAATACATATGAGCATTATTTAATATAATACATAACATAAAAATAAATTGCATTCATTTAAATGTTAAATTTAATTTACACTTGTCACTGGTTTATCTTCGATAAATTTCGAAGCCGCCAGTTGGGTCTCTCATTGGGCTGGTCGCACTCGTGGAATTCATTGTCATCAATTTAATTTAGCGCCTCGACGCGACAACGCAGTTCCAAGGGGAGACATTGTTTATTTCCACTCTGTGGGCGGCAAGTTATTTCGGCGTAATTTTAAGTTGTTGAGATAAATTGCTCATTCGTGGTTTTGTGCGTATTAATTATAACAAAACACAACAAGCACACAAACAAACCAATAAAATGCTGACCTTACTATAAATGTGAAAAATATTTTTTTTGTATGTTTGTGTCGCTTTCACGCAAAATCCACTGAACAGACTTTGATAAAATTTGGTATAGAAATAGTTTTGACTATGGACAATAACATAGGCTACTATTTATTGCGGAAAATTTACTTAAAGGGTAAAAATAAAAGGTTGAAAGTTTGAATGCCGATTATTATTGTGCATGTTAATTCTAACAAAGCACAAGAAGCACACAAACAAACTAATAAAATGTTGACCTTACTATATATGTGAAAAATATTTTTGGGTATATTTGTGTCGCTTTCACGCAAAATCCACTGAACAGACTTTGATAAAATTTGGTATAGAAATAGTTTTGGCTATGGAAAATAACATAGGCTACTTTTTATTGCGAAAAATTAACCTAAAGGGTAAAAAATAAGGGTTGAAAGTTTGAATGCCAATTATTATTGTGCGTATTAATTATAACAAACACACAAACAAACCAATAAAATGCTGACCTTGAATATACCTGAATATACAAAAATGTATTTGGAAAAATTTTGTGTTCCGTGCTGAATTCTATAGAAGACAATTTGAAAAATTGAATATCTTCAACTTCCGTCTCAGGTGATTCGGGCAGACAGTGTGCATTACTGCTGGCACATCGGTTGGCAGGATGCATAAATATTGAACAGCGGCGACCGCCCGCCGCCGCCGTTCGCACTCGTGTCACGTTTCGCACAACTCCAAAGGCGAAGATAAAGACGAAGATGAGTACCTACATGAACATGAACGTGTAGCAGTCTCAGCAAAAGTTTAAGTACCTATGCGACAAAGTGCCAAGTCAAAAACAAAAAAAAATCCGAAAATAAAAAAAAAACTTTCATAACATCTAAGACTAGGTAAGTAACGTTGAGGCAGGCTGGCGGCGGTCGAATCCATTCCCATTCATGCTGCGTGGTATAGATCGACGCCAGCATCACGAGAGAGCTGGATAGATGCGTGGAGGAGGTGGCAGCAGTGCGCGGGGGCGGCGGGTGGCTCGATGAACGAAACGGTCGGGTCGGTCGGGAGCACCGGCGAGCATTCACCGCGCGGCAGTCAGTCGTCGTCGCGCGCTCGCGTGCTCACCGTCTCCGCCCGCAGTCGCCGCCGCCCAGCGAGTGTGTGTGGGTGCTGTCGTGTGCCGCGACATCACCGGAAGAGCGGAGACATGTTCACGCTGTGCATGTCGCGGGGGCCACCGCATCGGGATTCAAATAATTGTAGTAAGTATTTCAAAAAATTCAAAAACAAAACAAAAAAATTAATTTTTGGTTAAATTTTAATATAACCTAAGTTTTAAATAAAACATTGCATTGTTATTTCATATTGTATTGCACATGTTAAATCCAGTGGATGTACGAGTACTGCAGAGCTTTCGAGCTTTCCAATTTTCCAACTGTCTCTCTAAAACACTCATCCCTTGACAAAAGTGAATTGCGGGCGGCCGGGTGGAAACTTCCTTCGTTTGCGTAGAGCGATGTGGAGCAGCGGCCGCCCCCGGTGCACGCGGCCTGCCCGCGATGCGCATGACGCATCCCGCGTGCAAGTCAACCACCTGGCGACCTGCATTTCAGCCCCCAACACAACACCGACGTGTGTGAACAACATCTTGTTGGTATTACCAACAGAAAATGTTTTGCAACATATAAACTTTGCGCGGAATATTTGATTAACTGATTAAATAATTCAGGCGCAACACTATGAAATTTCGGATAAGTTTTAATTATGAATGAGGGCATCTCGTCCATAAACTTGCGAAACATTTTCATAATTGATAAGTCTACCCACGCGCATAAATTTATTTTATTATTATTAGTAGTAGTTTATGTTTAAGTTTAAGTTTATCTTGAAGCAAATCGATTGTGTTTTGAATCGGGTTTCATTGGTTGTGTTCATTCTAGCATTTCAGTTGTTATCAATATTGTATAATATAGTGTCTGGTAGCGAGACGATAAGACAGTGGATCGTGCTTCATTATAAGCTAAGCGGGTCTTTGGCTTGATAAGCAATTAGATTATCAATTATGTCCATTGCACACAAAGCTAATTCACGTGGAATGTGCTAAGAATAATAGAATCATTCAGATAATCTTGGAATAATTGAATTGAACACGTAAATGAGTTATCTGGGACTGGGAACACAAGTTTGCTAAAGGTATTGTAGTGTTAGGTAAACATAAAGTTTATTTTGAATTTAAACAAATATTTAGTCAAAACAATCCTAAACTAACACAACTTATGAAAAATTGAACTTTTAATATTTGGAGAAAAGTTAATTTTATTTTTTAAGAGTTTTTTGAGTTGCCTATCGTTGGAAATATTCTAATAAATAGGTATTATAAGCGGGATGTGAGTTTTTGTATGTTTGTTACTCTTTAACGCAAAAACCACTGAACCGATTTTGATAAATTTTGGTATAGAAATATTTTTGACTATGGATAACAACATAGGCTACTTTTTGTTGCAAAAATATAACTAAAAGGGTGTTAAATAAGGGTTGAAAATTGATATAGATTTAATTATAGTTATATAATTTACTCCGAGATGGCGCAAAAGTGCAATATTTGAATTTCTGATTTCTTTATTTTAAAAATTAAGAAAATTATTAACAAATTCCACATATAATTGATCAAAGAAACAAGAAATCAATTAGTCAAATGTTTTAATTAAAATCTAAAAGCTAGTACAAAATAAATATCAGTTTACTAATGTACTATCACCATTAAACTATTTGATGTCAATTCAACAACACTAATACCCTCGGGACCAAACCGGAAACCGCACAATGGCGACGAAAACACTAATTGAAAATTACAGATTAATTAATATCAAGCATAATTATAAACACACTCACACACACATATATCCACAAACAAAGCATTCCTCTTCTTGCGTGACTATCCCTATCCCTATCCCTATTTATGAAATCCCCTTCATTAGTGAAATGCGACTGTTTCACCCATTGTTTTCACTTCCACTGTGAGCGTTCTCTCTCCGCACGCTTTAGAAACTCAAACTTAAGACAGTTCACTGAGAACTAGAGAGTTACCTACGAATAGAAACGGGGAGGTGTAGGTCGTTAGCGAGAATCGCGCTTTACAATTTGCAGACATAATAAATACATCGGTAACAATTATCGCTAATTGTTCGATGCGCCAGTTACACTCATCCGGGCAAAGTGCTTGAAACGGATATATTATCTACATACACGTACATGTGAAAATTGATACTTGTACTTTCAGTATTGAAATATCGATCATTTTATAACAAATTGGCATAGTTTAAATACTATAAATGAGTAAAATATTTTTTTGTATGTTTGTGTAGCTTTCACGCAAAATCCGCTGAACGGATTTTGATAAATTTTTGTATAGAAATAGTTCTGAGTATGGAAAATAACATAGGCTACTTTTTATTGCAAGAAATTAACTCAAATTGTGAAAAATAAGGGTTGAAAGTTTGAATGTCAATTAAATCATAGTTATAGCTATATAATTCAAACCAAAATGATAAATTACTATATAAAACTATTGCAAATCAATACAAAGATTTATTTTTTACTTAATTAATATTTTAATATATTTTAATATCCGGTAATTAATTTATTCTATACCATATGACGCACACGATGATGACGCTACTTTGGTGACTTGCAGCCATTGAAAGTTCGACGCGTTCGACGTTTCGACGCGACATTAATATCAAAGTGTTATTAGGGCATTAGAGAGACGAGATTAGTTTATGACTTAATTAAATTTTCTACGTGCTCACCTAAGGCCGACCGCGGCTGCGACAGAGATTTACTAAGTTTGCTTGTCTCGTAAACTTACAGGATTGTACTAAGTCTTGAAATGATATTAAACTTTGCAAAGTTTAACAATTACTTTAATCACTATTAACAAGTTATGCAACCAAACATGCATGTTAATTAATTTTTATTCCATTTTTTCTGTTGTCTGGGGAGAAAAATTTCAAGTGCAAAACGCTGCCGAATCGAAAATGGAAATTGCGCGTGGAAAATTGGAACACAAGCAAAACGAGCACATCCGTCGGGTCGAATGGCATAATTGAAACCGAAATGGATTAATATTGCGTCGCTCGTTTTCGCATCGTCACATTTCTCCCCCAATCCGACAATCGCGTTTCGATTGGATCCATGCGCATCACGCGTAACCAAATATTATTGCCAATTACAATTTCAGTTCAAAACCACAGCGTACACATGCGTACACACGTGTTTGTTTATTTAGAATTAATTTTTTATAATACCTAATGTTTTTGAGTGGAAATATTTTAATCGTGAATTTGTTTCTGTTTTCGCGCATTGGAACAATTTTCCCGATCGTAAAACACGAATACAGACGATGATAATAAAACCGGCGGGCATCGAAATAATTGAGAGCGAAGCCGAAGATGAAAAAGTGCAATCTGCGAGCGGTGGAAGGCATTAATATTACGAGCTCACTGATGAAAATATCATGACGCAAAGAAAACGCGAACGCAAACAGAATGGGAGAACCTCAACTCGAACACGGCGAAAAAAGATAACGCTGAAAACGTTGGAATAAACAAGCGAGCGCTAAATCATGCACAAATGCACTTTGCAATCTACTTTATACCTTATATACCTGCTTTTTATTTTTTGTAAGCAAGAAAAATGCGCTCAAAGAATAAAATTTAACGAGGCAAGACCGTTGAAGTTGTACCGCGAGGCGATCCAGACGTGATTAAATTCGCGTCCTGTGGGAGCAAATGAAAAGCAAGCCAAATGCACAATTTAAACAAAATTAAAGAAAATGAATTATTTTGTTACATTTTTATGAATTTAAACTTTTAAAGTGAAAATTTCATCATTTTGGGGTGAATTATCATCATTTTAACTTTCAACCCTAATTTTTCATCCTTTAAGTGATATTTTTAAGACACAAAGTATTCTATGTTCTTTTTCTTGACCTAAACTATCTTCAAACCAAAATTTATCAAAATCCGTTCAGTGGTTTATGCGTGAAAGCGTCACAAACATACAAAAAACTCATAATCACAATAAAAAATTAATTTAAGAGAAAAATAATACACTTCCGACGTAATACATTGAAGTAAAAATAATAGAAAATAATTCTTAGTTAGATTTTCTGAATTAAAATTTTTAAATTTTCTTTCCCTTCGGTTTTGCGTTTTGCTTTCAATTAATTCAACGCGCAACGTTATTAAGCACGAAATTGTGCGCCAAACCGCCGCAGTTAAGTTGACGTCCGTGCTCGGCGCGCACTTTGGCAAATGAAATTAATTAAAAATATTTACGATAACGAAACAACAAGCCAAAAACACTCCGACACAATTTGCCACGCATTGATCGAACAAACAAAGACGACGCGAAGAAAAATTTATCGTCAAGCGTTTATCGAGAAATCAGGAAGAAGTAAAATTAACAAGAAACGCAAAAAAAAATCATCTTAAAACACGAAATTTAATTTAAATTTAAATTACAAGAAAATAATATTTGAATAAAATTAGTTTGCAACATTACAGGAATTTTAATGAGTTTTTACCGAGTTTTTATTTTACCTGGGAAATAAATTTAATTAAAACTGTTTTAATCGTTTTTCCGGCGGAAATTTTATTTAGTTTTACTCAAGTATAGTGCACAAATGCAGACGTTAAATGAACAAAGATGATACATAGAGTTAAGTGAAAGAAAATCAGGTCGAGCACAAGGCTTCCTTTGCTTTTTTTTTTCTCTCTTGCTTGATTATTAAGTGCGGAGCTTGCGTTTTGTCTTTGTGCTTAATTGCACTCAGCAGCTTCGTTTTCTGCTGCTATGCTCTTAGTCATCCTTAGTTACAACGTTTTCTTTTAATTATTTTTCCCTCACAACTCGCACAACTCTTAACGAAGAATAATGCGCACAAATTTATTCAAATTTCACGGATTAATTAATTTTTTCTAATTTGTTGCAGACATTGAAAATAAACAAATCAAAGGTGGTTACCTACTGCGATACAGAAGTAAGTATTTAATAAATAATTAAATTAATTAGTTTATGATTTGTTGTTTGTTTGTTTGTTTGCGGTTATTAATTTATTTATTGCTAAATGTGTGTCCAAAAGAAAGATTTTCGTCGGTGATTTATTGTACGTTACTTATTTACTTTGTAACCAGATTAATTCACAATCAAATAAATCACCGGCACTCGCTCAAGGCTCACAGATTTTTTCCCTGTGTGTGATGGGCAAAATCTCCCCGGCATTAGCGAGAGTAACGAGTTCGGACCCTTTCTGCGCTTTCGCTTGTTCTCTCATTATCTGCGTTTTCCGACGCGGCGCCCTTGCCGACTCATTTTTTCATTTTCATTACGGTCATTCCCGGCGTGTCGGGCCAATATAAATTGCGTTTTAGCCAGAGCCGCGCCTTCATTTTCGTTTTCATTCCGATTTCATTTCATTCCCACTTACGTTCGCGTTTCTATTATCTGCAAATCGCTTCATTGCGAGATAAGGAGTCAACAAATCTGCGGGCTTGGAGTTTTAAAATGTATTTTCTTGCTTTAATTTAAAGTTATAATTACGCAAACTGCTAACTTTCATATTTTACGATTTAATTTGTGGTAGATACATGTTTTGAGGTAGGCAACCAATGTGACACCTTTGTATTTATTTTATTTTTGCTCACGGTTTTCACCACACTCATTTAATTAAAAATTAGTTTTTTTAATTGCACATTAATTCCAAAGATCTATTAGTGCTGAATTTGCTAATATGATTCTTCATTTTAATTATTTAACATGAAAAATGCTAATAGAACACTATAGCGCCCCCTATCCTCAAATTATATAACTAAAACTATGATTGAGACGCAGAATAATTTTTAGTCCCTTATTTAACACCTTTCCAGTAAAATTTTTGCAACAAAAAGCAGCCTATGCAATTTTCCATAGTTAAAACTATATCCATACCAAAATTTATCAAAATCCCTTCAGCGGTTCTCCTGTAAATGACCAAACAAACTCACACTCGCCTAATATTAATCCAAGATAAAAATAATTCACTACCAACGTAATAAAGTTAAGTAAAAGGAAGCGAACCTAAAATGAGCTCATAAATTCCAGCACTTTCTTCTCGCTGCCCGGCATAATTTAGTAAATTATAAGTTTTGTCGGAATTTTACCTCGACATTCCAGTTTCCCGTTTCCGGCCCGCCAGCTCGCAATTCCCTAAACACTATCGCGCCGCCCTTACTCTTCTTGGCACCGCTGCGCTGAGCCAGAGAGTGCCGGTGTTCATTCGATCGTTAATTCGTTTCTTCTGCTTCCACCTCTGGAGAGACGCCGTGTAAATGCTTACAGCACCCTCGGTTTGTACCTGAGATCGGCGGGCCAAGTGTCGGGGAGGGAAAATATTGGCGCTCGGGGAAAGCGCTTGGAAATTTATCGCTATGGATTATTTAGAGTGTCATACCAGCAAGAAAAAAAACTAAAAGAAAAAAAATGGCACACAAAATGTTTTTTTATTCTGTGTAACCATGCTTAAAACAAAATGTCGATCACGGGCAATTTTCACGCTGCGGTTCGACTTTCCACATGCCTTCATCATCAGTAGTTGATTTCTCGGATGAGGCAGGTTCCATCTTGGGTTCCAGATGTGGTATTATTTTCTCTTCTTTGATTAGAATTTGATTTTGTTTAAAACGGCGTTTTGCAGGACGTTTCCGGGTCTTTTTTATTGGTGACACTCTTGGTCTTGGTCCGGGTCTAGTTCTTTCCTTAGCTCCAATGTTACCTCTCAATAACAGTGCTTGTCTTACAACTGGTAGGTTATGAAGACTATGCGAATGCAAAGCCGATCCAAGAGTAAACATTCCTTTGGTCTTCCGAATGGCACCGAACGCGACGCCATTTGCAATGCAATGCGGTACAAGATCACGAAACTCCATTTCATGCAAGTGGTACTCACGCGTAATATACTTTACCAAACTCCGTATGGATACAGGTTTATTGTATAGGTTATGATAGTCGCAAAGTGCTGCAAGGACCAAACGTGCTGTTCGTTTGTATCTTGGTGTTTCCCTCATACGGGCACGTGCGGCAGGAGTTAGAGTCTTCATAGTAAAATAATAAAAAGTAAAAAAACTTTTTTTGAATACAAAAAATTGTTTGAGTCTTTTTTCTGACAGATAAAACGTATAAATAAACAAATAATATTAGATTACTTGATTTTTTTAGAAATAAATTAATTTGTTTATATTTTTGTTTACAGAAGGATTTTTTTGTAACGGCTGGAGTGAAGAATGGATTGTTTTGTACGAAGACTCAACACTGGCGTGGTTTTCCGACAAGGGTTTAAGTCGAGCCAAAGGTTATGTACGCATTGGTGACACACCGGATCTTCTAGCCGTTGGGGAGTATACTGCGCAGGTACCACGACGTCCACGTATACCGGAAGCGTGTCGTGTCGCCCAGTTATTGGCCATTGGCACCGGAAGGTCTCAAAGCGATCCTGTTCATTGGTTATTGGCACAATCAACATCAGAACTTAAGTAAGTCAAAGTAAAGCATATTTTTAAGGTATGCAACCAAATATACTTTATTTATTCTGTGAAAATAATAAATACGTGTTTTGGTTATATTTGGTTATGAAATTAATCCCCAACGGTTTAAAAGCGTTGTGGTGTTTATGTTCTAATAATAAATTTGATTTTTCATTCAATTTCACGCGCACTCTCGCCCAGCGATTGGATGACGGCGATAAGCAACACGGTGAGTGCGATCAATCACCGCATCAGTGAGACCCGTCTTTCAGCGACCACATGAAACCTTTTTCCTTTCCTCGCTTCTCCTCATCGCAGAGAGGATGGATGCTTCCACTAAATACGTTTTTTCCGTTCATCTTTTCATCGTTTTCTCATTTTGGGACATGCGTCCAAGTGGAGATTTTTTTATTATCTATTTTGCACACTTTCAGTTTTCATTTTTTTCTATCCTCCACTCCTTATTTTCTAGATGAGAAGTAAATGGACTCGCGTTCACTACTCTCAAAGAATATAAATGAAGTCGATGAGAGTTCGAATGATGGATTGTTTTCCGTTACCGCTTCAGAAATTTTCTCCCAGCGCCAAAACAAAAACAAGCATTATTTAAAAACAAAACAGAAACACACACAGCGAACAAAAGTTGCGTTTGAAATCAGGCAAAAATCTAATATTAACAAAAACAAGCAAACTGTGTGTGTGCTGCTGGCGAAAAAAGAATGGATGCGTAATGGAAATCCTTCGATGGCTGTGCTTTTCTTTTTACTTTTACCCTCGCTCCTTGGCCGGATAAAAGGATTAAATTACATTTAATCTGTGAGCGTCTTTTGTGCCCGCTGCCGGCACTCGTACATCCTCTCCATATCGGACCCAGCGTTGTCCTGGCTATTATTCTTCATCCACCCGAATTCTATTATATTATGCTTCGTACCGGCTTCGCGTTTAGCGTCTCCGCTTGTGCGTGCGATTCGATCGCTTTTATGATTTACCGACTTTTCATTTCGTTAACTTCTTTTTCTCGCCGATTTGCTGTCTCGACTTTCTTCATTTCGATAGAGTATTGGATTGCGAGAGCATTTGACATTCGATGTACGACATTGGAATGAAAAGTTTGCCCAAAACAACAAGCGAAAACTTTCATGGCGCGCGTTTTATTACTTCACGAACAAACAGGACACATTTGTTTGCTAAAACATATTTCCGCGCTGTATGTATGTGAAAATGTAAATTTGGTTGCCTAAGCTAGAGAGAAAAAAGTTGTGATGTGATGTTTTGTCGGGTTATGTAAACGACAGATTCGCGTTGGTTAACATCACTAAACGTCAATTATCCTTCGTCATGCTCTTCATGCGCGCAAAATAAATTCGCCAAGTGTTTGTCGCACGTGCGAGCGCATTCGAAACGCACTAATTTGCGTGTGCGACACGTGCGACACTCGAGACTGGGACGAATATAGCTCCAGCGCGTGTCCTCTTCCACTTCGGCCATCGACAACGTGCATATGAGTGCATCACGTGTTATATCCTGCATTTGCAAGTGCGTCATTCACGATAATAAACTTTCTGGAAGTGGAATTTTGTAGTTTTAGAATTGCGAATTTTCCATTCGTTAAAATTTCCATCGCTATTGCTATTATTCACGTTTTCGTTCTGTGTGTTTCAGCTGCCACCACCGGATCAGATTCCCATCAAGCGCTTGTCGTTGACGTCGCATTCAAGTGAGTATTGTGTTTAATCTAGCGGTGCCGTCTGAAATTCACACGTCGCGAACATCCCTTTATCATCCCCGAGGGGTTTTGTCCAGTCTCAACTCAACTACCCTCGACTCTCGTAAATACTCTTCGCAATCGTCAATAATTCAACGTTGATTATTTTACTTCGTGCACGACCAATTTTCATGAGTATGGTTAGAACTAAAAGTGTACATACAGCATGTTTAATGTAGGCAACCAACAGTGTTGATGTACTGCAACGTAAATTGCCTATATTAACTGATTTATTTTATTTTTAGAATTTAATTATCTTCAAGACTATCAAAAGTAAATTAATACTATAAAGTGCTGCGTCTTGCATCCACAGAGCCCTCAATTACCCACAGATACGAGTAGACCTCTTGTCCTCTGTCAGCTTCAAAAGCGCCGCACTAATTGCACAAATTAAACTCGGAAATACTAAAATAAACGCGCTCGGAAGCACTCCTTAGAATTATTTAATTACCAACGCCCGCTTTAAGGTATCGCCCTACTCGCATCGACCATTACTCCATTAGGCATTCGCCATTAGCATAATTACAAGATCTTGCGCGTTGCGCTGCAACAAAGTGACATTTTGTCATCAAAGCGAAAGCAATCTAAAATCAACTACTCGCACTTGATACACTCCGCATTTTACCTACGCACGTGTGTGTGGTGCGATGGGAAATTCGGGTCTCGCTTTGAACTGAGACCGGGATGAATAGCAGAGAATTGAGTCAAATTGAATGGAAGCGAACCAAAGCGATGTGAATTTTGCAAACGCACCACGAGACTTTCATGTGGGTTCGATAATGAAAAGATGGTTCAGCGTCTGTTGTGCATAATTTACGGGTCGCGCCAAGATGCTAACGCAAAGGAAGTGGAAGTAAAAGAGAACATTTTATTCCATGTGTGATGTGACATCAAAGCAAAAACAGAAAATTTGTGGTCACCATATTCAGACTCAAAATATTTAGTTGTGTGAAATGTAAAAAATTATATTAAGTATCAAGTGGTTAAAGTGGGACTTTACTCACGAGATTGATTAATTGAGTGGTTAAGAACGTTTAGCCACGTGATGCAATCGCTATTTTTTCTACGACTTTTCTCCTTAGACAAATGCGCATGCGCAAGTTCCGCCCCGTAAATAATACCCGTAGATAATGGATATTACTCACGGCTTGGTCATCTGTATATAAATTATCACTTTTTGTGTCTAAAAATTGTGGAAAGATAATTTTATCTTAGATTTAGATGTAGAATTTGTATTTGTGATCTTCGAGCATAAAATATATTCACACTTGAACTCGACTGATAGTGGTTCATCTCTGGATCTCCGAAGTTCGGTGCGGGAAAGTTTGCTTAACGAAACGCTTACGTCCTTACGTAAAACACACCCCGCTTGTGGGCCAGCCAGGGATGAGTAACGAATGCGAAAACTTTCATTTCGGCTCGCCGCTCCTTTGTGCGCTCTCGAGCGCAATTTATACGAATCTTTATACGAAAATCTCGGCGAAACGTCTTCGTGAAATATACATTAGACTCGGCGAATAATGGGCGCTCAAAACGCTCAAAATACATTCGAGTTGCGAGAATTGTGCGTTCGTACAAGTAAAATACACAAAAAAATACGAAACCGGAAAAACGGAAAACGATATCTATAGAATAAGGGATAAAATGAATAAGGGTTGTGCGCGCGTATGTCGCATTAAATGTTTCACGACGTTTTTTTATTGTCGCGCAAAATGTAAACAACTCTACAGGACAAACAACCCCGAAGGGAAGTTTTTTTATTGTGTGCGAGAAAAAAAAACGCTGTTTGAAGTAAATATTTTCGCAATAAAAGTCAAGGTATATTATGTTACGGTTATTGCACGCAATTTCAACCACGTGGATGTAGAAAAAGTTGCCTAACTAATTATTTCCTGTTTTCTCTGACATATTATGTTAATATTTGTCAATAAAAATCAAAATTTTGAATTAATAAAAGGAGCAATTCTAATAATAGACCTTAGCGCCACCTAGGTTCAAATTATATAACTATAATTATGATTAAACCTCTATTTCAACTTTCATCGCTTATTTTACGCCTTTTTAAACTTATTTTACGACAAAAAATAGCCTATCTCCTATTTTAAGGAATAAGCAACAAAATAGCAAAGTTCCATCAAAATTGGTTCAGTAATTTATGCGTGAAAGAGCAACAAACAAACAAATCCACCAACATTTGCATTTATATTAGTTAGTTACAAGTTTGCTTAGTAAAATTTTCTGTTTTCTGATTGTTTAGATGGTTATGTATCAAATGGCAACCTCCACAATGGCCACCACCCAAATCATCACAACCACGCCACTTCAAACTGTCACAGATCATCGGATGTAAAGAACATGAATGGAAAACAAACCAAACCTGGACCGGAAGCCGACGCGGATCACACAGCTCTTTCAGGCTTAGCAATCGACTGGGGCCATGGTTGGGGCTGGGGCCAGGCAGCATGGGCAGCACAATCCGCTTGTCTACACGATCACGCTGTGGCGACGGCGGCGGTAGTCCCCTCCGCTGGACTCTTCTGTAACGGCGGAGAAGACTACGGTATAGGTGGCTACGAAGAAGTCGATTGGAGTTCGTTCGGAGACTTCAGTTTCTAATCCGTAATTAAATGTTTGGTAAACCTAAAGGTAGGCAACCCATTGTACGCAACCAAAGTGTAACACAAGCGGAAATGTCACGAGTAGCCGAAAACAAAGCCATAAGCGTGTTCAACAGTTCAGCATTCACCCAACAACAACACATTCGATGTTCTAGCCGAGAAGATATTGCAACAGCACAGCGACAGCGACGTTATGACAGTTTGTAAGTTTTCAAAGCGCTGGCAGTGCACGAATGAAATCTTTATGCTCAAATTGCATTTTATCGACTGAATCGCAATATGCGCTGTCTGCGTAAAATATGATTGTTTGCAAAACATCAACAGCAGCCAACACAGATGTGAATGTTGTGACTTTGATTCGACTTTTCATAATCTGTCCTTCACTTTTACACAATTGTCGTTTGAAGCATAAAATTCGAATAGTTTTCAAGTGCAGATTTAGTTGAATTTGGATTTTTTTTATTTTCGGTTATGAAAATGATGTTTTTTGGAGGGGGCGGCAACGGCTGGGTCGACTGGGTCGACGACTCGCGCGCGCCGGATCGTTTGAAGCGCAAAGTAAACGCAATAAAAGACGATTGAAGACGCGTCCGCCCCCCAGCGGGAGGCGGTGGCTCTCGCTAGTAAAGCAAAGCGCGCGTCGAGCCCGAACGTCTGGGCAAACTTTTTGCCATTTACATCTAAATTGTTCGAAGGTGCCAAACCGATGTCACGACAGTCGCACCAGGCGCGCCATTATTTTCATTCAACAAATCTCTCAAAATATCGACATCGACATCTTGGGGGGCGGTTACACAACACACAATATTTTTATTTCACATCAAATCAAATATGAAATTATTTGCGCATGCGCACTATATCAGCTATTTTTCTAACTCACCTAACCTCAAAGTAGAACTATAGTCTAACCTAAAGCAATGCAGGTTCATTGCGGCACGCATAATTATTTTCCTTCCAATGAAATAAATAAATTAAATGTGTATATAAAAGGCTCGCAGCGCGTATTAAAGCGTAGCCGTAATCATGATATCATCGTAATCGTAAACCTCAAGCAGAACGCAGATAAAATCCGACCACATAAAACCCGCGAATAATGAATAACGTAAATCGCCTGATAGGGAAATATTATTAAGATCATTAAACGATAATGAAGAGTATAATATTCTAATTAATCGTAAAACCAAATTCCACGTATTAAAAATAATCGCAAATCGAAACCAAAAACCAATAGGTATAAAATATAAGAAGAAAATAGAGAAAAAAGAAGAAAACTGTCACAAAGTATAAATACAGCGTTATAAACGCAGTACATGCATCTACACACCAGATGGCGCAAGTTACCACTCAATATAATAATTTTGTGACAGTTTACAATAAATATAACCATTTATTTCACACATATTGTCACATTTGACACAGTAGTGTATTTTTATAACTAAACGTCACCTAATATCCACTCATAGCAAGACCTCATGAGTTTTTATTGCTTTGATTTGATAAAATCGAGAAATAAAACGAATAATCTATTTCATATAGGAGAAAAATAAGAACTGCAAAAATCACACTGAACATAACCTGTAAATCACGTATGTAACCTCACAAATCCTTATTCTAACCTCTAAAACAAAACATGCTATATAACGATATGTATAATGATTGAAGAACTTAACTGGAAATGGCGTCTTCTAAGTGTTGATTTTAAACACAGATGGCGCTATACGCGCTCAGCTAATGAAACTCTATATAAATGTAAATGTTTAGATGAACATTGAAATGTTTTAGAAGCACTATATCGACGTCAAAAGCCCACGCGAAATAATTATACTTGTGTCATCACAGTAGCGTACACACATACAGGGTGTTCGGAGAAATTGAGAAATTCCACGTGTACCAAAATTAATCATCTAGATATAATAATTAGCCCACTATATACACACGACAATGTAACATTAACATTGTATATTGTATCGATGCAAAGGTGTATTAATTCTAAATCTATAACGCAAACTCTGACACACACACAAGCGCACGAGTTTGCTCGAAATGCCAAGAGAAGAAAAAAAACAAAACGTAAATTATAATGAAACACACAGTATATAGCGCTAAGTAATTAGACTGAAAGACGATGTAAATGTAAGCGTAACGTGTATTTGTAGGTTAGAAAAGTGTGGTCGTATTAAAAATGATGAATTTTTGGTTTGTTTTCGAGCACCAAACACCAAAAACAAGTGGCGCCCTCTGGACGCCGATAGCACTTAACAACCGAGCACAAATAATTTGTACATTTTCACTGCCAGATATAAAAAAGAAAAACATTTTAAACTAATCCACAAATTAATCTAAAATAATAGTTTAATAATATTTTCAGTTGGTATATATTCAAACTAACGCCATTTATGAATTACATTTTTAAATTTAAATTTAGTAATGGTTTTTAATGAATACTATAACTATGCCACCTCAACACGTCGAAGTAACATAACAATCTTATAATAAATTAATAAGTTAGGCAAATTGTGTTCCCCAAATTGAGGTTATAACCACTAAGATTAATGTTTGATTGGAATTGTCGTTATGCGGCGCTCAGCTGGTTTGAGTAGCCAACATGCGAACGTCCAACAGCCAAAACATGGCCGCTATAGTAGTAAAAAGTAAATAATACTAATTGTATTTAGTTGATATTTAAATTAAATTAAATTAAAATAATATTTAGTAACGTGTATGAAAGGTAATCTAACTCTAGGCTATTAACCGATATATCTAATCACGTTTAATCCCGTCGTTGGTTTTTGTTGGTTTGTATTTCGATTTTATCGAGTTTATATATCATCTCTGATTATTGTAAGCTGAAACTCCAACCCGAAACTAGAATAGCGAGCGTTTTCACGAGCGTTGGTAACGTTTTTTGCCATTGCAACGCAAATGGAAACGCATTTATCAATTTTGTCCCTAATCTTAGTCGTAAGTTTTATAATTAAAATATTTAACAAAAGATTTAGAAATGTATTCATGTTTTTGTTAGGTTACAATCTGTGTTGACAGTTAATACCGACGCGCATGCGCAGTAAAAATTTTAAAACATGATTTCTTAAATTAATTCAATGATAATATTGATAGAGCTGACTGTATTTAGACTATTGTAAGTAACTAAACAAATAATTAGGAAATAATAGCTAAATATGTAACTACGAACAGAAATATTGCAAAATTGTGGAGTTTGTGGCCAACGGAATGAAAAACCCTTATTATTATAAACAATACCTTATATACCTTGATAGAAACAAAAGTGAAGTTGAGAGTAACACTGACACTAAGTAAGCAAACCTACTGAATGTGATATATGTATTTATTTACCTAATATATACGATATATATGCTATATATATTTACCCGCATACTATGAGACAAATATTTACACGAATTGATTGATTTGTAAATTTTATATAGAGGAAAAACCAAACACGTAAAACGCTACAACTTACAACTTACAAATGCAGAGTATTCGTCAGTAGAGTAATATTCATAGAAGTATTAAACATTTGTTTAAATGTTTATCGCATACACATTGTAACGACATACAAGATTATATTAATTGCTGTACAAGACGTGTATTAATATAAATGTATGATGAAAGCACAAGTGATCTACTTTTTTATTTGTTACTAGCTTTTGCACGCAACTTCGTCCTGGTAGTGTTTAATAAAAATGTAATTCGTTTTTACTCTTTTGTTTTAAACATAGTATGTGGTAATTCTATCAATAAGATTCGCAATTTTATTTTAAAGAAATTAATTATATAAAGAATTGCTTATAATGTACTTCGCGCGCCATCTCGGATTCAATTATTTAACTATAACTATGATTGAATCTCAATGCCAACTTGTATCCTATAAAAAGGGCTGTTATTAGGGGTTTTCTAGCCTTATTCGAATTTTTCTCGCCGTAAAACCCATCCTTGGACTTTAATGAACCTTTAAAAAAAGAATTGGTCAAATTAGTCTAGGCGTTGTTGAGTTATGCGCATTCCAACAGATTTTGCGATTCATTTTTATATTATTGATAGATTATTTTGATTTGTTTTTTATTTGTTTGGATTTAATAGTATAGTTTTAGTGGATCAATAAAAAGTAGTATAGTTGGTTGCATACGTTAGGTTATTAGAAAACAAAAGACTTGGTAATGATCCGCATGAATATTTATTTATTCAAACGCCAACATTAAAACCTTGCTGAGTTTGGAGCGCTAGTTATGAATAATTTATAACCGTCATCGAGAAAAATCAGTCATTGAAACACTGTTATTATTTGCTAATATTAATAGCATGTTGGTGTAATTACGATAATGAGTGGTGATTTTAGGCTAGACGCTAGACAAGAATTAATGCCGCATAAATCATCAGCTGGCATTTTTATGATACGGATTAAACAATTTTCTAGTTGAATAAACTTTAAATCAACAAGATAGACTCTTTAAATGAGTTTAAAATTAATTCAATCATAATGTTTGTTCTTGAATTGAGGTTAGATATGTAGGATATTTGGAATAGAGTTGGTTAAATGATCAGAGATTGTATGCAACCCTATATACATAAAATTATATATTTACTAGCTTTTCCTCGCTACGTCAATTCCGTAATTTTTAGAAAAATGGAATAAATTTTTACTTTCCTGTTTAAAATCGAGTATATTTTGATTTCATCATTGAAATTTGAAATTTTATTTTAAAGAAATGAAAAATGCCAATAAAATACTTTAGCGCCATCTCGGTTTAAATTATTCAACTATAACTATGATTGAATTTCTTTACTAATTGTTATTTTTTATTTCACACTCTTTAAGTCATAATTTTTAATGTTTAAATAGTTATTCTGCTATTCGTAGCTAAGGCGAATTTAACAAACCATAGATCATCAACATCTGTCCAGCCGTTCTTGAGGTATAAGTGCGGTAACTAACGCAATGCATTTATATATAGATTTAATAAAATTTGAAATATAAAATATAGGAAACGCATTTTAGTTTATTATTAAATGCGAAATTGATAATTATTTCAACATAAAAAAACTCAAAATACGGAAAATCACCAAAATGTATAGAACTCCAGTCAAAACAAACAATTCAACACTGACGTCACTTCCACAATACTAATCAACTGCAATTTAATTGATTTTTGTAATTTCAAGAAAGAAAAAACTATTTTTGAAGATTTTTACGACTTTCACATACATAATGTTACATTTTCTGGTTACCTATCCGTTGATAAAACAATTATCCGGTGCGCTACCGATAAAGCTCACGACTCGCGTCGCGTGCTCACCAAACTTTCAGTTACTGTTTGTGTGTTCAACAGTAAACATCCCCCACATTTCTCAGTGCATTTTCATTACAAGACTACAAAAATGCTATTAAAACTAAAGACGCATTAAACAAAACAACGTACATTAACTTTACAAATTTTAAACATTTTAATATATTTTAATACTATACTGAGTGCACTCCTAGTGTACTGGAACACATTGGAAGCTTGCTGGTAGTCGGAGCTGCAAGTCGCAAGTCGCGACGCGCGAGTTCAGGTGAACCAGGTGAGCCATTCGCAATCGGGCAATCGGCGAGCAACCTTCGCGCGCCGACCGACCAACAAGTAAGTTCACAAGTGCCCGCAGAACTCTCTTCCAACTCGTGTGTGGAGGCGACACCGACTGGCGAAAAGTTTTGCGAACTCGCGACGAATCAACACATCAACAGTTCACGAAGAGTCGTGTCATTCAACGGTTCATAAAATAAAATAAAAATTAAATTTAATAAAAAGTTACAATATTCACATAAACACCACGAGTAAATAAAAAGTTTAAATTGCAAAAAGGACATTTTTAATTACTTCTTGAAGAAAAATAAATGTAAGTATAAAAAATTATTTATTTTTTATATTTTTATATTTTATTTTATTTTATGACGTATAATGCCCCAATGACTCACAAAATTTAATAATAAAGATTTAAAATCAGCCGATGAATTTCTGAATATGGTCAAAAGTTAGTGTAATTTCGCCGGTTTCGAATCGAGCGAGCTCATGAGTCATTCAGCATTCAGACGTTGATGTTGGCTAGCTTGAAGTACGTTGTTTATTTAAGGAGTTCGTCATTAATTATGCAAATCTGCTATTTACGTGCGCCACAATGCGATCACATGAAAGTCGATTAGCTACATTTTCTTAGAAATTGTAAACATCAATAGATTACAAAGAAAAACACATTTTCAACAAAAACAAATTAAAATTTTAAAATTTTTAAGAAAATGAAACATTTTAAATTATTATCCATATAATTAAATATTTTACACCGAAAAAACATTTTAAGCATTTAAAATCAAATTTTATTACTTCTTACATAATTTTACGTTTTCCGTAATTTAAATACATTTTCTACATTTCCTTTCATGTTTAGTATTTACTTTGAAACTTCACATTTCGAGTTTCTTGGTTTCTCACCGGAATGTTGCTGGATATTTGCTTTTTCTTGTCCAAGTAGTTGTTACTCGTTAGTTCTCGGTTGTGGTTGTTATGACGCTTGGCCAAGCGTGAAGCATCTTCCTCTACAAGCTACGCTACAATCAAAAAGTTGAAACCTGGTGCATTCTACTCATACCTTATACTCGTATATATGGGTATATAAAAGCTTATTTACAAGTCACCTCCTAGTTTTTTTATACTTCTTCATGAGTATTACTATCGCTCATTATAAGCATGACAATGAGTGTGAGTAAGTTACTCATTGAGCTGAATGAGTGTTTCATGGTGTGTCATACCTTATGCTACGCTGTAGATTTTGTGGTTTTGTCATCCATTATTCGTTTAGCACCATTGCACATCCTCACCTTCAGAAAATGAGTATACGAGTAACAACACGTTATCCACGACGTAGTTTTTAGTAAAAATTTAATTATCTGCTTCAATTCAATCATTAAAATTCGCAATTTTATTAAAAAAAGAGAGAAATGTTAATAATGCACTTCAGCGCCCTCTATGTTGGAATTATATAAGTAAAACTATGATTAATTTGCTATAGAAATTTTTATCTCTTATTAAACACTGTTTCAACCAAAATTTTTAATATTTTAACAGTTATTCTCCTATTCTAGATAAAGACAAATCTAAAAAATCATAGATTATCAAAATCTGTCAAAGCGTTCTTGAGTAATAAATGATTTAACTAACAAAACTCTTTTTATACTAAATCCAAAGATAAAAAAACATATATTTTAGTTTTTATATCATGTAATACTGCTATTAAAACATAAAATTCATAAAAATTATTTGACAATTCAATAATTACCATTTTACAATTTAGACAGTAAAATATCTTAATAATATAATAAATTTAAGAAGATGAAAGTTGCCCAGGCAGTTAAAAACACAAATTGGCTCTCCATATAAGGAAGATTCGAACAAACAATGAGCGAAACTCAACCACTCCATGATTCCATATATAAACGCATAAAAAATGAGTTCAACACTTAAGATTTTTCAAAAAGGAAACGACACCAGTCATACCAGTTTGGTTGCATAAATTTTACACGCGCAATGAGCTCAACGGTGAAAGTTCTCCTGCTTATAATTGTTTAAATACAATATATCACTTGTTATAATCAAAAGAAAAAAATCATTACTCTGTGACAGTTTGTGACATCGTAAAACGATTTACACGTGCACGAAATTCCACATAACCGGAAACACACAAGAATTCTACATCGAGAGGGTTCGTTCAACTTTCCCTTCTAGTCCTGCTGAGTTTCCCTTGCTTCCCGAATGCTTTAAACACACGCGTATTGTATATTTATAGTGATTGATAGCGATCTGACCTACATTTTCATTCTACAACCGGAAGTCACCTCACGCAGCCAATACCCTTCGGGGAAATTAAATTAATGAACGCATACACCAAGAATATTGCACTCTTTTGCTTATTAATATATCATTAAGTGTATAATTTAGGGCAGGTCGAGGTATTTGTTGCGAAATCAGGGCGAAGGAGGTTGTAATAATGAGAGAAAAATTGCATAAAAGAAGTGCAATCAATAGAAGTAGGCCACTCATGAATAATGAAAGTAATTGTTATCCTGGAAGACCAAAAAAGTCGAGAAAGCGTTAAGCAAATATTCAAACAATAAAACAACACAATCGACTTGAAAACTTGTTAATCCCACATGTGCACATCATTAGACGTTTGTAATTAACTGTTAATTAAATAATAGCAACAAAGAACATCATAAACATGCTAAATGTGTATAATACGTTGGGTATTTATTTGTTTCTGGAACGTTTGCTATTTATAGAAGTGAATATCACAAAGATTTGTCTTTGTTTGAGTTTTATTTACATTAAAAACGTAAACAAATGATAAAAACATAGATATTGAAAAACAAAATTCGTAGTTTTACTATAGGCAACTTACATTACAATCCAATACATTTATTTCATAAAATTTTTATTTATATATGTTTATATTTGTTTCAGAACAAGTTTATCGACTGAATATCATGTCCATCAAAGTATAAATTGATTTTATACCTACTACACTTTATATATTGAAGATTTTACAACATTTTACCACAAAACATGGCGTCAAAACTATCGCAGATGCAGGTAAGTTATTTTATTTCCTAGTTTGTCTTATTAACACCGCCTACAAGCAAATATCAATCATCTACATGTTTAAATTGGTGTTTTAAAATGCAGAGTTTTGTATGCTCTCAAACAATTATCATAAATTTATGAATATGATTGTTGTTTAGTTGTTATTGTTATTTTTTCACTCCACGTCTGTTATTAGTATAATTTTTTGAAGTGTAGGTAGTGTGATTATTGGTTTTGCCAAAAATTGATTTAAATGATCAAAATAAATCGAAAACATGAATGAGTTATGAACAGATTAAATTAATAATTAATAAGTAGGAAGTATAATAGCTACAAAAGCATTTTTATTTCCTAGATATATTGATATATTGACAAATTAATAACTTTTGTTAATTAAAGTTAAAATTACAACCATACGAAACGCAATAATAGCTATCTATCTATTTCTTTAATATTAAATTGATATTGAATGTATGCAACCAGCGTTGAACCCACGCGAAACACTCGTTTCGGATCATTATTCACTTGCATTTATTGAACAGAGTTTACGAATGCTTTAACTATGTTGCATTCTTATTTGTCATAGTTGTGTGTCTACTCGTACTACGATTAGAAAACACTCCTAGTTTGTTGCATGTCGAGGCTGAATCGACACAAGTAAGAGTAATGAGACGCACGACACTTTGACAGCGACAAGCAATTGCATGCAATCAATTAATCGAGAATTGAACCATTAATTATCAATTACAATTTTTAATTACGTGCACACATACTGTGTCATAACAGTTTGTTAGTATTGCAATGAGAAACAAATTAATTGCTGTATATTTGGTTGCGTCATGTTCAATACTTATATTTCATCTCAAACGTCAATAAAAATATTAAAATATTTAAAATTTGGCTTTTGTATCAAATGTTTGATTGTTTAAATATTAGCTTAGAAAAGTTTTCATATTTTTGTTATCATTTTTTTGTGATTTTACGTTAAAAATTATCAAATTAACGTTTTTTCTATGTTTTTTTATTATACACCCCCAAAAATTGGGAAATTTCTGTTTTCAAACTTTTATTCCAGTAAAAATAATCCAAAACTTAGTAAAAATTAATTCCCGGCGAAATTTATTGCAGAAAGTTTGGTGGGTTGACTACTTTTTAATATTTGCAAACATTTGAGGTTATGTTGTATTTGCTACAGGTCAAAACACTTCCCAAGTACCGTTTTGAATGCCATATTGATAAAATTATTACAAACTCAATGGTATTTCAGATATTTGTAGTTTTAGTGATTAAACTTTACAGAAATGCTGGTAATTTACACAAACACGTAACACTCAGATGTTCCACCCATCAAACCGATAGAAATATTACCGTTACATTTAAAGTACTGACCCTGAAAACAAAATTACACTCGAACTTTTATTTCAAAATAAATTATTGACTACAGTTGACATTTAGACGTACACCACTGCTACATTAAATCAGAAAACAATAAAATTATCCATATCTGCATGTTTCCCATGTTGTGATTCCCATCGCTTCTCACATTACTCACATTTCTTATATTCAAGTTCACCTCGACACTCGACATGAGAAATGTGTATTAATAATTTACAGCACGTAAATCAAAAGATATAAATATGTATCACCCGATGAATATTGTTTATTATTCATTCTCATGAATGTTATTGAACTGTACGCCGAAGCAGAGAAAAAAAAGAAAAAAATTGAATTGACTTTTTATTTTTATTCCTGAGAGGAACTGTTGAAGTGTTGATAACCCACGCGATTGTTAATGGTATAGAATAACATTATTTCGATCAAAAATGGACGTGAGCATGACGTGCGAAAATCTTACACTCATATTACTTTAATGGCGACTGAATTAGATGATTCATAGTCTTTTTACCTTGATACAATAATGTGAAAAGACTTGTATTGTATGAGTTTTTGTTTTTTGTTTATTTGTCACCGTGATTACTTGGATTTGTATTTGTATTGAATTAAAAGTTTATTTTTGTGAAATTAGTTTGGTTTTTGGTCATATTGCATAACGTGTTTCGCTTGTTGCCAACTTGAACGTGCAGCCAAATCAAGGCAAAGAAGGCGAAACGATCAGCCGTCAACGGTTGACTGTTAACAATCAACACAAAATGTAAATGCAAAATAGGTGTTCAATGTGCGTTATAAGCAAGTATAAGCAATAAGCAAGGTAAAACTAATGTTGAATAAGCCATTGAAGGCGAATCCATGTACGAAACGCATTCGGTGAGCAAACACAATGTCAGTGTGGTTATTTTGGTTGACCAAGTTTGGTAGCGACAACGTTTGTGTATCCTGCGCCATATTTAAGTATTGTATAGTTAATGCAAAATAAAAATTTAAAAATGGTTAAAAACAGTTTTTGTATATTTTTTGGAGGGAATAATAAATAATTTAAGGGATTGATGACATTGAACTACTAATTTTAGAATCTTAGGGTCATATGACAACTAATAACTGATTAATTATTAATTTGTCTATCAATATTAATGCGTAACACGGGTGGTTCGAAGTTGATAGAAGGGCGGAACCGATCATGAAAAATAAACATGAAAAGAAATTCAAGGTTACGAAACACAACACACTATTCATTTTCTTTCATTACTACAACTTCCACTTGGGTATACTTATGGGATTAATAATATTAGTAAATTAAACAGAATAAATAAAAAGAAAATGTTTAATGTTTTTGTTTTGTGTAAGTCGTAGAGGATTATTTGGTTGCCTATGTTTTGTTATGCAAGTTGCTATATCATATAACATAACGTATTGTCTGTATTGTTGTGTATTGATATTATGAGCAATATTATAAATGCGAATGTGAGTTTGTATGTTTGTTACTCTTTTACGCGTAAACTACTAAACCAATTTTAATGAAACTTCACATAATTTTAGTTAAAACATTAAAATAGGACATAGGATACTTTGTGTTACAAAAATAAAAGTTTAAGTATGTTAAAAAAAGGAATTAATGTTGGTGTGCAGATTTAATAATTATAATAGTCTAATTCAAGACAAAATAATACTAAAGTGCATTTGAGGTATTTCTCATTAAATTAAATTAAAATTCCGACTCCAATTAACGCATTTGGCCCATAATTTGCGGAGAAATAAAAAAAAAGAAATTAATTAGGTTTGTTAATTTATAAAGTATGGACACGTTGCAAAATTAATTCTAATTAATAAATAAAGTGCATTGCATTAATATTTAAACTCAAGTAAATTCAATTAATACGCGTTTTAAAATAAATTTTTATAAATAAATATAAACATGTTTAAAAATATCCCTACACGTGTTACAATATAGATAATCACTGATTATAATCTTTTCTTTGATGTTCCTTGTTGATGTACGCGTAATCGATATAAACACAAGGTTCTAATATATCCACAACATGTGTACAAATGCCTTGGCCCTTTGACCAAGTAACCTATGAGGAAATGGTCTGTACCCCATTACAACCCATCAACACACAACCTGGTTTACTAGAATTCGTAAAAAATGAATGAAACTATCACGTCAAAACCTAAAAATGTAGTTCAAAGTCAGTTCAGAAATAAAAAATTAAAACTCATCCAAACGCGTTGTTTAAAAGTTAATTATCTCCAGTTATTGATGTTTGATAAACCAATCTGATAAAGCAAAAGAAATTCCAATAAAAACTTAAACGCAACTCATCAAAGCCACCAACAAGCGCGCGACCACACACAATTCATTATTGTATTAATACAAGCGTTGCCAAGCAACGCAACGTTTCTTTGAGCTCACCTGGCCACCCTCTCACCCCCTCTTTGCCGATATCACAGCGGCGAGGTGTAAAAACGTGCGAGGAGCGCGGGTGGCGCGCATGCACGATCGAAACCACAGCGCATAAATATCATCAGACAATGCGTGGATTGTCTATTTGTTAGTGAGTAGATTGCAACCCTTGAAACTACGACGCCATTAACCATATCAATATATCAATCTTAAAATCAAATTTCTTGAAATTTCAACCAATAAAGTGTAATAAACGTGTTTAAACTACACTCAAATGGACAATGAATAAATATTTATCATCCAGTTGGAATTCAGTGGTCTCTCGCGACCTGGACAATTCGTGGGCGTCGCGCAGTCTTCAGGACGCGCTCAGAAACTCAAAATATGACGTAAGCTAACAACCCCACAGAAAAAACATGAATGAAATCGTTTTGTGACCTTAATAACCCAACAATCAAACCATCATAATCATAATCTGACTTTAACGACATTTTAAGGACCACTCCTTGTGATATTGCTATGACCTTGAACACTTGCAACAAGTAAAATCTCATAAAATATGAATTTACTTTTACAGGCACGTTTCCAACAACGTCAGATGGCTGAGAAGGAAGAGAAACTCCTGAAACTCTATGAGAACCAACAACAAAGGGCCTTCGACAAGGTCAACCATGGTAGTGCTGGTAGTAATGGTTCCTTGAGTAATATCACAACAGGAAATGGTAAAGTCCGTCAAATGTTTGATGAAAGAAGGCAGAAAGCTGGAATTGATCGGAGTTATCCATTGGAACCATTAAGTAAGACCATGCCTGTGCCTTCCAAGACCAATACCACCAGAGGCAACAGTTTGGATAGAAGACCTTTGAATCAAACTATAAAAACCACAAGTCGTACAACCACCAGGACTACCACCAAATTAAACAGTACCATGAGGAAACCTTTGGCCAATACAGGTTTATACAACAATAATAACAACTCCAGAGGTATGGATGAAGCAGAGAAATATCTTCAGGAGCATGAAGATTTGGTTAAGATCATGAATAAAAACAACATTAATGATGATTTGGAGGATGAAGTGATGCCGAGGATAGGCTTTGATGATTTAGGTTATGATGAGGATATTTTCACTGGAAAGTTGGCGAATGTAGGAGGGAAGCTTCCAAGTCAAATTGTTGTTCAGAAAAGTGAGGTTAAAAGCACTACTAAACCAGGAACAAATAAAAATGGCGTTGGTAAACCACCTGCCAAAAGGGTACGTATGTCAATTTTGTAGTTTTGACAGTATTTGTTTAAAATTATTTTTACCTCTAAATTATTCTGTCACAAATCCTCTTTTGATTTTGATCCTTTTTGTACAATGTTTGAACAACACTTTCGGCAAGTCCGAGCTGCCCTTGATAATCCTGCAATAGTCGATCAGTTCTTCCGTCAAATATCTTCACAATCCAGTACAACTTCTAGTAGTGAACCACTTGCAACTGATACAACAAACGCTCCGACTGAGAATTCGTTGAAAACCGATCTGTTGTCGTATTCCAGCTCGTGCAACAGCAGCGCCCCGCCCAGATCAAGCAGCAGGCACCCCCATCCCCGGCGACCAGTTTAACCAGCAGTCGTAATAATAACACACGCAGTGAATCTTCTTCTTCTGGTAATAGTAGTAAAGAATCAACGCCTACGGCTTCTCCAGCTAAAACAATGTCACGTCCGTTGCGTCCTCCACAAAGTGGAGATGCGATGCGAGCGCCATCTTCAGCTACCGCTCGTCCATCTGCCAGAACCTCGGTACTACCACAAAGCGTGCAGAGGGATGATTTGACAGCGTGTAGATTCTGTCAAAGGCGATTCCAGACTGATCGCATTCAGAAACATGAAGATATTTGTGGGAGGACAGCGAAAAAGAAGAGGAAGGTCTTCGATTCGACTAAACATCGAGTGTCTGGTACTGATGTTGAACCCTATGCGAAACGAATCTCGAAAACGGTGAATAAGGTTAGTTTTCTTGGGTTTTAGAATGAAATATGTGTGTGACTAATTATTTTATGTGATAGAATGCAGCCAGTGAGAAGGTTGCACAGAGACAATCCACAACTAAGGTTAGACTAACTACATAACCTCAATTTTTGGTTATTTTTGTTTTTGAGGTTATTTAATGTGTGTTTATGTTTTTAGAGTAAAGCAACAACGTCTAATACCGGTTGGAGGCAAAAACACGAGGAATTTATCGCTGCTATTCGTGCGGCGAAGCAAGCGCAGGCGCATATCGCTAAAGGTGGTGATATTCGTGACCTGCCTCCACCTCCGCCATCTTCAAATCCTGATTATGTGCAGTGTCCGCATTGTGGCCGCCGTTTTAATGAATCTGCTGCAGCGCGTCACATTCCAAAATGCGCTAACTATCAATTTAACAAACCCAAACCAGGACGCAAATAATTTATGACTAAATTTATTAATCTTATGGTTAAATCACAATTGTTTCCTGCTTTTAGTTTGTAGACTGATTACAAATTGAGAATCTAAAATTATATATGAATCCTAATTAATTTAAAAATGTATTTACTGAAGTTGAATATTTAACACACTTAGTTTTAGTCGAGTGTGTAAAATGAAATTAATAGAAACTAAAAATTGCTGTTATAATTTTTGTATTGTTTTTACTTTTTAATGTGTCGGATGGATAATGGATATGTTGATGAAGAATGAAAATATGTGAGATGTTGTTAAGGAAAAGAAACTATTTTATTGGTGCTGTGCTATTAATTACTATTAAGCTGTAACGCTTTAAATTTAGGAACGTTATTATTTTAAAATTATTTGTAAAACTAAAATTGCAAGCATAAATAAATAAAATATTTTTTAAAGAAATTTATTTTTTGGTTGTAGCTTCTGATTGGAAATAGAATGTTGCAAGTGATATTATGGGTGATTGGATAAACAAATACCAATATAGTGAGAGAAGGAGTTTGAAAATTAATTGATACCAAAAATCCATAACCTGAAAATAGAAGAAAATGTGTAAAATTGCAAAAATTATTATTTATGGTATCATTTCAAAACACAGAATTCCGAAAATGAGTAAATGAAGAATACACCTCATTAAAATATTGTTTTTCTTATTTTGATGAAGAAAACAATTGATTTTGGTACGAAAAACACACTGTGATACGTAACACAGCATGAAACAGTCTGGATTGATTGCTAAACAACATAACCTCAAAAATCAGCCATACGTATGCCATGTTTTGAGTAGAAAATGAATTTCATTCTCATGAAATTATATACACACATTGATGGAATTAAAACATAAAACAAACTTACATTTGATAAAACGCCAAAACTGATTGCACCGTCCCTACTCCCAGCGATTAATAATTGAACCAAAGGAGCAATCAAATATAAACCATAAGACAACCTCCCCAAAACAGTGAAAATATGCATTGATAAAAACCTTTGAATCACACCAGCACTGCCTATAACATATTTAATGAGTAAAACTTATTTAATCTTAAAATTTAATTAAAAAATTTATTATTTACCTGAACGACTTTCAACATAAACAAATATAATCCACAAAATCATCAGAGACCATATTAAATTATAAAAACCAATATAAAGTGCCTTAACCAACCGTGGAAGATTTAAATATGGCGCATACATTGTAAACATTGTGGTGAATAATACCAAAAAACAAGTTATAATACAACCATGTTTGTAATATTTGTTAAGGTGCTAAAAATAAATAAATTTAGGATTTATTTCAGTAAAATAGTTGATTTAAAAGTGATACCGGAGTATAATGACTTAATATTTTCTTCTTGTAAGCGTATCCTGCTAAAAGTGAACATAACCACACAGGACTTCGAATGTGTGTTGGGAAGTATATATAACTAAAGTAATCTGTAAGCCATCTTTAAAAAGATAATTATTTTAGGTAGTTGACTAGTTATTATATAATGAAACTTACGATTGTAGTGTTGGTTCCAATTTCATACTATAAGCAACATTAGTTGCCATCACACAAAATAAGAAAGTTAAAATAAATACAAAATATGCCGCCATTTTAAAACTTTTTCTCATCAAAAAGAAGAGTATTGGACTTGCAAGAGTAAGATGGAAGTCTACAGACATGTACCAAGTGTGAATTGTGCACTGCAAACAACAATTACTATTGAAACATAGTTTACAGATTAAAACAATCAAAATTAAATTTACCATTGAATCAGGATTGTAATAATTTTGTATAAGAGCATAACTAGTCCACACATTTTGACTGCATGTGTTCTTTAGATATCTACGTGTCGTGAACCACATGGGACCACTTCCCAAATCAATCAAACTTGTGTGGAAGATGAGTAACAATGGATACATTGGTAATATAACACTAAAAATATACAAATAAATTTTATATAGCAAACTATGTTCGCTTTTTACCCAAAAATACGTTGTTTTAAACTTGTCCCGAAAGTTGGTTCCATGTAACCCATCAAAAAGCCATTTATAGTTTGAAATTGATATAAAACCATCACTACCATGAAAACTGAAGCGGCTGGAAGCCGTTGAAGCCACTAAAGTAACAATTATTGTGAATTTACGTTATTAATAGTTGCCAATATAGGCAACCAACTATTCTCTCAATACTTACTTCAAAAGCATCAAAAACATTAACATTAGGAAAATACAAATTTAATTCATATATACTAGCGTATAAAACCCACAATGTTGATATAGTCCTCACTCCATCCAGCACTTGAAACTTAGCTGGTTCAGTACTTTTATCCAATAACTTTATCAAAAACACTTTCAAATTAAAACAGCCAAGAAAGTTGTTTTTCAAGTAAATTCGCTTGGTAAACATCGATGTAATGTTAATCAGCGAAACGAAACCAGTAAATATTATGAATATCCATCTAAAACAACAAATTACAGGTAATAAATATAAATAAATTATTTAAACATACATAACAAGCGAAAATTTTGGAGTGTCAAATTTATCACTAGTCACATCAATCACAGTATAATCCCAATCTATGTTCAAAGTTTGGTTATGTTTGTTTTGATGTTTGTAAAAATCAATTATTTGGAATCCATCTTGTAAAACAAGTATATCTTTACTTGTGCATGGTTTAGGGACACAAACACCAATTACTGCACTTGCTGTCCATACTCCTGAATACCTTTTAAAGAGTACAGAAGTTCCATGTGTAATATTCTACAATTAACTATAATAAACACTGAAATACATTTAGTTATTTAAATATTACGTTTAGGTACTCATCGATTTCATGTATATAAATCAATAGTGTCGAATATTTCAATGAAAAAGTTTTTGACAGAAATTTACATCGTCCATAATCGCCTAAACTTGGAAAGTCACTTAAGTCAGTAAGTGGTAAATGTTGATTCAAATCATAAACTAAAAAATCAATAAATTTACAAAATAAAGAATAAAAACTGTAAAAATTTTATTTACACAGCTCAAGTTTAGATATTAAATTCTTTTGATCATCTCCATGTTGTGTAATATAACCTAAAAACTGTTTCCGGCACTTTTCACTTAACCTCTCCTCAGCATCCGACGTAAAAATCCAATTATCAATATTATCAACTTCTAAACATTCACACACACTAAACCACCCGCACAATAAAGAAATAATTTGACATAAAACGTTAAACTTAAAATTACGCATTGTAACAGCTGTAATATTACACTGTAACTGCGTAATTTTACATAAAAACATAAAACCCGCAAAGGAATTAGAAGAATGTTTAAAATATTCGCATATATGTCAAGGTAATTGTGAATGATAACCATTATTTAATGTTTTCACATATTCAAAATGAGTATTTTGCAATTAAGACATCCAGAATTCCTTCTACGTCATACTACATAACGTCATCATCATTATTAAGTGTAACGTACAAAAATACAATTAAAATTACGTTAAACAACAAAGTATCGTAATAAATATTCGAAGAAAATAACAAGTTTTAGATTTCATGCGAATTTCAAATTGATTACAAGCACCAGTAACATACACAATTAAGTAACAGTAGTATAACCTACAAATAATAATAAATAAATATTAATTCTCTTACTAATACCTAATATTGGTAAAGTTTTGCATTTAAGTAATATTAATTAAGCTTTGGTATTAATTCGTTGATTAGTATTACATCAAATGTTACTAAAACATAGAAATACTCAAGTGTGACGTCACATGTATCATGTGAGGTTATAATTTATGGATGAGTGTGGCAGTCTTGTGTTATTAGCATTTTAACTATAAACCTACAAAAATTACGTGATGTATGAGTATCACATGCGTTTGGTAGCATTTTCATCGTCGTGTTCGACATCGACTTCATTCGTAGAGTTTCGTGACTGTTGTATAACCTCACTTGGAGATGGAGGCGCCACATGTGTTCCTCCATTTGTTTCATTTGATGTTGAAGTTGAAGTTACTGTATCGGATTGAGGTGCGTTTGTTTGTACTTGTGTTTGTTGCATTGTTGCATAGTCTTCTTGCTTTTGATACTGTTTTTGTTGTTCGATGTTATCACTTAGTTCTTTACCACGTGTCTCGATTGGTAGGACAAGGCAAGCTATGGCTGCCAAGATGGCTGCCACTGCGTATACTGTAGTAGCGGCACTTATTGATGTTTTTACTAGGACCTTAAATTTAAAATTTGTTAATTTAAGGCTATGTTTTGTTTTAAATTACTTTTTTAAGTAATGTTTACCTGTGCAATGTACGGTGTTATCATAGCGCCTAGTCGCGCCATCGCACTGCAGGAACCAACACCAACAGCGCGTAAAGATGTCGGATATACTTCCGGTGTGTAGACATATGCGGCTTGGAAAACACCGGCAATGATACCGCGTGCCAAAAAAAGCATAAACGTCAAAAACGCTCTCCTAAAGCCAAAGTTACATTTTTTAATAATTTTACTTAACCTATAATGATTTAAAGTATACTTACGTTTCTGTGCATACTGCAAGGAAACATACACAAACAGCAAACACAACAAACTGCACCGCCATTGTTTTTTTACGTCCATATCTTTCAATTATGAAAATAGTGGCAAAAATACCCGGAAACTCAGCTAAAGTTGTCCAGAGAATATCCATGTAATCTTTAGTTTGCAATTGACGGCATTCAGCTGAACAAGTCTCAATATTGCGGGTGGGTTTAGCCATGCAGGCGTTTTCAGAATTCTCAAAGAGTTCAGTTGTCATCAGGACCAAACCATAATAACAAAACGCGCATGACATCCTTAATATAAAATAATAATGTTAAATTTAAGTTAAATTTGGTTCATGAATAAAAGCTTACCAAATGAACCATAAAAGCAAAGAAGTCCTTCTTAAATATGGAACTAAAAGATCTCTGAAACGTCCACGGTGTGGGGACGCAGCGTTAGCATCATCCACCACAAGCCTTCCAAGAAGCATAGGTTTACCATTATCTTTTGCTATTTTTTCTAAAGTGGCTAGTGCCTTTTCTGTTTGCCCACTAGCAACATGGAAACGAGCAGATTCTGGTAGCCACTAAATAAAAAAAAATAGTTAATATTAATAATATAGTAGGTATCTAATTATGACTTACTGGTGTGATTAAAGTGAAAGCCAATAAAGGACCCGTTGACAAAAATAACAACCATTGCCATCCTAAAGTTGGCATCACAACCAACGCCATTGCAACTTCAAAACATGCTCCCAAGGCCCAAAAACACTATTAAAAATGCAATTATAGTATCAAAAACATCCAAGCAATCCAACATAACCTATATTTTAACCTATGGATATTATCAACTTACATCCAATAGTACTACACATTTTGCACGTTGTTTGGTCGGTAGAAATTCAGCGTATAATGTCACACTACAATAGAAACCCAAAATATAACCAAACTTTTCAAAATAAAACCAAAAATCAAACTTACGATTGTGGTGTACATCCAATAGCAAAACCAACCAGTGCTCTCAGAAACAAAACCCACATATAACTCGGAGCAATCGAACTCAACACGCCATAGTAGAATAACAAAACCGAACACAAAGTCAACGCGCTTTTTCGGCCATATCTATCGCTTAAATTACCCCAGAACGTAGAAGACAACATCATGCCTAAGAAAACAACAGTTGTCGTCAACGCTTGCTGATATCTACAATAAAATACATCAAAATATAGCTGTTAATTAAGGTTATGTTATTTTATATATTTTATATCTTTATACCTAGATATATGCCAATGACAATGCAATGCAGGTGATAAAATAGACAAAATAGTCATTTCCATACTATCAGCCATCCAACAGAGACCTGTCCATAAGGATAACTTCACCTGGAACCATCCAAAACCCAAGGCGTTCACAGCTTGCGTTACTGTGAATGTATCTAAAGAAAAACAATTTTTAAAGTTGATAGCAGTAAATTATTATAAAATAAATTACCATCAGGGACAACAGAGACTGATGCCATCTCAATCTCCTGTGGTAATCCGTTTTCATCATCCCCGTGCCTTGGTACCACGTGATTAATCTGCGACGAGTATGACCCATGATTACTCGACCCGCTGTCGATGTCTTCATAGCCCCTGTTTCTTTTTAGCACCATTTAATACACGTCACAAACACGAAATATGTTTTCGCAGAAACAAAAAGAAACTAAACTATTTATTTGATTGGTTATTATTTATTAATGTCACTTTTGTTGCAATTGATTTTATTCATTCAAGTTTTTATTACTTATATTCATAAATTTTTGTCTTAAGTTAAGTCAAGTTCAAGTCGCGTTCTTGCATTCGCGGCATTACAACTGGCGTTGAGGTGAGCTGTTGTTAAACGGTAAATTTCGTCGTCGTCATCACCAACTTCGGAGTCTTCGGCGCAAGAAGCATGCAAGTGGGGGAGGTGAGTCAAGTCGACTTCAAGTCACGAACCCGTCGGACTGGAAAACAGCTGAGCATGGTTTGGAATCCGACCAAGATTTTAACCTCAAAGATATGCTAAGTAAACAAATCCTAGCAAATATATGTGCCACTCATGTACACACTGCGCAAATAGAAACAAAATGTCTTATCTTATTTGTTTATGATCTGCAGCCGTAAGTTTATGACATTTTAATACTTAAGTAGTGTTACTTAACTTGCTAAATCTCAATTAGTAGGTTTCCATGATGGAATTTAAAGTAAAAGGAGAAATTGCGCCGGTTTTTACACCATTCAAACAAAATGGGTAAATTTTATTTTGTTTTGAATTAAATTTGACACTAAAATAATTAATTTTCTTTCAGGGATGTAAATTTGGATGTAATTCCACAATGTGTGCAGCTTTTACTTAAAGATAAGTCTTTGACTGGTATTCTTGGTAAGATTTCTTCAATTTCTTCGTCAAATTTAGTTTGAATCAATTTTTAATTTATTACTTAATATTGCTAATCAGTTAATGGAACTAGTGGTGAAGGTATGTCTATGAATACAGCTGAAAGAAAGGCCACAGCTCAAGCTTGGATGCCAGCTGTAAAGTCACAAAAGAATCCATCTCATGTGATGATTCAAGTTGGAGGTACTTCTTTACCAGATGTGCTAGAGTTGGCAAAACATGCAGAAAGCATCAAAGCTGATTCAATTCTTTGTTTGCCTGATCTTTATATGAAGCCAAGGAATATTTCAGAATTGGTGGCGTATTTGCGAGTTGTTTCGAAAGCGGCTCCTAATACTCCGTTATTATATTATCACATTCCTATGTTTACCAATGTCAATAGTAAGTGGCAATTGCGTGTATAAGTATATTATATGTTTGTTTATTTATTTAACTTGTTTTTATTTGGTTTTTTAGTTCATATGGGACAGTTTTTACGTTATGTACGTGAAAATCCAGGATGTATTCCTACTTTTGTTGGAATTAAGTTCACTTCTAATGATTTGGATGAGGGATATGAAGCGTTAAAAACGGGATTTTCTGTTTTCTTAGGTGCAGACACGGTAAGGATTATTGTTTTCATGCAAAAACATTACTGAAAAATGATTTTCCTTTGAAAATTTCTGATATTTTAATAGATATTGTGTTTTTGGATCAAAAACATCTCCAACAAATCGAAGATTTTAAAAGTCTACTTAAATTAGGTTAGGTTGGGCAAAGATTTTTGTTTTGGGGCAAAATCATAACTTATTTCCACTAAAAAAAATCTTTTTCTTTGGTAACTTTTTTCTCTTTGAAAATTTCCTATATTTTAATAGTTATTCTACTTCTTGGAGCAAAAACCAAGTTATTGGCTCAAATATTTTTTAAATAAGATTAAATTAGGTTAGTTTCTAACCTCAACATTTTAATATTTTCAGTTAATGCTTTCCGCTTCACACTTGGGTTTCGATTCAGTAATAGCAACGTCTCTGAACTTTTACACCACACAAATAATGGATACAACCAAGTCTAACTCCCAAAGGCAAAAAGAACAACTTGAATTAATCAGCGAAGTGAAGCTAATAACCAAAGAAGGTAAATTTAAAACAAAAACATGAATAATCTATGTATTTATTTTATTTCTAATATTTAGGATGTGGTTGGGTACCATCAATGAAAGTGGCAATGAATTTAAAATCCACCGTCAACTATGGTCCTGTTAGAGCACCATTACCAGCATTGACTGAGAAACAAGTCACAGAAATGAAACAATCGCTTGCGATCACCGAAAAACATTTGTCGCTCAAAGTGAAAATGTAAAGTACAGAGTGATTCTTTAGGATTATAATCATTATGAACACCAAGTACTGTCTAAATTGCATTTCTCTTGAAACCATAAATACATCAGTTGGTCGTTTTCAGGTAATTCTTTTAATGTCTCTGGTAACTTGCTAAACTGCTTCTGTAACATTTAATATAATCAACATTTTAATATCTTAGTATTATAACAAGAGATTTTACCATTGCTGGTGGATAAATTCTTTTACAATCGCCTCTATTTAAGTGTTCCCTATGAGCTTCTCTGAGATCCTGTTCAAGTTCTTTGTTTTGTTGTAAACAGAATTTGCACACCTTACAAACCAAATCAACACAATTATTTTTGCAACCTGATCCAGAACAAACATTCGGCTGTACTAATATATTCTTCTCGCTTGTTTCCATTTCAATATTCTCTTGAAATTTATGAGATAAATCTTTTTGAATTCTATCTGCCAGTCCAACCAAACCAAACAAATTGAACAAAACCTGCTCATAGATTAACACATTCTTTCCATAGCGCTCTGATGTTAGTTTAGGACTTATATTTGCTTCTAATATAAATACATTCAAATCCTCGTCAATAAGACAGTCAAATCTTAGTAGTTCAAAAAAATTTCGTTTTGATTTATACTGTGCCATGACTTTTTTGATATCAGATTGTTTTGAGACTATAGCCATACCAATAGCTTCATCAATCTGATTCCAAATGTAAGCAGTGTTGCGACCTGCAATAGTTAAGTACGCAGAAAGACTATCTCGCCAACGATAACCTAACTTATCATATAAGTTTTGTATTATATCAATATCCGGATGAATATCTGACACGACATATTTATCAACGTTTTTAGAATCAAATGGATGGAATTTTTCTGGACAGAATCTCAAAGGAAAATCTCCGTTGTAAATATAAATCCTGAGTGGATCAATTGAGGTTATGATAGTGTAGACTTCAATGTTAAACATGTGACCACCAACTAATAAAGGTTTTTCTAAGAATTCTTGTATAAATGATCCATTTGTATCTAGGTATCCGCCTGTTTTTATTTCTTCTGAAGATTTTATTTCGATTTTACCTTGCCTGTTGTGGTTTATAACATATTTCTTTTCAGGATGTTTTGCGGCAAAATTTAAAAATGTTTCTTTTTCACTTGGAAGCTTAAAAGCTGGTAAATTATATTTCAAAGGTGTTGTACTGAGTTTATCTTTTTCTGTTATGTATTCACATCCAGGAAAGTGATTTATTTTTTGATAAACTCCCAAATTTTTGAGTTTTTCATAGTGGTCTATAAAAGTATAATTAAATGTCCATAATAAATTCCAATCTTTGTTGTCCATAGACAAATCTTTGAGAGATGTTATAGATTTATCTTGTCTATACCCTAAAGAGTTTAAAACTCTCCAGACATGTTTTAAAGTGTTTCCTTTTGTAACATGGTCAATTGTAACGTCGGTTAAATAAACTCTAGAACTTTGTATTTGTTTCCGATCATCACTTATTCTTCCCAAGTACACCATTGTTATAATGGCAAAGACAGTAATCAATATTGATGTTACTTTTAGTTTCTCGCATGCTAATAAACATTCTATAAATGTCTGACGTTTAGGACTCGAGGGTGTTTGATTTTCTTTAATTGGGAGTTTATCCTGGGATATTTCTTTAGTACTATTTGAATCAGGTTTTCCTGATTTTTCAACTGGATCTTGAACTTCTTCTAGTTCTTCTTCAAGCGGAAAAGGGGTTGTCTCTTTAATATAAAAATCGCTTGTATTAGATTCTTGGATGGATTCTTCGGAAGCCATTTTATAGGAATTTTTATTGACACTTAAAATTTTAACTTTGTTGTAATCAATTGAGTTAAAAAGCGTTTCAAAGCCAACTATATAATTATATTCAAAAATTCAATTTTTGCCTCTAAACCAAAATTTTCTGCAAAAATATTTTATTCATTCTAAACAATATAATTTCCCGAGCATTAAGAGAGAAATTTTTAAAAAAAGTCATATCGTCTATTAAAATTACAAATAATGTACAATAAAGTATGATTTTATTAATATACATAAAAATAGTTGTGGTTGTTACCAACACCAAGTACGATCCAAGTTACACTTTTCCTGGAACCACATGTACATCAACTGGTCACTAATCTGCAATTCCTGGAGACTTTTCGGCAACTTTTTAAATGGCTCCTATAAGAAAACAATAACAACAAAACAAAATAAGAAAATTACATTTTCGACTTTGAGTTCAAAGTAATCTTACCATTGTTGGTGGAAATATCCTTTTGCAATCTCCTCTATTTATATGTTCCTTATGAGCTTCTCTTAAATCCTGTTCCAGTTCCTTGTTTTCAGCCAAACAAGCCTTACATAATCGACAGTCCAAATCATCACAATTATTCCTACAGAGTGCACTTGAGCAAAGATTAGGCAAAACCATAATATTCTTCTCACTGGTCTCCATGGCAATATCCTCAAGAGATCTCAAAGCCACACTTTTAGTTACTCTATCACCTAACCCAATCAATCCAAACAAATTAAACAAAACCTGCTCGTAGAGCAATTGGTTAGGTTTAAAGTGCGCTGATGATAGGTTAGGACTCATATTAGCCTCCAAGAGAAAAACATTCAGCTTTTCATCAACAAGGAAATCAAATCTCATTAGTTCAAAAAAGTTTCTCTTAGATTTAAACCTTTTTATAATTTCTACAATTTTGGACTGTTTCGAGTGTATAGCAATACCAATTGCTTCTTCAATCTGTCTCCAGATAGTAGTACCATCACGGCCATCATCAGCCAGATAAGCATTGAGACTATCCCGCATGCCATAACCTAACTTTTTGTACCAGTATTGAATTTTCTCCACTTCCCAAATCGGAAGGTAATCATCTCCAACAACATATTTATCAAGATTATTAGGATCAAAGGGTTTTAATTTTTGTGGACAAAATCTAAGCAACACATCCCCGTTATAAATGTAAATCCTAAGAGGATCCACTGATGTAATAATGGTGTAAATCCCAATGTCAAACATATGTCCACTAACTAACAGAGGTTTATCCAAAAACTCCTGAACAAATGATCCGTTTGTATTCAGATGTCCCTCGGTTTTGATTTCTTCTAAAGATTTCACTTTAATATGGCGATGTTCATTATCTTTTATCACGTATTTCTTTTTCGGGTGTTTCTCCGTGAAATTCAAAAACTTTTCTTTGTCACTCGGAAGTTTGAAAGCCGGAAGTATATACTTCAATGGAGTTGTGCTTAATTCCACTTTAGTTGTAATATATCCGCAGCCAGGAAGGTGATTCACTTTCTGATGAGGTTTTAAGTTCTTTAAACGCGCGTATTGATTCACAAATGGATAATCAAACGCCCAAAGAAGATCCCAATCTGAAGAGATGTCTGAAATATCTTTTCCGGATACAGGCGTTTCTTGATGATATCCAAAAGCGTCTAAAACTCTATAAACGTGTTTCAATCGTGCGTCTGTAGATGTTGCTTCTTTTCGGAAATATGTCCAGTATTTTCTGTTTTTGAGGTTATTAGGTATTAGTTGATGATTGGTTAGGGTTTGGTTGATTCTATCTACTTGACAGTCAGCCATTTCGTAGAAACAACGCTTGCATTCATCGATTCCGATGTACGCCATTGTAATAACAGCAATTATTGTAACCAAAACAGAGATGACGTTTAGTTTATCACAGGAATTTATGTATTCCATGAATGTTTGATGTTTTGCGGGATTTGTTCTAAAATGGCGGGGTTTTCTGGCTACATTTGATGAGTTTTCTTGGTCACTTTGTGTGCTATCGTAGGAATTTTGTTCACTGTCTTGTTGTGTGTCTTTTATTTCACGTTTTGAGAGTTTTTTCTTGTTCTTTTCACTTTTCTTAGACTTTTCTGTATCTTTTTTGTCACTCATTTTGTTGTTTTGTTGTTTTTGATGTTTTTTGGCACTGGATGATTATTAAACAATGTTTTAAAGATAACTAACACACATTTCTGTTTCGTTTAAGAATTCGGCGCTGAGAAATCTTGATGTTAATAAAAATGTAACGGTACAGCCGGTTTGGAAGTCACACGCGTTCAGGTCGCCGAATCACACGCGAGTAACACATGATCTTCCACTTTACATTACACGCACACCTTCTTCAATTTCAATTAGACCTTAAGTCAGTTCAATAACTTCTACTAAATTAAACAACAATAAACTTTTTGCGTTGTTTGGTGAAATCAAAATCAATGTCACAAAACGAAAAAGAAAACTGGTACACAAAAGTTGGAAATCAAACTTGTGACGAGAATTTTTGATTTTATATGTACGTAGAATACGTTTAATGCGAATGTATGTCGCGCCAGTAATGGATGTACTGAAGAAGGAGCGTCTGGTAGACTGGTGAGACTGGTAGAAAGTGCCATTAACTAACAAACGTCAATCTGCTTTGCACTACGCTAAGTACGGTCTGCAAGGACAAAAGATCTAACTGTGCATGCGCATTGCACTCGGAGTCGAGCACACGTCTTCTCATGCAGTAATTGAGTAATTAAGATGGATGCGACCTTCACCTGAAGTTATACAGGTGATACAGTAACATATATGCATAATATATTCATAAAAGTACTGTAAATCGTTTAGAAAATGAAGGAATCAAATAAAATTTCTCTTTAATTATGCGGGCAGGTAAAATATTCCAGAAATAGAAGTTGAAAATATACCAATGATATTAGTAACGCAGGTAATGTCTTTTTATTCATTGTAATGCAGTTTTTACCATTAAAAACGTTTGTTACGCTATAATTAAACTTTTTTAACATTTACAATTTATTCAACCTTCTGAATTGTTGCAAAACTCCTTTTTAGGATGGTATTCAACTTTACCATATAATTATTTGTTAATTAACAGTGATTTATTAAAATTTTTAAGTAATTAAAAACTATTTTATGCCTAGGAATAATTAAATTTGAATAAACATAAGTAATTACACCGAAAATAAGCATGAAATGAAATATATTTTGTTCATGCAGTGTTTGAACGTAGGCAACTTTTTAAACTCTTTGCTGACATCGACAACCGACTATCTCATAACTTCCCAACAAAAGTTATAAAAACACACACTTTGTAAATAAATAAACATGTCTGGAATAGATCGGGTTCGAATAATGGTCCTCGGAGATTCAGGAGTTGGTAAAACATCCTTTGTACACATGGCTGGTAATTATTAACACTAAAAACAACAAAAACAAAAATTCAACAACTTTTCATTCAAGCAAACAATGAACCAATTAAAACTCCTGGCTGGACAGTAGGTTGTTCTGTAGAAGTAAAACTTCATGAATACAAGGAAGGCACACCAGGACAAGTCACCTATTTTGTAGAATTGTGGGATGTTGGTGGCTCATCTAACCATCACAATACAAGACCAGTGTTTTACACTCCTTGCCATGGTGTCATATTGGTGCATGACCTCACCAATCGCAAATCAGAAGAAAACCTAGGTAAATGGTTGTATGAGATTGCCAATAAAGATACCTACAAGGACAGGGATGTCAGTCTTCTCTCCATGCAAAGTTTTGATGATGCTGACCCAGAGAACTTCCTTGGAAGCATCCAAATTCCAATTTTGGTAATTGGAACCAAATTGGATCAAGTTGATGACAAGAAATGTGTGAATAGGACCAGCAAACTAGGAAATCAATTCGATGCTGAAGAGATTCTCCTAGATTGCAGACAGACAAGATATTTAGCTGCAGGCACAACAAATGCTGTGAAACTAAGTAGATTTTATGATAGAGTTATAGAAAAACAGTATTACACTAGAAATTCTGTACCGTCATATAGTGATAGGTATAATTCACTCTCACCAAACTTACCGCCTCGATTCTATGCAACTTCTCATCAAGATTGAATAAAATAAAAATTTAAATCATGAATATTTTCTAGTTTAGGTACGGTCCTGTTGTGTGACTGTCAGTACAGCCAACTGTTTAGTATGAAATGCGTCAGCAAGCACCAGAAAGCAGTAACTGACACTTGTTTTGTGTAAAACGTCGACGAAGTCGCTCGCCAGGCACAGTTCAGCCCTGACGACGTAGACAAGGTCGCCGCCAATCATCCCCCTCAAATCAAACCCTCCAGCTTACACGTTTTACCAAAAAAACAGCTCGGTGGATGCCAGCGCTGCGCGCAGTGAAAGTGGAAAAGTGCGGAGTCGCGACAGCGGAACGTGTCCGCTGAACGCCCCGGATACGAAACACAACTAAACGAAGAGAAGTGGTGCATGCATAGTGCCCGGATCGAATTATCTCACCTTCAGATTTCACCTACCGCCCTACATGCCCCGGGCATAGACTTGCTCTGAAGCATATCTTCGACCACCTAGCACCACCATGGCGAAGACATACGACTACCTCTTCAAGCTGCTGCTGATTGGCGACTCGGGTGTCGGCAAGACATGCGTGCTCTTTCGATTCTCCGAGGACGCGTTCAACACAACGTTTATCTCAACGATAGGTACGGACAGAATTAAGAATAATGATTGCTATTGTTTTCATACGAATTTGATTGAAAGTTCTGTGAGTCATCGCTGGATGTTGGGACAATGAATTGAATTTACCATTCACAATGCGCACGGCTCGAAACGCATGCGAGAGTTTATTTTATTTTATATAGTTGTATTTTGTCCGAGCCGCTTCGAAACTTGTAACGCGAGTGTAATTATTTATTTTTTGTATGATTTGCTCACGTCGGGACACACTCACACGCTGAGATAATTTTACCGAAACTTGTTTCACTTCAATTTTTTTTTCTAGTAAAGTATCATAGTATCGAGATTCTGCCATTTTTAAACGTTTTTAGTACAAAATTTAGCAAAAACTTCACTTGAACTTAAAATGATCACTAAATCAACCATTTTATGGCTTTAGATTGATATTAATAGATCATAAAGATGATATTTTCTTAGAATCATCGAAAATATAAACAATTCTTCATGATATTAGTCTTGGAGGTTTAAATTTCATATTTTATTGAACAAAACTCATTTAAAAACGTTTTCACTAACAAATTTAGTAAAAACTTCACTGAAACTCATTATAATCATTAAATAAATAAGTTTTATGCTTCAGATTGATATTAATTCATCATAAAACTAATATTTTCATTGAATCATTGAAAATATAAACATTTCAACTGAAATCTGCATTAAAATGCATAATATTATTCTTCGCCGTATTAAATTTCATATATGATTGAATAAAACCCATTGATGCGAGCGCTGGGACGTAATTTGCGGCCTGTTTTGTTGGCTCATTAACTCTGGATGTTTGTGGAGGCTCTTCTTGAAATTGAAGCACACCGCACCTACGCCTTGTCAATTGTTGCACATTTAAGAATCGCATTACATCACTCCGATCAATTTGCTTGAATACACTTCATTACACTGCTTAATTATTTAATTATTAACATAGTAAACGAAGCAATAGACTGCAATCAGTAATGATAGATATGTGGTCGCGAGAAATTATATTAATCATCTTTGAGTGATTGATAAAGTTGATGATAGATGATTGTTACACTTGTTACACAGGTTCAAGTTACTAAGTTCATATAGTGTTACATTTTAATTTGTATGTAGTGAAATTGTGTCTAATTATGTATTAATGTTGCAGGTATTGATTTTAAAATTCGAACGATAGACTTAGATGGTAAAAAAATCAAATTACAAATATGGTGAGTGTTATTTTAATATTACAAGAACATATTTAATCTTTTTTTGTGTTGAAAACAGTCATAATGTTGATAAAAACTACAGAAATAACTGTTTTGATAATGATAATGTACTTCCCTTTATTTGAATTGTGGATATTCCATACAAAAACAAATTGCATGCTGTTACATTACATAAAACACTTTTTTCACTGAACATTCGCTAATTTATTATATACAAAAGATATGAATAGATTTGTTTGATCAATACTTCATAGTACTGATTAAACAAAACTTTTGTTTTCACTCCACCAACTCTAAAACACTGTCAGGTGTAACGTGTAACATAAACTAGTACTAAAACATGTTTTTGGTTAATGTTTTAGGGATACGGCTGGTCAGGAACGTTTCCGAACGATAACCACAGCGTATTATCGTGGCGCGATGGGCATTATGCTCGTCTATGACATAACGAACGAGAAGAGTTTCGAGAATATTAAGAATTGGATAAGAAACATCGAGGAGAATGCGTCGGCGGACGTGGAAAAGATGCTGCTGGGTAACAAGTGCGAGTTGGAGGATAAGCGGCAGGTGTCCAAGGAGCGAGGTGAACAGCTTGCGATTGAGTACGGGATCAAGTTCATTGAGACCAGCGCAAAGGCGAGCATTCGCGTCGAGGATGCTTTCTATACGCTCGCGAGGGATATCAAGGCGAAAATGGAAAAGAAACTGGTAGGTTTATGTGAATGCTTTGTTTATTTATGTTGTTTGTGGTGGAAGTAGCGTTTTGTGATTAATAATATGAATCTTTCTCTTTTCTTGTATCCTACTTGTGATGGGCAGAAGGTAAATAATTGTTATATGGTTATAGGCATGTTTTCCGGGTTTGAAATTTGCTTGTTGCATGGAAATTTATTGCAAATAATATGGTTGTAGTGTTAGATATAAAAATTTTAAGTTTTTGGACGTTTTTAGTGTATTTTTGAGTAGTTTTGTTGATTAGTAGCTTGAAAATTAAAGAATTGTCAATATTTTGAGATTAGATTAGTAAAAATACCTTCACAGCAGCCATTTTGCTATACCATTAGTTAATTTCCATAACATTAACAAAAACATAAAACAATTCCTTCTTAAAATCATAATAACTCAGCTTTTATATGATAACTCATTGTTTTCTGTAAATTTAAGTGTTTCTGACGTCTGTGTTCTAATTATACCCATTACATGCTGTATTCGTTTGATGCAAGTTGTTTTCTATGTTCAGGTGCTTGCATTAGTCAATTTATGCACACGCTTATAAACAATTACGACAATAATTTATGCAAGAACTCACTACGATCGATTACTAACCCATCCACCTTGCGCATGTATCGCTCGCGCTCTGTTTGGATATTGTGTCATGATGATATAATTACTAATGACGCAATTGGTTCTGTTTCTTTAGGAGGCGAGCAATCCACCGAAAGGCGGCCACCAGCTGAAAGCGTCCGAGCCGCAGCGGAAGCCCACCAACTGGCTGTCGCGCTGCACTCTGCTCTGACCATCTACCGCTAGTGACGTTATCAAATTTATACATACTACCTACAATATGAATATACCGATAATAATTAAGCATTAAGAGGGCGCAGCAGGGGCACAGAACACTCTATATCTCGAGACAAGTGAGCACCGCGCGGCGGTCCGGATTCAATTAATAAATGTAATACTTGGGGTAATGTATAATGTTAAACGAAAGTAAATGTTAGAATTTAATGTGCAACCTGTAGCGGCACGCAGGCAAACCAGGCTCTGACTGGCCGAACAATGTGAAAATTTAACCGATAACAGGCATGAAATATGGTAATAACACTGAAAAACAAAAAAAACAACTGAAGACTTTATTAACTTTACTTAAGTGTAAATGTAATATGTAACGATTTTTTTATGTGCTTCGAAGAAGCGAACGAATTTTCTATGCAAATCGTAGGCGTGCGCGCATGTTTAGCATTTAGTACGCGCTGATTATGCTCATTTTTGTATCGTATTTGTTGTACATTTTGTTGCTTCGACACTTGAAACTAGCAGGGATCGCGATACCAGCAGACTAACTAAACAAAAAGACTAAGAAATAACTAAACTTTTGCTTGCTTCGCGATGGCGGCAGGAATTTTGAAAAATATACACCGATCACTTGGAGATGTTTACACGTTGTATACAAGCATGAGGTTAGATATCATCTTGACATTGAATAACTTTATAAGCAAATAGTATTTGTTACAAATAAGACATAACTGATGGATTTTGAGAAGAAATACAACCCCAACAGATGAAACAATCACTTATCACCACCTCTATGGAATAATATATACTTTTTCTATGATAATTCCACTTGAAAACACGTTGAAACAAAAATAACTCGAAACACAAGGAAATATGTGACAGGTATAAACTTTATACTTGACTTGAGGTGTTTTGGTTTGAAATAATTGTTCTGTTGTTGAGATTAGGTTGATTTAACGTTTGGTGAAAGCCAACTGAGGAATGAAACATGTGATGTTTTTATTATTATAATTTACATGCATTTCGAGCACTGGTCATGCGCAACTACTTTAATAGCGGTCCTTTTTTGCAAAGTTAATTGTAATTTGCAAAATGTGGGACCAAAATATCTGCTAAACGCTTGCGAATCTTCTACATAACGCAATAGTTGTGTCAAATTAGCTATAAACCAGTTCATGCTGTTAAAATTACGGTTTTAGAAAAGTTTTTGGCCAGTGCTTCAATTCATGCTTCTTTCTAAGGTTAGTTATTTATCGAGGTGATTCAGATTTCTTTTGATATTATATTGATTAAACGTGAAACACGAGCGAACACGCACCATGTATCTACACAATGTTCTATTACTTATAATGCGATTTTACAAATATTTGTTCTGCTTATCGAAAAGTTGTAAAATAATTTGCGAGAAGTTTGTGTGTACGATTAGTCCTATTAACGATGAAACTCTAGTTAATTTATTTATGTTAGTACCATCTTTATTAAGTTTATAAATACGAACGAAATTTGATGCGCGAATTTGTTGCAAATGCAAACACCGACAACGCAGAATTTTTGAGCGAAATGCGAAACGAAACTAACTGAATACTATTGTACATAGACATAAACGAACCTAATATAAATACAAATGAATTAAATGACACATTGATACAAAAAATAAACGAAAAGTATAATAATATCAACGTGAATTGCTTATTTTTTGCCTTGTTCTTTAAACATGTAACAAAAGTTGCCTATTTTAAGAAAGAATTTTAAATTCAAAAGTTTCTAGTGAGAAAGTATTGTATGACTGGTTGCCCACTTCAAATCCTGCATGGTTTTGAAGTGAAATCAGTGAAAACGCCGAAAATTGTAATAAATACCTTAATTTAGCCTCAATAAACAATGAAATGTTAAAGTACTATTACCTGGACATCAGCTTGTAAGTTTAATTTATTTACTTCTGTAATTTAACGCATATTACTAGTATAACTAACGCAAAACGTTTAAATTAATTTGCTAACCTTAAAAATGTCCTTAAATCTTTAGGCAAACTGAGCATATCGAGTTGACGGAAGCGTTCTTCAAGCAGCAGGTTATCGAGGGCTTATCAGCGCTCTTTGGTTTTGCTTCTCAAGCATTCTGCATTGATTTACTGAAGTATAATCCTGAATCATTAAGAGGCATAATAAGAGTTTCAGCTGACCAATACGTAAAGGTCAGAGCTGGTCTCACTTTATCATTGAACCTTCAAGGGAACCCTGCAAATTTTTACGTTCACAAAGCAAGTCCTCTTCTGCTAAGCCTTCAAGGAGATAGCAGAGATTATATCCATTAAATTTTTGGGATTATTATTGACTAGTAAAGAAATATGTCACAACAATTTAAATTAAATCACAAAGATCTGGTTATCTTTGCAACCAAGGATGATCACAGCAAACCCAGCACTATAAAGTTGTCTGAGCCCGATCCCCAGCCTGGATTGATACTTTCCAATGGAGACATCAACTGGAATTGTCCTTGTTTGGGTGGAATGGCTACAGGTCCTTGTGGGGTAGAGTTTAGGGAAGCATTCAGTTGTTTTCATTACTCTGGTGCTGAACCAAAAGGTAAATACATTTTAAAATTAAATTTTACACAGAAATTTATTATTTTTGTTAATTTTAGGTTCTGATTGTTTTGATAAATTCAAAATTATGCAAACTTGTATGCAACGATACCCGAGACTTTACAATAAAGAAATCGCCGACGATGATGACCTCTCCGAAGCGATTCAACAGTCTGAGCTGGCAGCAAAGGAAGCAAAAGAAGAAAATACAAGCGTGCCCAAAGTCAAGGCTGCAGCAGCTAGCGCTAGTAATTAATTTAAACAAATACTTGTTTTTCTTTAGTTAACAAACAGACACGTGATGTGATTACAATTGTTTTATATTTACGTAAATAGCTGGTATTACTGTTACAATTTGCGGTAATTATTTTTGATGATGGAGAACTTGTATGTGTGATAAATGTGAGGCAAACAGTTGTTCTATTTAATAAAGCTGAAACATTTATACCTACAACTATATTGGCTATTTTTGTATTCATATCTTGTGAAAATTTGTGTTGTTTAGGTAAAGAAAGTACTAAAACCTTGAAACGAACAAATAATTGTACTTATTTGTTTGTTTTCAGGTTGTATTTTCTAACAATGCGTTACGTAATGGTGTTCTGCGTATTGCAGCCTGTAATTCTACTCAATTGGCAATTGAAATCGCTGTTGACAGCGTATTATGCGCAAAATTACTTCAACCCCATTCTTATAATTGCCAAATGAAGAAACGTGCAGAAAATACAATAAAAGACTAAAGGAAGTAGCATGCAATGTCAATTATGCGTTAAATAAATATAAATTTATGCGAAATAAACACATCATTATGATACTATCTCTATTATAAAAGAAAATCGTATTAGTTTCTAATATTATAACTAAAAAACTTAGCGCTTTTAGAAGTGCGCTAAAATGCCCTTTAAAAATAAGCAACAAATGATAATTAAAAACAAGGTGCGGAAAACACCCTGTATCTTGTGAACTACTTGACTTTATTGATGTTTCTCACTGCTAGGTCAAAGTTGGAGAGTCTTTCTACATGATGCATATCTTTTCAACTTCCTAACCCTTTTGGAAGTGCGCTAAAAAGCCCGTTAAAAATAAGCACTTTTCAAAAAATTTTAAAACATTGTCTCATTTCTCAACGTCATGTTAAAGTTCGAGAATTCCTCTACACAATGCATACCTTTTTAACTCTTTTAACCCTGGGGAAGTGTCTTAAAATACACTTAGAATATCGCTGTTTTGTCCAATAAATTTAATTTTTGGTTGAATAACAGAGTCGAACTTTTTTGTTTAAAGTTTTCTTCGGGCGAAGAACAGGGTCGAACTTATTTTCTTAAAATATTTTTGGTCGAACAACAGGGTCGAACTTTTTTGTTAAAATATTTTTGGTCGAAGAACAGGGTCGAACTTACTTTCTTAAAATATTTTCGGTCGAACAACAGGGTCGAACTTTTTTGGTTAAATTATTTTCAGTCGAAAGACAGGGCCGAACATTTTTGATTAAATTATTTCAAGTCGAAACATCGATGAAAAGATTTTGTCATAAAAAAGTCAAATCTTTTCTCTTTTTTATGTCCGAAATTAAAAGTTGGAATTTTGAACTTCTGCTTTCAGAATCTAAACCAACAATTAATTCTTATCAATATATCCAAGTAAGATTTCAAGTGATCACTCTTGGTTTAGGCCCTACGATGAATTTAATTATTTCATTTAAGGTAGATTTATGCAGTTAGAATTTAGCGTATATTTTTTTAATCTCAATTCAAATTACAAATATTTATTATAATATTTTATCAATAAAAATGTTTTCTTTGATAATAAGCAATAAAAAGTATAAATTTTTTAATTTTCTAAAAAAATGAATTAATTATTCAAAATTTGGCGGAGGTGCCTGACATTTTAAAATTATTTTTTTTTAAATTATTAAAGATTAATAATACTATTGTGTCGAAAAGCTTATAATTACATTATTTACACAACTTCCTGATTAATAGCGCAAAGGGATTGCCCTACAAACGCATTTACTTGTAACATGTACATGCCGCTATTCTTTAAAACTAATTATCTCGGGAACTAATGAAGATAATCAAAAACGAAAAACAGGATAACGTTCAGCATGTAATTAAACATAAGATGTGATTAAAAACAAATATTTTTCAGAGTCTGAAAAATGATTTTCCGATGCGATTTTCTCGCGAACCATAAATGTTACAATGAAACTTTTTACACTTTTTTCATGTCATAACAAGGTTCTACAAAATGGCAGATTCAATTTTTTGATTCTAGAAAGTTGACAAAAATCTGCTGAAAAGAGTCAAGAGGTTACACTCACCTACTTTTTGGCCAAAAAATTCAAAATGAAGCTAGTAGAAAATGGAAAACGTTAATTGATTGAGTTTTCCAAGGGGATGAAAGATATGAAATTAGTTTTCCGATAACATCAATATTTTGGAAAATGGGTGGTAAGTTCAAAACTGATCAAATAAATCTACCTCACCAATTTTCCTCAAACTTTCCAAATCAATGTAAAAGAATGCCAGGAATCCATTAATCCAAGTTTGGTTGCGCTATCTTAATTAGTTTGTAAGTTATTGACCAATTTTAATTATTACATAAGTATGAATAACTGTAAATTTTAACATGTTATATAATGTAAAATGTAATTTTACTTACAAATATGAAAACCGTTTTTCTCTATCTCTAATGGTTTTCAAGATAAGTGCGAAAAACTGGCTTATTCAATTTGTCCAGCATTTCCTAAGCAAAAAATAAAAATTGGAAATTATAATTTTTTATTACCTAATATAGAAGAACATGTGATTCTACATACTTTATCTTAATAAAATTTTGTTCTATAATATAGCTTTTTGATAATAATAACCCTTTTTCGCTATTCAAATAACATACATTTTTTTAATTAAATTGCAAATAGGGCCTTAACGGTAAATGCTAGCTAAAACTTGCTAAAGTTACTAAAATAATCGACATAGAATTAAATTATCTATCCGAATCTGAAAACAAAATTTAAAAATTCCAACTTTTAATTTCGAACATAAAAAAAAAGAAATCTTTTGCCTTTTTTATAACAAAATCTTTTCTTTAAATTTTTTATGCATTTTTTGTAATTTTTTAAGAAGTGCACTATCTTGTAGAGAATTCTTTAAGGATCAAGAATATGAAGTCCTATTTTCCGTAGCCCTTTTAGTTCTCGAGATAATCGCAATTTAATCTCGCCGCTTTCACGGGAAAAATTAAAGAAAAAAGTTCGACCCTGTTGTTCGACCGAAAATATTTTGAAGAAAATAAGTTCAACCCTGTTCTTCGACCAAAAAAATTTTAAACACAAAAGTTTGACTCTGTTATTTGACCAAAAATGAAATTTATTGGACGAAACAGCGATATTCTAAGCGTATTTTAAGATACTTCCCCAGGGTTAATAAAGTTAAAAAATGTTTTCAAATTTTCACCAAAATTGCCAACTTTTGTAGGGTATTTTAGGGCACTTGCAAAAGGGCTAGGAAGTTGAAAAGGTATTCATCACGTAGTAGAACTCTCCAGCTCTGATATAGCAGTAAGAAACTTTGAAAAAGTCCATTAATTTATGAGATACAGGGTGCTTTCCACACAATGTTTTTAAGTTTGTTGAAAATTGCTTATTTTTAAAGGGCTGTTCAGCGCACTTCCAATAGTGTTAGGAAGTTGAAACAATATGCGCGGTGTAGAAAGACTCTCTATCTCTGACATGGCAGTGAGAAACATCAATAAAGTCAATTAGTTCCCAAGATATAGGGTGTTTTCCATACCATCTTTTAAATTTTTTTAATGCTTATTTACCGGACATTTTAGCGCACTTCTAAAAGGACTAAGTAACTAAAAGGACAAAAGGTATTTATTGCATAGTAGAAGGTTTGTGTACCTGAGGTCGACCCTCAGAAAGTGGTGGGGGTAAGCACAATGGGTACGCGAGCTGCAGATATCTGTAAAAACCGGTAGAAGTAAATAAAGGTATTACTTTTTTATCCTCTAACTATAAAAACACTGTTTCAAAATACATAAAGTTTCTTATATCACACAATTTACGTTTGTAAATAACCTCTCCTTTCCAGTTTTCATACAAGAATAAAAGAAAACATGTTAAAAGTTAAATGAGTGTTTGCGAATATATGGATGAATTGCATTAGTCATTATCTTGACTTTTCAACAAAAGTTTCTTCTGAACCTGCGGTCAAACACACGAAACAAATATTATTAGCGCATTAACACGAAATGTGTGCCACTATCGAAAACCTCAACCGCTCGTAGCAATAATTTACGGAGCGACGCGGAGGTTTGCATTATATAACAATGGAATTTAGCAACAAGTTGGTAAAATAACGTAAAATTAATCCGAACAAATCGAATATCTTTCCGCGCAAGTTAGGCACGAGTGGTATGACCCCATACCCGGTAACACATTCACATTCATAAATAAAAAACAGTGAATATATTACAAGATGTCTAGATGTTTGCTCAATCTGGATTTAATAATGTACCAATAATAATAACCATCATTATTGCATAGATTCGCAACACATATGAGTATTACAGTAATAGTAACACAAAAAATAACTCGAAAGAAAGGGAATTGAAGAGTAAAAGTCGAAAAAGTTGAAATTTAAAGTTCAACGTGCTACTAACCGTCAAAATTTTATATTGCAGTCATTCTAAGCTTTGATATGTTGCAACGTGAACAGAAAGTTAATAAAATCATTTTAAAAATTCATTAGCTGGATATTTTGTTGATATTTTGCAAGAAATGTTGAAATTTCATATTATTTATTCAGATTTATTTCACTGCCGCATTTTTATCATTCTTTTGTGTTTAAATTTATAAATATTAACGTTTTGTTTGTGTTTTTGTTCTTTGTTTTTAATAAATATAGTCTGAATAAAAAATATTAGCTTCCAGGACACGTGACACAAAAATATTTTTTTTCTCTGCGTTTTATTATCAATCTTCTTCAGCAGTAGTCACGCTCATAAAACAATTGAAGATAATAAAACCAGTAAAATAATTGAGTGTATACTTAGGTACTACGTGCGTAGTGAGTAGAATTGTAAATTTTATGTCTTCATCGCCTTCATTTCACGTCGGGTTTGCACTGTGTGGCTAAATTTATTACTATCGTGATATCTTTCATTTGATCTACTTATATAACACACTATTAACAAAGATACAAGAAGAGAAAAGGTAAACACGTACTAATTTTTCAAAAAACTACAATAATTTGTAGGTATTAATTTACTAAAAATTGTGTTTTTACTTAAAAAAATGGTAAAACAATCAATTTTATTGAACAGAGATATTAATTTATTACATTTGAGTAATTTACATGTTTGCAATATTGTAAATTTGAATGAAATGCCGGAAAGTTACATAACCTCAAAAATAAAATGTAATTACACATTATACATGCAATCATACTGACATACTGTAAACAATATGCTTCGTTTCAGTATTAAATCAACTCAAGTCAGTGCAATGACACAAATTGATGGTTTACATTTAAAAAAATCCCGTGCAAATTTGCATTTCTTGTTCAACCACTTTCCTGTAATGGCGCCGCGTTTAATTACTGTTTGTCTTTTTCTCCTCTCTTTGTTTAGTGTTTTTTATTGCATCAATGATATAATCGGTAATTAGCGGAGCATTAAAACGCACACACGCGAGTCGCGAGCGTGAAATACTTTTCGTTTCCATTTCATTTTACTACATCACTTTTTGCTTTATTTACGTGTGGTTCACGTCGCGCGGATTGAGTCTCGAGTGCGGTTATGTAACAGTGACACTTTTCTAGCCGCCACAGCCGCCATGGTGTGAATGCAGGTAAGTGTGTCGCGATGTGAGGCACGCATCATGATATCACGAGCGCAACAAAAGCGAAAAGATGAAAGCCACAAGGAACAAGAATCCAAGAGATTGAGATGCACCGCATTCAAAAATGTGAAATAAACGAAAGAAAACGAAAGAAAATCTTCAATAAAACCACAAAATCAATGTAATGTGATTACATAGAAACTTTGTTTCAACATAGAAACAAAAGTAAATGCATAATTTGTGTTTATTACATATTTTAACTGGTAAACACACGTTTAGCACATAATTTCCTAGTTTATATTTGTTTCAACCACAGTTTTCAAACTTTTCAATTGTTTCTGGTTAAGTTATGTTGAATCTAAGTGTTTGCTTCGAAATTCTCTTTGGCATTCATTTGTTTACACTACAAACAACTCAAGAATGTGTGCATGTCTATTTAAACAACTTGTTTTAATGATTATTTAACGGTTTCAATATTGAATCATCAACAAATCAATATTTTACACTTCTAATGACAAATCAATTTTTAAAATGGTGGATTTAATATTAAGTCGTAAACCTAGGTCCTGGAATGTTTGGTTAAGACGTGCATTGACAATTAAAATCATGCGTCTCGTAATTGATAAAAATCTTTTGTTTGCCAATCTTTACATAATGTCGCAAAGTGTAATTGACACTAAGAGGAAGTTCAAACACTCTCGCGCGTTGGTCTATTTGTGCGTCGCGTGCATTAATTCGTTTCGCACGAGTTGCGCAAGCGCAACACACTCAACTGAATGTCATTTGAAATTGCAATATGGCAATTGTTTAACTTTGTCTTTTGCTTCATGATACACACCAAAAGGAGTTAATATAATTACGAATGATTTTTATTCACTTCTATTTTCCTTACATTTAAATTTTGTTTGTTTGGTGCGTGCGTGTTACACAAGCACACATTACACGTGTTTCACGTTGTTTACTTCTTGTTTAATTTACACGCACCGCATTTTTGGCGTTTGTTCCAGTAGCATTGTATTTCTGAAATTTCTAGTTGTTGCAATAATTTATTCGGCACATCTTCCTATTAGCGTAGATTGCCCCATACAAAACAATCGACGATCACAAATTGCAACAAAAGTAACTATAGTGACTTAAGTGGGGAGCCATTTTCATTACTTACCTTTTCTTTAATTTCTTGTGCTTTACGTGTATTATTTATGTACATGGAGAATGAGTAACACTTGAGCAATACTGAATTGAGTGACTTAACATTATAAGAGTTGAGTTAAGCCAGTTCCCATGCGTGTTGAGTGTTGTGGTGACTGATGCGAGGGCGCAACAGCACTAGCGGTGACGGCGGCCGACCCCACCAATGATTTCGTCGGCCGTTGTTGGTCGATGGTTGTTGCGCGGTTTTATAAGTTTATTTAATACGGAAAGCAAGGCAAAGTTTGGCATTTAAGTTAAGGCTTGGGTTTAAAGTCAAGTCAGAACTAGTTGAGCCTTTCAGCAATAAGGGGGAATATTTAATAGCTACATTGAAGAATAAAATACTAATATTTTTAAAGGAATTGTGTTTCAAAGTTTAAAAATTAATTCTAAAGTTTAAAAAGTTTAATGTAAAGTTTGTGTTTTGGGAAATTATAAGTGAAATATTGTTTTGTATTAATTTTTAACTACAAATTAAAGGTAAGTGCATAATTATAATTTATTTAGAAAAATTAAAAGAAAATTGCCGAAAAGAAAAAAAAGAAGTCTTAAAGAATATGTGAGTTTTTCTAGATATTTTTTTTTCAATTTGCAATCCAATATTTGATTTTTTTGAAGTTTAAATCTCTAAGAATATTTCTCATAAATTGATTATCAAAATAACAAAATTAATTGATACACTTAGCAATAATAAATGATAATTAAAAGAAAAACTATAAATAATACTTCTTCTTCGTTTTCATTATAACCTGTAATCTGTCAATCTCATATAATTATTGCTAAATAACTATCACTAGCTTTTACTTTTTTATGATCTTTTAAAACATATAAATATAAACACATGAAAAAGTGTAAGTCTCTAGTCGCTAATACATATAATATAGCATATAGCATATTGGTGTAGGTAATTGACTTAAGTCTGTAAAGATTATAGTCAACTTGCGTTGCGTTGTCTGAGTATGTCGCGCCGAGTTAGAACGGTCACAACTCTTTGAATGTTGCAATACCGGTAGGTCAAACCGCAATCAGGCTTGCCAGAAGAGAGTCATAAAACAAAATCGTTGATACATGCAAAATATTCCGATGGTAATAGGTTATGCGCATGCAATTCAATTACGTGTTATCATGCTATGACTTAATACTAAAATTACATATTATTAGGATATCATTTTAAAGGATTACTAAATATCTTTAATTAAGGATATAATAAAAATCATTCAATAAAATAAATTTTTATTGATTAAACTTCCTGAAACGTTGATTTTATAAATTTATTACAAAATTCATTTATAGTTACGTTAATTAATTTAATTTTTCTTAAGTTTTAACTTGTAATTTTGCGTTTTTGCGTTTAGGTTCATTAAGATCATGGAAATTAAAAATTACAGAAATTTAAACTTGCGACATTTTGCAGCTGGTTAATGTAAGTAATTGCAATTAACAATTAGTTGCACTGTGTTTTGCAAAAGTAGATAATTAGGTACTCATGAGTATTTATTAGCGCATTTTGTTTGCGTATACTTTTAGCGTGAAAATTGCAATGAAACTTGAAACCAATTACCAAGAAATTAAAGTTTATAATATTTAGTTCCACTGTAAAAAAGTACAGCGTTAAAATGATGCAATTGAGAAACTACAAAAGAAAAAACTTTTTTGTTGCGCATGTTGATGTTCCAATATTACTGATTATTTACAAATAAACAAAACAAAATTACAACAATTTATACAAAATATATTTTTTTACAAAATTAACAACAATTTGACATTTTCTAATTTATGTTACACGACTAATCAAAACAGTTTGAATTAATACACAATTTAAATAATTTAAAACGTTTGTAATCGTTTCATTTCACACTTTGAGGCATGAATACTAAAAAGACGAACATGTTACATAATGTAACAATATTCTATTGGTTCTACCACAAAAGTAATACTACTAAACGATTAAATATTGTCATGTAAGATAGTGGCCGACATTTTAAATATTAAATGCCTCCTATAATTTTATATTACATAATTTTTATATTGTATCAATTTCTTTGTAGATTATAATAAGTAGTTACAATCATTAAAATGAAACCAGTCAAATTGTTGGTACCAATTTTAAATAGTTGCAAAATCCAGCAATATGTGAAAATTCATGGATCAAACATTCAAATATGTCGATATTCAACTAAATCCGATCGTACTTACTCGACTGCCTTTGGTTTATCACCGGAGTATTATGAGGAACTCTACGATGCGCCATTAGTATTCGGTCAGAGTGACGTCACGCAAACAGCGCCTGCAATTAAAGACTATAGTGCGATTCCAGGCCCGAAAGAATTGCCACTCATCGGAAATGCATGGCGATTTGCACCCATTATAGGTAATTAATTTACAACAATTAATTAATTAAATGTTATTTATGGTTGTGTTCAAGTTTATGTTTATTTTTTATTGTTTGTGTTGTTAAGGTCAATACAAAATCCATGAACTGGACAAAGTCATGTGGTCCTTGTACAAGGACTACGGAAGTATAGTGAAAGTCGGTGGACTGGTTGGCCATCCGGATTTACTGTTTGTTTTTAATGGTGATGATATTCAGCGTGTTTTCCGGCAAGAGGAAGTGTTGCCGCATCGGCCATCAATGCCTTCGCTACATTATTATAAACAACAGTTGCAGAAGGATTTCTTTGAGGGAAATGAGGGTGTTATAGGCATGTAAGTAATAATTTGCTCCACTCCGTGACTAAAGCCTGTGACTAAAGTACTTTAGTTACGGCCTTGGCCGTCCGTGAATAAAATATCAATTTTTGTGTCTCAAAACCATGGAAAAAAAGCATTTTAAAGGTGGAAGTAGAAAAATATATTTAAATATTTTAAACAATCAAATATTGATGTTAATTTATTTATTTAAGTCATGGTGTAAAATGGGATCAATTCCGTAAACAAGTGCAACAAGTTTTATTGCCGCCGGCTACAGCAAAGAAGTACATTGAACCATTGAACGTCATCGCCACAGATTTCCTCGACAGGTACGTCATTTTCTTTAATTGAATTTTACTAGTTAACAAACAATTTTTTTAAATTATTCATTATATAATTATCATATGCATAATCATATCAAATTTATTACATTGATATTTTTGGTTATAAATTCATAAATATTTCACTTGTGTCATTGTGGGTTGCATGTCCTGCATATCGCAATGCCAATTTGTAATATTCGTTACATTTGCACTCAAAACATATGTAATATGTAACATGTTATAATTTAATTTCGTTTGGCCCGCATTAAGAAAGAATTAATAGTTAAATGTATACATTGCGTTGAAAGACGTTGAACCGAACGTAATCGCTTCCTTAATACCTGCGTAAAACTAAGTCACTGGGTTAAGTGAATGTACTCAGCGTGCAGAATGGCGGCCAAGTCAAACAAATGCATAGCCACCGAGTATAAACACTACTTTGCAATAAGCTGGCAACCAAAACAACGAAATAAATAATTATCACTCGTAGTTTCAATCGAAATGTTGAACTCGTGGATTGTTACATAAGGAAATCAAAGTTGTACTCGTGAATGTTTGAAACGTGCAGGTGATTGATGTGAAGCAATGAAATTCGACATCGACATCGACATTAGGTCAATCACGCAAATGTTTTAGTCTGTAATTATCTTAGATAACATTTTTAATCGGTGCACAAAATTTCGACACGAATTAAATAAATTTAAAAATTAATTTTTGCAATTTTGAATTAAATTTTAGAATGGAAGCAATGCGAGATGAAAATCAGGAATTACCGGAAAATTTTCTATCGGAAATCTACAAATGGGCTTTGGAATGTGAGTTTTCAATTAATTTCTTGTGTTTTTTAACTTTCATTGTTACTTTTATATAATTTTTTAGCTGTAGCACGTGTTGCGTTAGACAGAAGACTCGGTTGTCTCGATCCAAACCTTGCAAGCGACTCTGAATCTCAAAAAATCATCGATTCCATCAATGTTTTCTTCTGGAACGTCGCCGAAGTTGAGTTGAAGATGCCAGTGTGGAGAGTTTACAAAAATAAATCGTTTAAAAAGTATATTGGAGCCTTAGAAAACTTCCGAACGTAAGTTTTAATAATATTTAATATTTTTTATTTTATATTCACGAAAAGTTTCAAATTTTATTTTATGGTAAATGAAAAGTGTTATATTCCATAATGTATTGTTGATATTTGACTTGGTGTCAATTCTTATATAACTTGTATTATTCGTCCGATTATCGTCGATTATATAATTTTTTTCTGTGCCGCGCGAAGAGTCGAGAACGCTAAGAATCGGAAAACGAGTTCAATGTCAATGGCAACTTTCACTTATCTTTACTTCGCCGACTTGTTCGTTTCACCGAGTTTAATGCGCGTTCGTGCGTTCAAATTTTATGCACTTTAAAATGCTTGCTCATTGATGACCAAGTACCATTTCTTGCTGTTTGGTTGAATGTTACACGCACTTTTGATGACTTAGCAGTTTCAGTTTTATTCAGATTTTATTTGGGTAGGAAGTGCTTGAAATTGAAAGTTTTGAGACTTGAGAGTAGGTCAAATTTAAATATACAAATTACGCATCTTAGTCATAGCCGGTTATGAATTAATTTTAACTTAGAAATCAAAGAATCTATGAAATCAACATTTACGCACAACCTTTGAAGATGTTGAATGTGATTTTCTATTCGTACTAATGAGTTCTATTGATTGTTTTGTATTCATGCTAAATATCAGCGAGAAGTTCAAAAGTTGATTGGGATTTGTTGCGAAATAAATATACCTTAAAAGGCTTTTGATAATGTGCGTACCTCTAGTTTTATATAAATTCTAAGAGTTTATTAAAGTGTGTAACAAGAATTATTATATACAAATTTTAAAAGCGCATTTTATGGCACTTTTAGTTGGTTTATAGGGTAGAAATGGTTTGTATAGAATACAGGGTCTCTTGAGCTACACTACGACAGTCAGAAACATAAGATAAATGAATTAGTTACCGAGATACAGGGTGTTTTCCATACCATATGTCAAAATTTTAGAAAGATACGAATTTTTAAATTTAGGATACATCCAAAAGGTTTAGGGGATTCTTTATAATATTCTTTATACCACTATACGGGGTGTTCTAAGTAACATATTAATAATATGATATATTATTTTATTTGCAGTGTTTGTATGAAATATATAACAGAAACAATGGAAAATATGGAACACAAAAACTATGATAATATCAAAGAAGAAGACATTTCAATTGTAGAACGTATACTACAGAAAACTGGAAATCCAAAACTAGCTGCTGTGCTAGCCCTAGATTTACTTTTAGTCGGCGTGGATACCGTGTGTTTAATAATATACACAATATAAACAAAATAATTTTAATGTTTTGATCATTTTTAGACTTCTATCGCATTAGCATCAACAATATATCAACTAACACAAAACCCAGCCGCACAAGATAAACTATACAACGAATTACGTGCCGTTATGCCCACGAAGGAGTCAAAAGTGGACGTTGAAGTTCAAGAAAACATTCCTTTCTTGAAAGCCTGTATCAAAGAAACCCTACGGATGTATCCGGTAATTATTGGTAACGGAAGAAGTCTACAGAAAGACGCTGTGATTTCCGGATACAATGTACCAAAAGGAGTAAGATATATCAAATCACAAATATATACGCTTCTAAAACAAATGTTATAATTAATTAAATTGAATGTTATTCACTGATTTAGACTCACGTGATATTTCCACACTTGGTGGTATCAAATATCGAAGACTACTTTACGCAACCAAAGTCTTTCATGCCAGAAAGATGGCTGCGGAATGCTTCGTGTCCACATAGTCAAGATGGCGGCGTAAATCAACAAAAAATACATCCGTTTGTTTCGCTTCCTTTCGGATACGGTCGGAGAAGTTGTTTGGGTAGACGCTTTGCAGAAGCAGAACTACACATACTCCTTGCTAAGGTATAATAATATAATTCTAATTTTATAATTGATATTTCTACAACTAAATTTTGTCTTTTAGGTTTTTAGAAAATACAAAGTAGAATACAACTATGGACAACTTAGTTACAAAATCACTCCTACTTATGTCCCCGAACAACCGCTCAAGTTCAAACTAGTGGAGAGACATGAATAAAAGACATAACCTCATCATAACCCAATTCCTAACCTCATCTTAGCTTTAATAATTTTCAACCTTTGACATCTTATATTAAGTGTGTTAGTTAAACAAGTGCTTTTGTAACAAAATCACGCTCTGGTAAATAATAAATAATTCAAAAAGACGTTTTTATTATTTGACCTTAAAAGTAATATTTTTTGGTAAACAATCAATGTTTATTTGTTTGAGATATTTAGTTTATGATAAACTCATCACATCATAATTATCACGTTTTTTCGCGCAAAATTAAGAATGTTTTGTTTAATTAACTAATACGATTATATTTTTTAAAGTTATTTACGTAAGCCACAAATTAAATGACGTCAAGAAAGAGCTGGGTATAATAAAAAGGCTAACACAAAGAAAAAAATCATTCGTATCTAGATATTTCCTGAAAACAGAAAGAAAACATGTTCAACTTCACTTACCTCTTCGTTGTGGTCCTCGTGGCTATTTTCGCAATCTCCAGCGTAATGGCGGGTAAGATCCTAATCATTTAATGAAGTGTTCTATGCACTATAAAACGTCAAATTATCTTCACAGCAACACCAGTCGCATGTATGATTTCCTGTGATAGCGCCAATCCAAACTACGCTCGTGAATGCGCCTTCTGTCTCTTGGCACATCGTGACGAAGCTAAATAAATTATAAGAACACCTCGAATGTTTCAAGATACAATTTCCTGCAAAGTTTTAAGGTAATTCTTCACAGTTCTTCGATTAAATATACGCATCTGCCGATTTACATTATGTAAATTTGTTAAATATTTCTTGATTGTTAATAAATTAATTATTAGCTCCAGAAATACCAGTTTTTGTCAAGAATTTTCTTCGTATTTATTTTTCTCATACAATATTTGTTTGTCGAATCAATCAATGATCAGTAATAATAATAGAATAATAAAGATCATAGATAACAGTCTTCGAAGACATCGTTTCCTGCACCAGTTAGCATTACATTACATCTTTTTTAACATCACACTCATCTCGCTTGCAATTTGTTAAGTTTTAAATTTTGTTTATCGCTTTCGCTCGTACAAATATACTTTACTTTACACGTGTGTACAATATATGCGTGATGAACTGATACTTACAATGCTTACAACTTAAAGCCGCCATTCCGCTGCGAAACCAAGATGGCGCCTTACAAATTGGTAACTTTCAGTTTACTCCCCCCCTTGCTGCAGATGGTTGCATCGCTTGTCTTTATTCGTTTTATTATTATTCCGCGCGCACGCGCGTCTGTTCATTATTATTCTCAATTTGTATGCAACCTCGCTATTAAGTAATTAATAATAACAATAGTAACAATCAAATGGCATCGATTTGTCATTTTCCGTGTGTTTTGTGTTATGTTTCTTTAGCACTTTCGACTATATTTGGTGTTTCGTTTCTCGGCGACGCCAATTTGTCATGTTGTGTGTTCTGTGTCTCATGTGTTTCCGGTTTGTTGAGCGGCCGCGCGCTCACTCGATTGCTTATTGTTTGCGTTTTATTATTTGTTTTTATCTAATAATAATCGATAATTAAAAATCGCATGTAATCGCATTGTTTGTGTGTGTTTGTGTAGTAAATACGTACATACCCTATGATTGTTTTTTGTTTTTGGTTGTTTTTGTTAAAGTACCTTTACACTTTTGTTTCTTACATTTTTACACTCGCTCGATTTTTTTTAAGAAACGTCTAAATCTATTGCCTTCTTAAAGGTATTATTACTTGTTTTTTTTTTACGCCGCGATTCTTGATTCTTTTCATGTGTTTTTTATTCGTCAAAAGTTAAACCGTAATCGAAAGAAATAAAATTTTAAATGTTCAACAAAGAAAATTATAACCAGCATCAACGAGAATAAATTAACTTCAAGTTTTGAGACCACATCACATTCCCAGGTACAATTTTAAGCTAGAGAATGCAAATAGGTCTGAAAATCTGATCTGGTACAAAAGTTGCGACGCCACTGGGTGTAAAAAATTAAATTTAAGTCAACCATCGTTTAACGCGTACTAATGGCATCGCAACTTGTGTGAATCGTTTGTTTTTTACTAAACATAAATGTATCCACCTCTTTTCTTGTCCTTTGTCAAGTTTTTCATGTTAAAGTGAGGTTAAGTTGGTTTCCATTGCTTTATTTTGGGTGTGTACATTGTATTGCACTAAGTTCTTTTTAGGTTATGGCACTGATATTAACCTACAACACGTCATTCATCAAAACACAGAAATAAAGCAATAGAATAATACCTTGTTTTCAGTGAAACGATGAAAAAATCAACAACTCAGCCTCTCAATGCGTTAAATAATCGCTAATAACATTAGTTTATAATTTATCTAGTCTTGCGTATGTTTCATTTTTGTACATATTGCATTCAAAGCGTCTCGTTTGAAGCAATTGTCTGCTCTGTGATTGGCTCCTCTTCATCTATCATCCCCTCGCGTCCTCTGTGTTAACCACCTCTTCATAACCGCGCGCATGTTCGTAATGTAGTCGTACTAATTCTTAAATATTCTTAAAACGCCTAATAAAAATTGTTTTGTTATTGATAGAGATAGATTTGTGTGTGTGTTACTCTTTTGTTTTTGTTTGGTGGATTGTACCATTTTTTTTTCTGGGCGGCGGCGGGGTCATCGCCCATTTTGCAAGAGCAGAGCGCACCCGGCTACATTGTGCCCTACCAAAATGTATAGCCACCGTCTGAGCCGCCGGAGAGGAACGAGCCCTTCTTCTGACCCAACACAACATGGTGACCGGCCATGGCGGCAATTTGCGCCGCCGATGGTGGCACACCCGGAGGTGCGGGCGGGATTACAGGCTGGCCGATACCATCGAAACGTGCGCCAGCATCATAACCATTCTGGAAACAAATACAATTTTATGACTCATAACAAGATTTTATGTTCCCACACTTACTGGAATCATTATCGTAGGTCTAATCTGGGTCGGCTGCATGGCGTAGGAATAGCCACCTAGTGTTGGGTAGTACTGCATCGGTGCGTAAGTAGGATACCCGGCTAGATAGGCAGGATAACCAGCTGCGTACATAGTGGCGCCCGGCGGGTACACCTGAAAGTTTCGCTAATTAAGCGCGATTAAACATATCGTCCTAACGCGCCGCTTCCAATTTAAAACACTCACAAACAAAGCCACCAAGCAATAAAAAACCAACTACAAACACAGATTTAAGTAGACTTACGGGCTGACCGACGATAGCTGGATGCGTGAGCGCCTGATCGTACGTCGGAGGCGGGCCCTGTGGATACAGGGGCGCCTGGCCAGGCAGCATGTAAGGGGCGGCGCCGTGCACGCCCGGTACCATTGCTGAAAGCAAGCGGAAGCACAAAACGTAACGAGCGAATATAGATTACAGGGTGTACTCATGCTGTTCGTCTGTTGAAAATTGATGTTTATGTATGTGTGTGTTTGTGTGTGTGTTTACCTCCGTATGGATGTGGAGCAGGAACGGCTGGATTGGGTTGGGGCGGCGGTGCTTGAGTGAAGGCCGGTGCAGCGGGCGGCGGAAGGCCGGCACCTAAAACACGAACACGCCACGTCAGACGACACACGCACCACACGCCCACCACGATGCGCATCCAAATATTTAGCAAAATTCCACAATCCATTATATTTATAATTGTAATATTTATATATAATAATAATAATTATATCAAACTAACATGGTTTATGGTTTCTTTTAATCATTAAACTACGTAAATAAAATAAAAGAAATAAAAATAGAAAACAGAACAGAAATATGACTAAGTTGAAATTAAACGTAAAATTAATAAAAATAATTAAGAAAAATAAAGATTAAATTTTTTTAAGTTTAAGTTCTTTTGTTAGTAAGTGAGAAAAGTAAAGACCAAAGACATAGAACAACCTAGCAGTGAAAAATGTCCAAATGTGCGACGTTGTAACAAAATCGCAAAACAAGACGAGGCAATCAGAAAACAAAAATTGACTTATTTTTCGCCGCAAAATCGCCAGTTTCGAATGTGTATGTCAGATTTTTGTCATTCCTTTATTGTTTCACGCATTTGTTCACTACAAAACCTACGAAAATATTTAAATATCTTAATATCTTATCAATTAAACATGCAATTGTATTTTATAACAACTTTTAGCCATTAAATTTTGATTATAAACATTGTAAAACTGTTATAAAATACAAATTTTAAATTTTATTCGAAAAACAAAATGGCTGCCGTTTTAAAATAACCCGCCATTTTGTTTTTTTCACCATACTCCACAAAACATGCTTAAAATAAACAAATAATATTTTTTTAAAGAATTTAAAACTAAAATTGGATATTTTTGAGAAAAATTTAATAATATCGATGTAAAAAGTTAAAATTTAATTAATATCTTTAATAATAATTAATAATAATTATATATGAAATAAACTTTTAAATTAATCATGCGAAAACTGCCAAAAAATCAAAAATATTCAATTTTAGTTCAATTCTTTACGTATTTTTGTGACAGTTTTGAAAATTTCCATGCAAATTTCACCCGCTACAAACTAAAACTCATATAAACACAATACCATGCAACAATAACAAATTCTACACCCAACAATTACAAATCCAACATGCAGAAACATTTAATTCGTCTTTTTTGCGTTTCGACGTTGCGCCATTTTCATCAAGATATAATATATGACCAATCGCGACCAAACAAATTGAAATTTCACAATAAATATACGTTAAATAAGATTAGATCAGATGACAACTCGCACAAAAATGTTATCAAATATGAATATGAATAAAACAATCGAAACAAGTATTCAAGTATCCAAGATAAGATTAAAAAACCAAAACCAAAATTAAATCAAACGTAAAATTAATCTAGGCACGAATATGTTGATTGTCCGTTATCGCACACACACCCAAATAGCACAAAGGAGTTGACGACACGACATGGACACACTGTATGTCTGCACCAATCGGGTGTAATTGGTGAAATGTTTCGGCACATCGGAGAAGAGAGAGAAAAACATATTTCTCGTGTACGTAATTATTTTCAATCCTCACGTATGCATCTCACACGTCCGTAAATTTTTGAAGTCGTGTTTATTGGTACGATTATTAATAGTTGAACTATGGTAAAGTGTGGAGTTATGTGAGGATTGAAACGTCGTCTTCATGCAAAAATACACATCGTGTCAATGTTCGGACGACCATCGAGATAATCATGATTTCTGTACATCATCAGCTACTGGTTAATATTTATATTAAATGTTACAATCCTGCATTTCAAAACGCACACACGGAAAAATTATTATTATGAAATACAAAAAAATATTCACTAGATCAAAGAATTTATATTTCTGTTTTGTTGGTAAAAAATTCAAAATAATTAAATTTTACATCAAAATTGAAGAAATTGAACAATTGAAGAGCTTTTTATTGAGTACAAAATTGATTATTAAGAATTTGAATAAGAAAAAACCGCAAAATTTAAAAAAATCGACAAAATATGTAGGACAACTTAACAATGACGTCACTTCCGCGAACGTTAATGTCAACTACGGCAACGCGACTGTTTTATTAAAATTTAATTTTGTTTTCACGGATTACGACCCAATAAACGTCAAATTTTCCATTGCGTTAACTAAACATTGAACATTACATTTTTTACCAACCAAACTAACAATTTCTGCAAAAATATCTTAAAAACATCAAAATCCCTTCGATCTAGTGGCAACAAATTGTGTGTTAGACGTGCGGCCGATGAAATGCAGCACTGTGAGCAATCCCAACCAAAAATCTAGTGAAGGAATCTCTGCTCTTGAATATATACATCGCACGATTACAAGGATGTATATATAGAGTTTGTTATATATCAAATATTTATATTGTAAAATTCGTTGAGAGCGGGTAACCAACAAGCATCAGCCACTGTATAAATAATAAACACATGAAAATAATATAGGTACTGTTTTCGGGCATTTCGCCGTCGCGCCGCCGCCTCTGGGGGCATCATCGCCTTTGCTTCTGCCTCTCCGTCGCCAAGTGCGCGCACGCCACCCAAAACACGCCGAGAGACAGTTTGCGAGGACATTAACGCGCTGCAATTCAACATATCAGGCAATCAGCACACATCAGAATTTACGAAAGCATCAGTTGAGCAATTGTTTGAGTGCACATCCTAACACAACCTTAAAAACTAGCCGCAGGACGACCTAAAACGACGTAAATCTTCATTTTAAGGATTTTTGGGCATCAGGGTGAGATGAGATGATAGAAATAATAATTTGATGTTAAAATAATTCAAGATGGTAATTGAATGTGAAATTGCGTTTCGGCGCCATTAATATCCGGTAGTTTCTGACAATGACATGAAAAAAAAAGTTCCCTACATCTAGTGATAAAACTGTCATCCAAGCGGAAGTTTAATTTCCATCTGTAGATGCGTCCACATTCGGCATATAAAAATGAGAGAAACGAGAGAAATCAATAATCAATTCCGTGCACACGGTCGGAAAATGCAGGTTCGGGAAACTGCGTTACCAGGAAACTAGGCCTTCGCCGCGCGCGCCGACTCGCTCGCTTCTTCCGGCTGCCGCTGCACACACAATGTGGGACAAGGCCAAGGGGAAAACGCAAACTGTGACACCGACGGCGCCGCCGCCGGCCAGCAGCGGCAGGAGCAAGTGAGCGCGCCGCCGCGCCGCGGTATTGATTGGGAACATCCTGCCGTCCTCATCCCCCACCATTGTTGTTTCGGATTTTCAGCGTTTTCCTCTCGAGAGCCGATGCCACTGATTTTCCATGTTGTGTTTTTGGAAAATTTGAAATTCCATCGCCGAATTTATATCAATAACACACTCTCCTATTTTATTATTACTCAAATTCACAATGCACTTTTAGTTTTTTTTTTTCTTTCGTAAATAAACATTAATATTTGAAGAGCAATTGAAAGTTTTGTGCGAATGTTTATAAATTATCCCAGTGCCTCTTTCGCAAGATGGCGACATTTACTACGAAATAAACAAAAACAAACGAAAATCGCTCACCTTTCTTATCGGCCATTATCAAACTGTGTTTGTGTTTTGGTTTGAAGAACGATCGCGCGCGGGTGAATCACAGGACTACTGCTGAGCGCTCGGCACGGGAGTTGATTCTCGCGAATGAATGAAGGACGTGGGAACTGGTGCACAAACGAAACGAACGAAATGAACACCGAAATATGCGACTCGTTTTTCCGCAGGGCAAAAACACTTCGACTCCGCGCTCCTGTTCGCTCGCTGTGCCGTTCGGGGTTCTCTGCAGCAATCTCCGTGCTCCAAAGACGTCGCCCCGCGCCGTTGACAGAGACAAAGCGCAGCAGCAGGAATGTGGTGGAAATGAAATAGGCGCTATCGACCTGTGCGGAAAATCTAGTTACAAACCTGTCACGTTACATCTACCAACCACCCTCTAAGCTTTGACAATTATTTTGCCTGCAACGTCTTTCACTCATTTTAATTAAAGTTTAATAAAAATATTTACTTTGTTTTAGCTATTTTATACCTATTTACTTCTGTCATTTAACAGTATTTACATAAAACTGGCAAATTCAAAAAGAATAAGATTTTGTATGGTCACATGACTTAGTAATTTTAAAAGTAACCAGATTATTATTCTACCAAGCGTTCAAAGAAAAACTAATAACTTTAGAAATAAAATTAAACTTGTTAATAAATAATACAATTAAATGTTTTTTACAATTACTAAAACATAGTCTAAAATTGTGTTTATATACTTAAAATATTGTTTTTTTAGGCACAAACACTTTTTTATTTAATATTTTGAGCAATTACACATGGTACATGCACTTAAGTTTGTTGTATTATTCGTTAGGTGGCCACTAGTAACATTCCGCCAGTGGCGGTTGGCAACTCGACCGTCAGCTGTCAATTTTGTGATTTTCGTGGTTGAACAGAACGAGACGGATTAAATTATTATTTTTTAGTAAATAATAATAAATTTTAAGTTGTTCGGAATTGTAGCGACGTTTTGTACATAGTGTCCATACGCTGGTGATGATACACAGACTGGTGAGTACCATCCGGGCGAATCGCATCGACGCAATGAAGTATGTGACCAAGTGTCAGCATGATGTTTAACTTTCGTTTTGCGAGCCAAGCGGAGACGAGCAGAAAGAAAGCAATTTGGCCGAAATCCTTGCACGCCGCGTAATTATTCATTTCACGCGCCGTTCAATTGTTGGGTAATATTTCGTGCTTGGAAAATTACTGGTTTCGTTGGCGTTCTATTGTTTTTTGATTTTTTTTTGTGACAACCTAACCTTACAGTTACAGCTACTTAACTTCCTTCTCTGCGAAAAATTTCACTTTTACCCAGATTTATGACCAATTAAGCGTGAATAGTTATTACTCGGGGTGCGTTGTAATATTAAAGAGCAAAACAGTGTTTGTTTGAGTGTTAAAGAGGTTTAAAATTGGCCTAGCATGTACTCTTGACCCAGAAACCAGATAACTGTAATTATGAACTTCATCACCTCAATTTTACACATTTTACAAGCTCAAATCATTATATATCTACTTATTGCAAGTAGCTTTGACTAAAATGTTTCATTATGTTGCAGTAAATAGAAAATAATTGATATTGCAAGCACAAAAATGTCATCGAAAGCCTCATTGTTGAGCGGCGTTGGAGGCAACACGACCACGACGGGATTAAAGCAGATCGAGCTGGACCAAATATGGGGCTCGCTGAACACCGGAATCGAGCACATGTACAACTTCCAGTCGATCACGAAGGGCCAGTACATGCAGCTCTACACGCACGTGCACAATTACTGCACGTCGGTGCACAAACCACCAGAGAAGAGCTCAACAGCAAACGTCGTTGGGAAAAATCGCAAAAATCAAGTGACGGGCGGCGCACAGCTTGTCGGGCTCGAGCTGTATAAGAAGCTGAAAGAGTTCCTGCGTAATTACGTGCAGGGTAAACTCCAAGCGGGCATTAATCGCATGGATGAAGACGTGCTGAAATTCTACACCAAGCAGTGGGAAGAGTATCGTTTCAGCTCGAAGGCAATCAGCGGTATGTGCGCGTATCTGAATCGTCATTGGGTGAAACGTGAATGCGAAGAAGGTCGCAAGGGAATCTACGAGATCTATCAACTAGCACTTGTCACTTGGAGAGATCATTTGTTTAAACAATTGAATAAACAGGCATGTATCACTACAACTCAATTTCCAACACGGTTTATTCATTGTTTATCTTTGTTCAGGTCACAAATGCAGTGTTAAAACTTATCGAGCGCGAGAGGAACGGCGAAACGATCAACTCTAGTCTCGTTCTCGGCGTGATAAACTGCTATGTGGAGCTGGGTCTCAATGAAGACGAGCCAGGCACAAAGGGACCCAATCTAAGCATCTACAAAGAAAGCTTTGAGAACGTTTTCATTGAAGACACAGAGCGTTATTATTTCCGTGAATCAATCCAATTCCTTGTTGAGAACAACATCACGGAATACATGAAAAAAGTCGAGCAACGTTTAACTGAGGAACAAAAACGCGTCCAGATTACCCTGCATGAATCCACAGCCGAACGTCTAGCGAAAACATGCGAGCGCGTGTTGATTCAGAAGCACATGGAGTTATTCCACGCGGAATTTCAGCAGTTGTTGGACGCAGAGAAGGATGCGGATTTAGGACGGATGTACCTGCTGGTGGCGAGGATTCAGGACGGTTTGGCCGAGTTACGCACGCTGTTAGAACAACATATTGCTAATCAAGGATTGGCGGCGATTGAAAAGTGCGGAGAGTCGGCGTACAATGATCCCAAGGTTTACGTAAGCACAATTTTGGAGGTGCACAAGAAATACAATGCGCTGGTGTTGGTTGCGTTTCATAATGATAGCGGTTTCGTGGCGGCGTTGGACAAAGCATGCGGGAGGTTTATTAATGCGAATGCGGTGACCAGAATGGCGAATAGCAGCAGTCGCTCGCCGGAATTACTCGCCAAGTATTGTGATCTCTTATTGAAGAAGTCAAGTAAGAATCCGGAGGAAGCCGAATTGGAAGACACGCTTAATCAAGTCGTAAGATATTTAAAGATATATAATTAGTTAAAAAATATGTTAATTTTTATTGTTTATAGATGGTGGTATTCAAATACATCGAAGACAAAGACGTCTTCCAAAAGTTCTACTCCAAAATGCTAGCGAAACGCCTCGTGCAGCATATGAGCGCCAGTGATGACGCCGAGGCGTCCATGATCTCCAAACTCAAGCAGGCGTGCGGTTTTGAATATACGTCAAAACTGCAACGCATGTTCCAGGATATTGGTGTGTCGAAAGACCTCAACGAGCAGTTCCGTAACCATTTGAAGAACTCAAATGAACCACTGGATATTGACTTTAGCATTCAAGTGCTCTCGTCAGGGTCGTGGCCTTTCCAGCAAAGTTTCTCATTTGGACTGCCCACAGAGCTGGAGCGCAGTGTGCATCGCTTCACCAGTTTCTATTCGGGGCAACATTCTGGACGCAAGCTCAATTGGCTGTACAACATGTCTAAGGGGGAGTTGCATACTAATTGCTTTAAAAATAGGTAAGTTTATGGGTTTAATTTAGTTGAATTGGTTTAATAATGTTTTTAAAGGTATACATTGCAAGCGAGCACATTCCAAATGGCTGTCCTGCTGCAATTCAACGTCGCCGAGTCGTGGACGCTCTCGCAACTGACTGACAACACGCAGATCAAGCACGACTATATGACGCAGGTGATTAGTATTCTACTGAAGGCGAAATTGATCACTTGTGATGACGACGAGGCGGATTTAAAACCTGAATCGGTGGTGAATTTATATTTGGGTTATAAAAAGTAAGTACAACTTATAAATTCATATTTTAAATGATGTAATACTAAAAATTGTTTTATTTTTATTTAGTCGAAAATTAAGAGTGAATATAAATATCCCTATGAAGACAGAAATGAAATTGGAGCAGGAAACAACACAGAAGCACATCGAAGAGGACCGCAAACTGCTCATTCAGGCCGCAATTGTGCGAATAATGAAAATGCGCAAAGTCTACAAGCATCAACAGCTGGTAGCGGAGGTGCTCAATCAACTCAGCACAAGATTCAAACCAAAAGTTCACATTATTAAGGTATATTTCTATTATTTTTTAAAAATTTCTTTGTTTTAATTAATTTGATGTTTGAATTTACAGAAATGTATAGACATACTAATTGAAAAAGAATACTTAGAGCGGACCGAAGGCGAAAAGGACACGTACAGCTATCTGGCATGATTCCCTTCAGCGTTCACGTAACGCATGTCAGCGCAACGCAGCAAAACACGAAAAAACAGCAAACCACAACAAAAATTAACCTTACATCGCTCGTCGCGCCTCGCAGTGCTGGCGAGCAGCGGCCGCAGCAGCAGCAGCAGCTTTACATGTGACTACGTTTACATTGTATCCTATTATTAAATTTATTACTTCGATCACGCCGCCGCACACCGACAGATTTGTGTGACTGTGTGCGCCAATGCAAACGGATACAATGTGTATACTATTCTGTAAATATTGTCTTTTATTAGTTTAATTTCTTTCTGGCTCTTTGTGTCACACACACACACTTATATTATGTTAATGTTCACTCTCTTCATCTCTCTGTTATCATTGGCGCAGGAAACATGGAAATTGCCGATACTTATGTGATACCTCAAAATCTCAGCACTTAAGAATGAGCGGCAGCTACCGGCGACACGAAACAATGTAGGGCGTGTGAATGATATCCATTAAAATGGCCGACACATGAGCTGTGTGTGGGCTGGTTAGAATATTGAATTTTAATTTTTAAATTGATTATTGATTATCGAATGTTGACCGGGGGCGCCATTTGGAAAGAGAACCTGCAATTATTTTGTTAGACTTAATTTCATTAATTTATCAGCGTTTTCAAGATGATTTAGTCGATGTTTTAAACGAAGAGACGAAATTCGCTACACACTATTAAACGTACGTTATTTGTTGTATAGATATTTACCTAGGTTTTTGCCCATTAATGTGTAACCAAGTAATTTTTATGTTTAAACCGAAAACATGCAATGAATTCGACGGTGTTGAGGAAAATGCTGGAACATTTTGATAGGTCACATCTTATTTTACACACTCACATTACTATCGTACGTGCTATCAAGTTATTGTGTAAATTAGCGTATTATTGACATTACGATTCCCTCCTTAATCGCATGCAAGAATGGATCAACGCGGACTACTGATTAACCCGATGACCGCATCGAATTTTTTGATCATATATTTAATTGATTGTTCGTTCGTAATATTTGCGCATGTCGATAGTTATACAATATGAAAATTACTCGCGAAGCTGTACTGTAAAACAAGCCGGATGTGGTGCATATAAACAACGCAGACGTGGCGGACTTATGTTTGGAGGCAAGATGGCGTCGCAAACAACCAAATTATAAACTAAACAGTGTATATTCGAGTTTTAAATTAAAATAAAGTCTGAATAAGGAGATATTTTCAAAAAACAATACAGGTTGTATTTATTATACCCTGATTTTATCATTTTTGACCTAATAGTGTTGTTAATATAAATATAAACAATTGTAACTATTACAACTGCAAATTATTGAAATTTCTTTAATTATGAAGGGTTTGCATGCAAGACGAGCATTCATTTGTTTATTAAGTACGAAATTAATTATGATCTTAATAAAAAGACATTTCAAAGGTCTAAAAGCCAGTGGTTACTTTGTCCCAGTAGTATTTTTCTAAAATGTAATTAATTTTTGCTCTCTTGGACCTAAAAAAGAAGCTTAAAGGAATGGAAAATGCTAACATTGCACTTTAACACTACCTTGGATGCAATTATTTAGCTACAACTATGATTGAATCTCTATATCAATTTTTGCTCTTATTTTACTCTCTTTTAGTTATAATTTTTGATATTTTGAGAGTTATTCTGCTATTTGAGTCGGATACAAATCCAACTTTTTTGAGGACTGCCACAACATGTCTGTATTTTACATCCAATCAACAAAAAGGAGTTCAAATCCTTAATTTAGTATCCAGATTATAAATCCGAACTTAAATATCCCGTTTATTAACTTTTAACAACGACAATAACAATCATAATCCTTAGTAGTAGTAGTAGCTAATCAACCTAGTATCCCTAGATTGAAACAATTGCACATTTTGTGAATTAACACCATACATAAACACACATATAACACAACAAAAATGGACAAATTAAGATTCTTAACACATTATTTCAGTTTCTCAACTTTTTCTGAAACATTTTTGCATCGAAATCCAAGTACAAAGTATCCTAAGTAAGCACACACTTGACACGAAGCAAAAGTGGCCGCATACAACAAATAACGTTGGTTCCACGACATCAGCGCTATGAAAGGGTAAATCCAAGCGCCGTCCCACAAGAACGTAAAGTTTAACCTAAAAAAGTTCAAAAATTAGGTTAAATTATTATAGATTAGGTTACTTTTAATTAAAATACTCACGTGAAACAATACATTAACATGTAATAAAAGTTGACTTTTCGTACAACCGAAATTTTTGGTAGGTAATCTCTTGTTGAGGTAAAAGTCTCCACAATAAGAAGGACAAGAATCGATGTGTGCATCGAATGGTTCAAATAAGATGGTAACAAAATGTCGCACATTTGTGGAAAGATTAATTCACGATCTATATTAAATAAAGACCAGAATAATCCCATTATAAACAACGTAGACGGACATATTAGACTAACAAAATGGACCCAGCTTAATTTTTCGATTTTCTTCGTAGTTTTTGTACTCGGCAGAAGTAACAAAATCAATTCCATAATAACATACACCAATTGTCCTACCTATAATTAAACAAATTAATTATTTACTGAAAAAGTGCAAATTGTAAAAGCATGGATAATTAATGAATGGCATAGAAATTGAATCATAATCGAAATTAAATAAAGCAGAAATGCCTATGTAATTGTGTTTACAATGTTTTCATCTTGATTATCTTGTAATTGAATCATTTTACACTTTAATTGCATGTAAATCATTGATTAAATTGACCTTCAATTGAAAATTTGTTACAGTGAATGCAAAAAGTAACGCAAAATTAATTTTCAGTGTTAAATTTAAAACTCAATTGAAAATATTGAATAATTTCAATAACTTTATCAATAGTTTTACCAAAAATAATTTTTTTTGCAAAAATACTAATTTTAGCCAAAATATCTCTTAAAAATGCACAAAAACGATAAGAAACTAAACTTTTAGCAATAAACGCAACCTTGAATACTAAAATTTGCAACAATATTTAAAAAAACTTACAAAGTTCCATGTTGTCAAGAATCGCAACCCCAATTCCGTGTGAATCCTCAATGTTTTCCGAACATTTTCACTCAAATGACTAATATCCACCTGACTAGTAACCACAACACTATATAATGCATACAGATGATGCACGAGTATCACTGATAAGAAGATGTGCCGCCATTTTGAATTTCGCAGCTCTTTTTCGTTGGTGTTATTGTTGAAAACTGTCGTTGTGTTATCCGCCCCCATATTAGAATCAAACTACGTTTGAACTAGGTCAAACTTGAGGTGTATCTACTTGATATTGGCGATAATTATGCGCGGCTTTTACTTCGATATAATTTAATTAAAGCTGAGCGAGTGGGAGATGAGACGTGCAGCTAATGGCACTTGTAAGTTTTCGCCACACTTTATGTACACCTAATAATTTAAGTATTTGAAATGTTATTCAAGGTTTTGCTTCATAGATTCAAGTTCAGATTTATTTTTATTTTTTTTTGTCTGTGATTTGTGATATTTCGAAACTTATTTTTATAACTTTTTAATTGTTTTATTGGTGTATTTAATTTGTTTTGTGTAAATAAGTTGAAATTGGTTTTTGGTGTTTTATATGTTAGATTTAAGTTTGAAACTTTTTGGAGTTGCCGAGGAAGCAAACGGCTTTTCGTCGGTGTCGCTACGCGCACGGAGAAAGTCGCGCCGCGAATGACTGCCGTGTAAACATGAACAGGCATGAGAACAGGTAAACGGAACACGCGAGGCGGAATTTCGCCCCGGTTCGCGTGTGTTTTTTTTTTTATATCGACGCAATCGGCAACAATCTGGTCGTAACATTTATTACATCTTCGAATTAGCCATCATGAGATTGGATAACACACGATGAAGGTATACATAACAAAAATTATTTACCACTCCAAATTTAAGTAAACTTTTACTTTTTAGTGAATCAAATAGAAGTTTTAGATAAGTAGAGTGAAATAATGTGCTGTGGTTATATCTAAATACTATTTGTATTTATTTTTCGGTAATTAATCTATTTCCAAGGCGTTGAAAACAATGCATTTCGTGTCGGTAATGTTTTCTACATCAGAGTATGGAAAACAGCTTGAAACTCTTGATTATGAGGCAAAATTTACACAGGGACACGCGATATAGTGTGAAAATGCATTAAGAAATTAATGTACCAACATAACCTATCATATTTGCTATTTTTCTTTGAAAAATTAGTAAATATTAAGAAAATTAATTATATTATCGCAAAAAATATGTCTGGTAAATGTAATTTTTTATTTTCCATTGTGTTTATGTTATATTAATGTACGGAAAGTGCAAAAAACCAAAAGTTAGCTGATTATAAATAATAGGTAGGTACCTATAGGTCCAAAGTTTTGAAACTTAATATTTTTTATTTAATTAAATAAAAATATACACGTCCAACGTAAGTCCAACGGAGAAAAAATGGAAGCAATTTTGATGTTTAGATATTGCAAAATGTGTTTTGCTGTGTACGTCAAAACAAATACTTTTTCTATCTAAACTTGTTTTGCAAATTAAAGATTATACCTAGATTACCAAATTGATCACGATATACATACTGCCATAATTAGTAATTGGCCATAATTTAGACGACTAACAAATCGTAAAATATAATAAAAAGTACCAAAAACTATTAAATGACCCTGATATGACCATAAATTTTAATAGTTGATTAGGAAACTGAATACTTCAAAGGTAGTCAGAGGTAAAAACATATTTATTTCTTTATTTATCACTTAAGGTCAAAAGTTTTATGACCTGACAAAAGTAATGCAAGGGTTGTTGAGTTGAGTATGCGCAGAAATAACTATAATAATGTCCTTTACTTGAAAAAATGTAATTTTTTGATTTCAACACTACAATTACTTTTTTTTTTTTGGTTCATACAATGGTCTAATTTATTCGCACTATCGAGCATGTCTACCTGCGACCAGACATGTAATTATCATACATTGTAAATGCATAGAATACAGAGTATGACTAATAAAATATTGAGCCGTGTTTAAAAACATTGAATTTGCAATTAAAATTCTAAATTTGTAAATTACAAGTATGGGTAGGTTGTGACTACCACAATTACCAACTGCCGACAATGTTTACAATAATTATATTGGCATGCTATTAAAGTGCAACAACAAACACTTTACAACTTTATTTCATGTTCTTTGTCAATGGCGTCTGCTGATAATTTTGAATGTATAATAAACAAGTCATAAATCTATGTAACTAAATAAGAAAGATCCCAATGAGATTGACTCATCGATCTAGTTGACTTTATGATCATAGTTCAAATGTTCAAGTCAATTAATTGAACAAAATATTACAAATTATGACAGTTTTTTGTCAATTTTAGCAGGTGGAATTAACGTCTGAGTAATATCCTTGAGCTGGCCTTTTATACCTGCGGCAAATTCTTTTGGTAAATTAAACATCCTCATAGTAAGTTAAATCCCGTCTCTACTACCTTTGGTATTCACAGAGACCAAAAAACCTGCACCACATACTTTAAACAGGCTTATCAAGGTATACTTTGCCGGAGCACGTACCCCCACTCTTTTTTGCGGGTCCAGCGCAGGTATAAAAGTATCGCTCGCAGTGCGCTCCGCGCTTAGTCATCTCTGACTTGCCCAGCAGTCCAGTCGCAGGTTTCTCGGTTCTCCTTTGTTCTCTAATCGAATTAATAAGGGTTGACCAGTCGCAAAAGTGTCTTATCGTGATTTGTTTTCACTCTTTTTGTACAATTCCATCATTTTGCTATGTTCCATAGAACTATAGACTGTAACCATAAAAAACTATAATTTACATGAATAAAGGTATTAGTATTGTTCTATATTTACCACCACTTGCTTCCATTGACAAATTGGTGCGCTGTATAATACTCAAGAATAATAAACTATAAACAATCAGATTGACGTAAAACAAACTAATCTAATGCGCAGTTCTTGAATAACACAATCAAAAACTTGTCAACAAAATGCAAATCTGTAATCTGCTTGCAACCAATTCGCATTACACTTCAATCATCCGCCTCATTACACCACAAAATAACAACCCGGCCAATCTAGCATTAAAATCGCCATCACGCATGAAAGAATCAAGCACATCAAACCTATTATCCACCTTTGTAGTTCAAACACACGCAGAGCCTGCATCGAAACAATTCCAAAGCATTAAATTATTAGTTTATTATTCTAGGTAAAAAAATATTATACAATATATAAATCACAAGTTTGCAACGCTAATATTTACATTATATCAGGTCATGTCTTTTGTTTAAATGTACAACAAAGTAATATTAGTATTTTTAATATATAAATTAAGGCATCTATAAACATGTAGCAGAGATTCGTTTATTTATGGCGTCGCTCCAGATGTTTCGCTTCTTTGTGCTCATCGGGAGTGACGAAAAACGGCGAGAAATGTTTCGGAGTTGCTCCTAGTGACTTCCTCCCAGAATCCCTGGAACGCCCCATGAACGGTCTCGGATTGTCGTCTTCAATAATATTTTGCTTGGGAGTTTGCTTTGTAATTTGAATCGGGTCAACTTTAAAGTTAATAATATAATTCTCTTTGTTTAGCACCTCTTCGAGAATCTTCACGTCCTTGTAACGTATTTCCGCCATGCGTTTCGCACGCTTATACTTCTCCTTGTAATTCTCCAGATCAAGCTTTTGTTGTATAACCTTAAAAATAAGTATAGTTAAGTATGGTTATGTTGTATTTACCGGTAATAATACTTACATCAGATGAATGTTCATTGAGTTTAACCATCAACTGTTCCAGTTTTGCTTCACAAGCTCTCACATTATCGATGCAAAACTGATGAGGATTCAACCTATTCTCAAATCCTTCAATGATAATCAAACTACACTTGATCCTTTCAGTAAGTGCACACACAACATTGAAGCAAAGCTTATACAGTTGACATTGTTCACAGCCCGGTACAGCCACACCAGCAGCATTCAAATGTTGAGCAATACCCACACCAGATGCTTTCAGCGCTTCATGCAAAACCGCAAGAAAACTGTGTTTCTCCTCCAGCGATTTCACATAATCATCAATTTCGCGTGTGGTTGCATCCAGGCGAACTTTAATCAAATCTCTAGTCTCTTTATTATTGCCACGCAGCTGTAACATTTGTACAAAAACATCCCTAGTCTCAGCCAACAAATCAAAACGATCAGTGCCAATCTGTTTATCTTTGGCTGTTTCATGCGGATTGAAACGATACCAGGATGAATGCTTCTTACAAGTTTCAATCAACGTTAAAAGACTGCCTTGTATTTGTCGACACATGCCACATGCAGATGGTAGAATACTAATGTTTGAAATTTTCAAAAGTATCGATAATTTTGATGGAATACTAAATAATTCTGTGTCAATTCGTTTCGCAAATTGTTCCTTCGTTTTGAAACCGGCCAAGTCATGTTCAGATGGTAGTACAACTTCGGATTTCATACTATCCAGTTCACTTTTCATCGCGTTCAATTTCATTTGATAATCTGCTTTTAACTTATCAATTTTATACTCGTACTGAGTTTGTTTCTGTTGTAAATCAGTTTTGATAGCCTGTAATTGTTGCTGTAGCATAAATATCTTGCGATTTGCATTGGCTTCTGATTGTTTTTCGTCTGCAAGTGCAGTTTTCGAGGTGTTTTCTTTATTGGATTGCTCCAATCGAGATTGCAGTTCTTTAATAATGGCGTCTTTGTTTCGCGTTGTGCTTTCCAGTGATTTCTTCAACAGGGCGTACTTATCACTGTGCGCCTGATACTTATTCTCAAAATCATCTGTCATGGCCGCCACTTTCCTCTGGTGTAACTTTTGATTGGCTTGTAACTCATTCCTGAGTTCCACAATCTCCTTATCATCAATTTTGAGTTTCGGTTGATTGTTAATATAGAATTCTTGCTTCAATTGCTCGTAATTCTGATTTAATTCTTCACGACTGCTGACTAAACGACCTTCTAATTCTTTAATTTTGTTAAGAGCAATATCCTGATCTTTTTTCATAGTTTTTATAGTCTCTTCTGCTTCTTTCAGAGCTTTATTACTCTTTGACAAGTCTTCTTCAAGAGATTTTATAACTGCCTCGTTTGTTTTATTCGCAAGACCAGAAAGCAATTTGTTTGTCTTTGGTTTAGCTTCACTTTGCAATGCATCCAACTTGGCCTGTAATTCTGTTTTACTTTTCACTACTAAGTCATATTCTCTCTGGAGAGTATAACTCTTATCGCGATCCAAGCGTAGTTCATATCGCTTCTTATGCAATTCATCCTCCAAACGTTTAATCTTCTCCTCATCACTCAAAGAAGTTAATACTTTAAGGAAACGATCTTGTTCTGCTGTTATTTTCGTCACCATAAGTTCTACAGCTTTCAATGATTGTAGTTCATCCTGCATGGAAGCAATTTTAACAACTGCTTCTTCATACTTTTTATTAAGCTCAATAAAAGCTTCACTATGATCTGTGTTTGCTGATGGTGTTGCTTTTAACGCGGCAATTTCCACCTCCAGTGACTTAAGTTTCGCGGTTGTAGCTTGAAGTTCATTTTCAAGTTGAGTTTTGACCTCCTTAGTCTTTGGTTTGCTTGCTTGCAACTTGTTCTCATATTCTTTTACCAATTTTTCTTGAGTTTCTGTATTGATGTCCTTAATTCTTGCCAATTCGTTTCTCAATTGCACTATTTCATTTTGGAGAACTCCCATAGACGTAACTTCTTCTTGTAATGAAGAAATTTTTGATTGACAAGCTTCTAATTCCTGTTTGTGTTGTTGCTTGAGTAATAATCCAACTTTATTGTGCTCCTGCGCCTGGTTTTCGTGTGCATCCGCCGCCATTTTGTATTTGAGACACTCCTGCTTAGCTTCGTCACACTGTCTTTGTAAAGCAGTCAAAAGCTCATGATCTTTTTCATTATTTGACTTGCTTTCTTCTAACAAGTCTTTATAATGTTTTATTAATTTTTCTTGGTCGTTTTGATGAATATTCTTGATGTTTACCAACTCTTGTTTCAAATGTTCAATTTCTACTTGAAGATGTTCTGTTTCAGCAAGCTTTTCCTTTAGCACTAATATCTGAGTGTTACAAGCATCCAATTCAAATTTATAACTTTCTTTTGCATTTGCCAAATTAGCATCATATTCTTTTCGAAGTTCCTTATTTTTATCTTGCATAGAAACAATTTTAGCCACTGCTTCTTCATACTTTTGATTAAGTGCCTGTAATTCTGCACCATGATCTAAATATTCTGCAGATGTTGCTTTCAAAGCAGCAATTTCCTTTTCCAGTGACTTAAGTTTCACGATAGTAACATGAAGTTCATTTTCAAGTTGAGTTTTACTTCAATACTTTTTGATTTGTTCTCTGCCAAGATAGTTTCATGCTCTTTCAGCATTTTTCTTGAGTTTCCATATTGATATTCTTTATTTCCACCAATTCGTTTCTCAAATCAACAATTTCATCTTGCAGAAGTCCCATATTTGCAATTTCCTCTTGTAATAAAGTAATTTTAGATTTGCAAGCATCTAATTCAAGTTTATGTTGTTCCTTGAGCGAAATTTCCATATTTTTATACTCTTCTACACGGTTTTGATTTTCCTCTGCCGCCATTTTGTATTTGAGACACTCTTGTCTTGCATCATCACACTGTTCTTGCAAAGTATTTAAAAGTTTCAAATCATTCTCTGTTGTGTCCTCTTTCAAACGACCGTTTTCAACTTGACGAAGCTCCATTTCTGCAATTAACGCTTGTAACTTATTTTCATTTGAGAGTGCTGCCAGCATGTGATTGTGTCCCTCCTGTTTTGCCGCATCAAATTGTTCTTCCAGGTTTTTGATAACTCCTTCCTGTTTTGTTAACATATCTTGCATTTGTGCAATTTGTTTCTTGTCATCTTCCCATTGAGTTTTAACACCAATAAGTTCACCTTGCAATTCAGACATTTCCAGTGTTAATTCTTTCAAACGTAACTCTTTTGTCTCAATTTCACATTTAATATTTTGTTCAGAAATCTTATAGTTATGTAATTCTGCTTGTAAATCTTCAATCAATTCATTTTTTTCTGCAATAACTGCTGCACCTTTTTCGTTTTCTAATTTCTGCGTCTCTTCCGTGGAATATTGATGTTGTTGCTTTTCAATCAGAATATTAAGTTCCGAAATCTTGATTTCTAACTTCTGAACCACTTCGCGATGAACATTTGTAGTCATCAGATACTCTTCCACAAGTTTATCCAATTTCACTTGCAATTCATCGCATAATTTCTCTTTATCAGCGAGCAAAGTCTCAAACTTAACAAGTTTCACATTATTTTCATCGTGGTCAGCCTGTAATAAATCCATCTTCAATTTCAGCGCGTCAATTTCCTGTTGATGTTGGAATTGGGCACTCTCCGCTGCCATTTTGGTTTTATCAAGTGCATCTTGCAAAAGTGCTAGTTCATTCTGTGTCTGTTCCAATAACACATTCTTTTCGGAAAGCATATCATTAGCGATTGTTATCTCAGTTGAAAGTTGCTCAACTTTAACAGTTTCGGCTTCCTTTGCAGTCTTATACTCCTTGTATAAATCTATTTCTTTCTGAAGTTGATCAACTTTCTGGCTCTCTTCTGCCTTGAGATTTTTAATCTGCACCTGAAGCTCTCTAATCTTCACCATGGCTTCATCCAACTCTGATGATGAATACTCCAAAGCCTCTTTATCCATGTAGTGATCATGTTCTTTTTGCTTTATCTCTGCTTCAAGTTTAACAATTTGCTCTTCTTTTACAGCAACTTGTCGCTTCAGCTCTTCAATTTCTTCAGATAAGTTGTTATCAACCTTGTTAGTCAAATTTTCAGTACATAAATTATTCGATTGAATCTTTTCCTCCAACAGTTTCAACTTTTCATTGGATTCCTGGTGTTCCTTTTCCTTCTGACTAAGTTGTTCCCGTAGTTGTTTTATAGCAATTTCATTTTGCTGAAGGACATCATTACCTAACTTAAGCTTCTCTTGTAATTCTTCAATAAATTTCGAATTTTGATTAGGTAGACAATCACTGTTCACCCCATCTTGTTCCTGATTCTTTAACGCATTCAATTCATTCGTGAGCTGCTCAATCTTAGCCTGTGAAGATTTCTGTTCACCCATCCAACCTTCACATTCTTGCATAGTACCTTCAAGTTGTTTTATTTTATCCTCCAATTCCCGTAGATATGCTTCATTACCAGCATCAACTTTCCTCTCTTCACTTTGTCCGCCATCTTGTATATTCCGTAACTTAAGTTCCAACTCACTCTTATCCTCCTCTAGTCTTTTAATAGTCTCTTCATATTGAGAAATATCCCTAGCGTTAAATTTATCGTTCAAATTCTTCAACTTAGCCAGAAGATCATTCGTTAGCTCCTTGTACATAACATTTTCTTTCTTGAGATCATCAATTTCATCCTCTTGCAGACCTTCAGACATTCTATCACTAAACGAAGGCTTTTCACTTTTACTACGCATGCGTCCAATCGGATTACGATCAATTGCGATTGGAGTACCAATTGAAGAAGCTTGTTCCAAATCAACACCAGAAATAATGGTCGCTGTTAAAGACCTCAAAGACTTGAAAATACGCTGAAAATCTTCCCGATTGTATTCTTCATCTTGAAGACCCTCACCGCTATCTGCAAGATTCGTATCACTAAGAGAACGAGTTAATTTAGGTTTGTATCCTTTGAGTGCATTGTTTTCTTTTAATAAAAGCTTTGAATGCATTTCGGTGAATTTTATAGTCGCTTCCAACTTGCCACATTTATCTTGGAGAGCTTCCAAGTTTATTTTATCCTCACACTTGTCATTTTCAACCGAAAATGTTACATCTTCACAAGGTTTAGTTGTTTGATTTGGCTGACGTTCCAATTCCGTGATTCGAGAAAGTAATTCTTCACAACGACGTTGAAGTTGTTGGTTTTGTGCTTGCTGCATAAACTCCTGTTCACTTTCCATGATACTCAAACGTTCCTTCAGCTTGTCATTCTCCTGTTGCAGATTGTTATTGATTTCATTCTTTCGCAACTCATCAATTTCTTTCTGAAGTCTCTGAGTGCGTTCCTCCACAGCTAGATCCATCTCAATTTTAGTGAATTCTTTCAAATCAAAGTGAGAAACATCTAAAACCTCATAGCTCTGTTTCAACCGTGTAATTTCCTCCTGGAACTTCAAATTTTGTTTAAGGAGTTCGTCAAGTTCACGTCGCAATTGCATAGTTTCATCTTGCAGGTGAATTTCAAGCTCTAGTTTTGTAAATTCCTTCAGTGTGGCATGAGATTTATCCAGATTATTGTAATTTGTCATTAAGTCATGATACTTTGCTTCATCAATTACATTTGGTTCACATTCCTTCTCCTTAGTACATTCAAAATCTGTTTTTGTTAAAGGTTCTGAAAAACCGCGGTTTGACACAGGTGTGTATAGAGTCAAAGATGTTTCACTTTGTAGATTTACTTCTGAATGACTCTGAGGAATAATATGATTATTTGGCATGTTTTCTTCTTCTTCATTGACGGGATGTTCCAAAATGGCTTCCATCATCGGTTTGCTCCGGATATCAGATGGTACTCCCATTGTGTGACGACGCACGGGTCTCGGTTTGGGATACACTTTTAATGGTACGTACATTTTTCGAGATTCTTGCAGCTCCGAGTTTAGTTTTGAGATTAAATCGCCTTTCTCGGCGAGTTCTTGAAGTAATTTCTTTTCGCGGAATTGCTGACGCTTAATGATGGATTCTTGGTTCATAATTTCGTTCAGTCGGGGTTTTGTTTTGATTGTTTTGGCACTTCTAGCAAATCTGAAACAAACAATTTATGTTGTTTAATGTGGAAGTCAGAAAAATCAATATTCTAAGTCGTATTCAAGCAAAAACAAAAGATTTCTAGGCATGATGTCAGAGAAAATGGTATATTGCTTACAATAATTAAGAATTTGAGCAGAAATCATCACTTTAGTTGTTAAAAAATTACGTTTTGATGAAAACAAATTTCAATTCAAATAAAATACATCAAAGTTGCCTTTGGCCAAGATCTACAATGTTAAGTTGATCATTTTGATTGATGTTCAACATATCTTGCCGATTTTTCAAAACAGCATAAAACTTACTTTAATGTTGATAAACTATCCTCTAGAGAAACCGGAGTAATAGCAGCAACAATCAACGTTCTTGAATTACCCCCCAGTGCAGAAGCCAACAACCTCGTAAGTTTTGAATCTCGATACGAAACAAAACTACTTCCACTGCTAAGCTGCGTAATGACAGAAATGAGCGTCGATAACGACTTGTTGATGTGCATGCCTTCGTTGAACCGAACACCTGTTGCGCCTGTCTGCGCCACACGCTCCGAACCGGCCAGATCCACAATATACAAATGTCCTGCCTTCACTGGAGTGCTCTGATCAATCTCCCCATCCTGGCACTCCTCCATGGATGAGGATTCAATCAACACGTCGCAGATGACATGACTTCGACTACTGCGCTCGTTCATCTTGGTTTCGCCGATTTGACGATTCTTGTTGCCTTTCTGTATCACAGCCATCATCTCCTCCTCATTGTGCACAATCTCTTCATGCATTCCAATCAGATTGTGACCCTTGCCATCCTCAGAGACTATCAACTTTAGATCCTTGTTATGCACATCTAACAAATCATTAATCTTCTCATTGTAGATTTCTACATAACTAACTCTCACTATGTACTTATGTGTGATGTTTGAGTCAATTATAGAGAATATGTCTTGAGTGGATCTTGGAATGATGCCTGGATCTGATTCAGTTCCTAGGATAGAGTGAGTTTTTCCAGATGAGGTCTGGCCGTATGCGAAAATCGTTGCGTTGAAGCCATTTAATGTCGATCGAACTAATGGCTGGACTATTTCATATAAATGTTCATTTTTTGCAGATGTATCCAAGATGTAATCTAAAAAAATGATTTAAGTTTAGTAATACATTAATAAAATTTGTGTATATATTTAAATAAAAAATAAGAACTTACCAAATGTAAAAGTTTCAAATTCTCGATTGAGTGTCTCACTCGGATAGATTTCCTTGCCGGAGATAATCCATTGTTCGGCAAGTTTCTTCTTTTTTTCGGTGATGATCACCGGGCGCACACGAATTGCGACCGCGATATTATCCTCGCACATTTTTACGACAACAATTTACAAGAACGCGAACATTGGATAAACACACCGGACAATTACACAACACAAATTGACACAAATTGTTCGAATGTTTGAAAGCAACAAAGAGCACGTTGTTCAGACATTTGTTTCGACATTCCAACGCACACTCACGTATTGCTGACAATGCGGCCGCCTTGATAGCGATATTACTGATAAGGCGGACCGGAGCAACTGATCAGCATGCATAAATGCAAAAACGGGACCAAGTTACAAATAATATGCATGAGATAGGTTACTCTTTTGGCGGCAGAGTAAAATTTTATGCATTTTTAACGGCTTGATGTGTATAAGAAGTTGTCTACCTCTAGGCGTTAGTGTTGGTTTATTGTAAACATTTGTTTCTTACGGAATTTATAAATGATAAATAATATTGAAGCTTATAATAATATTTAAATATATTTATTACTAAAAGTTAAAGTATATAAATGAGAACTTTTGGCGTATAATGTGAATTATATCAATAACAAACTTATGATTTTTGAATAATGTGTGTTTGCAGTGATGTAGTAACTACAGTGCTGCCAATCGTTGCCAACCGCTAGCGTCATTGTCGTGGCGTTTTCATTTCTGGCAGTTGTTTGTGGCGTTGTGGTGTGGCTGGTTGTGCAAGCGTGATTAGTCATCCCTGGCTGCCATTTTGTGCTGTGCAACTTCGACTCCCCAAGACTCGGCGTGCACTAATCAGGAAGGGTGTGTGAGCCGTTAAAACTACGTAAATCTCTTTTCGTTACGGAGCCCCAGTGACCCGTGTAGTTCTTGTATTTTCAGTTCCAAGTACGTTTTAAAGCTGGTACATTTATAAAACAATACTAAAATGGTGGTTCAAGATAAATCTAAAGTTACTCATAGACTTGTTTTGTTTCATCAGCTGTATTTTATTATTTATGATACAATATCTTGCATATACAGTAAGCTGCAGTGTAATGCTGATGGATTGTGTTTGGTGGTGTTATTTGATGCTGGATAGTTCTGTGTTTGACTAAGGGTGGTTTTGTGGTTGCAGGCGAGTGCTAACGCGTATGAACGCCGCTGGAAGAGACAAGATCACCGTCCGTATCTCGAACATGAAGCGTAGTACCGACCGCGACACGCCGCCGCCGCGCGGTAAGCGTTCGCGCTCCAGTATGGGCCGGTACGACGATTCATCGGACGAGCGGATGACACCAGAGAGAATACGCCGTCGCGGAAGTCGCGGGCGATCACCAAGCCCACGCGCCCGCTACGCAGCGTCACCGCATCGTGAGGAATACATGCGTCCACCAGATCGTCCATATCCATACAAGGTGCTCTGCGTGAGCGCGCTCCACCCGAAAGCCAGCGACGAAGTCATCAAGGACACATTATACAGAGAGTATAAAAAGTTTGGAGACCTCAGTATTCGTCTTACTCACGACATGGACGAGCGGGTTGCATACGTTTGTTTTCGTAACCCCGAAGACGCACGGGATGCGAAACACGGTAAGCCACGGGTTATCATCTACGACAAAGTTGCATTAGTCGAAGCCGTCTACGAGGTAGCAGCAGCGAGATCATCCAACGACATGTATCGAGGACGACCAAGATCCATCAGTCCAGAATACGACCGCGCTTATCAATACGCTCGTAGTCCTGACAGAATGCCGCGTATGGATAGGTACGAAAGAGGTTACGGACATCCACCACCAGGTGTCCCGATGCATCGGGAATATCGTCGTGAGGCGATGCCTGCACCTCATCATGAATACATGGCGAGACCGCCAATGCACCACGGTCCACCGCATATGCCACCTTCGCATCACGGTGGAGGTGGGCATCATGGAGGCGGCGGTGGTGGTCATGGTGGATATGGACCACCTAGAAATATGGTTCCACGCGCACCCTACGAGAAACAAGAGAACAAAAAAGATAAATTCCCTAATTATCTTCATCATGTACAACCGGAAGACGATCCATTGGCGACGAGGACATTATTCGCAGGTAATTTAGAGATAAACATCACCGAGGAGGAGCTGCGACGTATTTTCGGCAGATATGGCACTGTCGAGGACATCGACATCAAGCGGCCGCTGCCCGGAACAGGTAATGCATTCGCATTCGTACGGTTTCAAACGTTGGACATGGCGCATCGCGCGAAAGTCGAGTTATCCGGTCAATACATCGGTAAATTCCAATGTAAAATTGGCTATGGTAAAGCTACACCCACCACGAGAATCTGGGTAGGTGGCTTAGGCCCATGGACGTCTGTAACACAACTCGAAAGAGAATTCGACCGCTTCGGCGCGATCAAAAAGATTGACTATAGTAAAGGTGATCTGCATGCGTTTATCCTCTACGATAGCATCGATGCCGCTCAAGCGGCTGTGAAAGAAATGAGAGGATTTCCACTAGGTGGACCAGATCATCGTCTACGGACTGATTTCTCCGATGTCACTCCTGTGGCGCCATACAGACCTAAAACCTATGAAGAAGGAGGTGATTTTCCACGTCGTGCACCTGGAGATTTTGATACACCTGCGTACGGCGAGGCCGGTGAAAGCAGAGCGTCGTATTCACGATACGACCGCAAACCTTACTCTGAACGTAGGGCAAACAGCCGTGGATGGTTCCCAGAGGAAGACGAATGGGGCCGGACACGCCCCGCTGACGCGGATGGTTTTGACCGACGTCGCTCGGCATCAAGAGGAGATAGATCCCGATCTAGATCACCACATAGATCAATGGATTCTGACTCAGATTCTGGATCAAGAAGAGCTGGTTTATTGGCAACCAGTCGAACACTACCCGAAGTAGCAAGGAAATGTTCAACAACATGGCAGGGAGCTTTGATTCTGAAGAATTCTCTCTTCCCAGCCAAGTTCCATCTGATTGATGGTGACACCGACATTGTGGATGGCCTCATGAAAGATGAGGAAGGCAAACACGCGTTGCGCATTACGCAGAGATTGAGATTAGACCAGCCGAAGCTCGAGGATGTCCAGAAACGGATTTCCAGCGCTAGCTCGCATGCTATCTTCCTGGGTCTGGCTGGATCTACAGCATCTGTGAGCAATGATGATGCCAACGTGCAGACGCGTCCTCTGCGCAATTTAGTTTCGTATTTGAAACAGAAAGAAGCAGCTGGCGTAATATCTCTGCTTAATAAAGAAACCGAAGCGACAGGAGTATTATACTCGTTCCCACCGTGTGCGTTTTCTACAGAATTATTGAAACGCACCTGTCATAATCTACCCGACGATGCTCTCAAGGAGGACCATCTCGTTATAGTCGTGGTACGTGGTGGTACTGCGTAAATCTCTAGCACCCCGGTTGTATCAACTGCGAACGCGCGCAACGCTATATAGGTATTTAAGTTGGGTAGCGATAAGATTTTTAAGTATTTTTCTTATTTCAGGAGATTAGTGAAGTCGCGAAGAAAGATATGAGGGCAAAAATAACCTAATCTGATTGTAAAGTTTCTAGTTATCGTTCGAAGAGAGACGGAACCGATTGACGCAAACAATATTCAGTTCAAGTTAAGATGACGAAAAGTTTTAAAGTTACAGTTTGTGCGCTATAAACAAAAATTACGTAAATAATTCTATCGTGTGGTGTGTACAAAGTGTCAAGTTTTGTTGGTTTTTTCTTCTTCTTTAAATTTGTTTACATAATTTAACTCACGATTGACGCGAAGAGGTTTAGTTCAGTTTTGTTTGTTATAAACAAATGTTCAGTATGTAGTGGAACGAACACAGACAAAAAAAAGATGTTCAGTAGTGTTTCTAAAAATAATGAAAAAGAAGCGAAACGTTTCTCACGATGGTAGTGCGTAACAAAATGACGGTGCTGTTTGATACTAGTGCGCAGAGTTGCTGAAGAATTCGTTCTGTGTCGAAAACACTTGATTTGTGTACGAAAAGAAACCAAAAACAAATGTGTAACGAAAAGAAATATGCCGTGCCTATAGTGAGGTGCATGTGATGTGCGTTCAAAGTTAGGTTTGGATATCGAATTTTGATATATAAAAACGCGCGTTCCAAAAGTGTTGTGATGTTAATCTCCGTACAAACAGTTCAGTTATTACGAAGTTCTTATGAAGTCGAGCGCTTGATCGTGTTGTGTCATCATGTGAACTCTTTCGGCCAAACCAAATCAAAATAATCCGCGCAAAAGAGAGAAAAGTTTTGTTCATGTGCAAATTGTGCGCGACATGGTGATGTTTCTAGCATTTGCTGATTCTATAGATTGCGATGAATCTTGTGTGTGCATTTTTTCATTCATATTGCTTTTTAGTTCTTTGGTGCTTTCCAGATGCGCCGCGGAGTATTATTTCCCGACACTTTTGGGACAGCCATCGGTTTTTGTCTCAAAATTCACACTCACAGTAATAATTCGATCATTGGCACCCTGCTCTGTGTTGCAAGTGTTACAGGAAACTTACAGTGAGCCGGTGATGAACAGCCAGTCGTCGTCGGATGTTGCATGGAATCGTCGCGAACGGGAATAATATTTATATCGCTTTCTTTCACAGACACATAATAATGTTTGTTTCATTTAGCATCATCTCAACGATTCCGCGCAACATTCGACGCGGTATTATCAGTGTTTATAGGAAACATCTTATATTTTTTATATTTCAAATTTACCATTAATTATTAAAACGTGAATGTATGAACGCAAGCCACAACTTGTAACATTTTATTTTCTAGATTCCTTGTGAAACATAATCCTTGATTAGTTCTTCGTAGTGAGTTATTAACAACATTAAAATGATTTTTGTGAAAAAAGTTATTGATTATAAATAAGTCTCTAATATTTGGTTATCATAGGCTGGGTAAACATCGGTGAGAAAATAGTTTAACATTACATTGATTGAATTAGGACCATCACTTCAGGTTTGAGGAAACCCACTTGATTCATAGCGTCGTCCTTCCATTGAAAGGATAAAATCGTTGCTGGTACAAGTCTCAAATCAAAAAGGCTGCTATCCCTGTCGGTTTCTTCAAGGCGGTGTCCGGTTGGCGAGGATAGAATGAAATTGGGACATTCATCTTCGACGTTTTCTTGGACAAAATCCATTACTTCCGAGAATTTTTCATAAACCGAAAATGTTCCCTAAAATTTGTTTATTTTTATATTCTGAAAATTTTTAGGTTTAATTTTTGCTTACTTGTAGGAATAATCCATCTGGGAATCGTACTCTAATGATAGCAAACTTATACTTCCTGATTTCTCTCAATTCGTCCTTTTCACGCATCGCCTTCGTACGTAATTCCAATTGTTTTTCAGCTGCATCAACTTTCCGCTGCTGTTCACGTTTGAGTTCATCAGCTGTCATCGCGTAGAACTCCGTGGGCAGGTTGCAACGCTGCGCTGCTTGCGATGGCGACAAAACTTGAAGATTTCGTTCTAATTCCAGCTCGATTCTGTCTTCAGAGCGGAGAGCATCTCTTAAAAACTGTTTTAAAAAAGAATTTTAATTTAACATTTAAATTTAGTAAGAAATCAGTTTACATTTACCTCTAAAGTACCAATTTCTGGAATATTGGTTGCATCAAACACATAAAACTCCTCGTCAGCATCATTATGCTTGAGTGTTTGTTTTCGGAAACCTGCTCCTTCTAATAATTCCACTGCTCCGAAGAGCGGTAGAACTTTATCACGAAACGCTGCATTAGAACAGCGAATTTTATGGAATTTCGTCTCTTCTGGATTCGCCAGTATATTTTCAAGGTATTTACATAAAATATCTATGCAATCTGACACCTAGAAACACAAAACCATGAGTTGTATTTTGATATCATTAATAGAACAAAAGTTGTTTACTCATAACTGCGCCATTTTGAATTGCACAACATTTCAACATCAACTTACTTTACTCCTATTATAATTGCAACTCTGGATCATAAGACAAGCAGTAATTCCTCTTTCTTCTTCTAGTTGCTCAATTAAGAACTCCTTAATCTTCACTTTCCATTCATCTCTACTCAAAATCTCCTCACTTATCAAAGGACATTTGAAAAATACACCTTTGGCAGCCAGTAATGGTGAAGCTTCCAATTCTGTGGTTGTTGGTCCTCTTGATGAAGAAGACATTGCTTCCAGCTCACTTTTCTTTTCAGCTTCAAGTTCTCTTTTGACTTGTGCTTGAATTGCAGCCAGGGATGTATTAAAAGCAGAACTTTTAGCCTGACTGTTAATTCTGGCCATTGCTGCAATGGCAGCATGTTGATTTGCTTCAGTGACAGATCTATTTGCTGGTGGTGGTTGATATGCACCTTTTTGGTTCTTCTTGCTTGGCCCAACAATGGCTGTATCTTCAGTTAACTTATGTCCAGGTCCAGCTAGTTTGAATTTAGCCTCTGTCTTCTTCTTCTGAAAATACTTCTTGATTTTCTCTGCCATTGTGTGAAATATTTGAAACTTGTGAGTTAGATCCGTGGTGTGTGTTCTTTGGGAAGTTTTAGTCTCGATACACTTGCTTTTAATTCTTCGATAGCCTTAGAAGTAGCTATAAAACACATTAATATAAGTAAATCATACATAAATAAATAGAATGATTAATAATTTACCTGGTTTCATAAACCGTTCACAAATGCTCTTTCCAAACACACTCCAGGCAATGCAGATGAGAACAATGTTGATTGTGAACAAGAGCAAGAAGCTGTAGAGCAGCGTGGACTGGAAGTCGTCGAACCGCAGCGACTGCGGAATCCCCGCCAGCAGCTCTTGCACGGCTCTCCTGTCCGCTAGGGATAATAGAGTCTCGCTGCAGATGTGCGGGACGTGGTCGACGTACGCAAGTATCGTCTGAATGAGGGTGGAATTTAACAGTTGGTCAACATAAGTCGCACTCATTACTCACACGAGTCTACGCAAGGTAGGTGAAACGTGTGACAGTTGCCCTGCCCTCTGGCTTCGCAATTAATGGAATGATTTGTGTTTTTGTATGTTATCAATATAACAGGCAAGGACACGGCTGACTCCTGCACAACCTGCTGATTCTGCTGGACAAGTGTTGTCAATGATTGTCAGATGACAATTAACTTTTCAAGGACAGTTTTTATTTAATTTTAAGAAATTGTAGCCGCAATATAAAATTAAAAAGGAAATATAATTTAAATAGTACATAAATAATATCCTATTGATGACATATATGAATTAACAAATATTTGTTAAAAAGATTTCATAAATTTGTTTAAATGTAGCAATTGGTACAGTAGCGTAACCAAAAAATGTTTACAGGATTTAGTATTTGTTCAGTAGATGGCGCTGCAATGTTGAAACCTTCTTTATTTCTATGCATTAAGTCGTTTATTTTCTAAAAGAACGCATCCTAAACATTCTAAATCTTTAATAGGTGTCTTAAAACATGATCTACATTACCTAAAATGGTTTAAAGTGATTGTTAGGTATTCAAGAAAGTTTTTATTCCAATCAGTTTTTGCAGTTATCATTTTTATTACAAACAGCCTCTACATGTTTTTATTTTGTTTGTTTCACCAAAAATCTTCTTGATAAATCCTTTAATAACTTATTTAAGACTAAGGTACATACATAATATGTGGTTTTATTATAATTACACTTATAGAATCTACGTACGAAACTTTCGAAACGATTTTATAAAGTGTTGTATAAAATATTTACAAATATCGGATATTATCAATATCAATATGGGTATAATATAAAAATCAAATAAATAATCCACTAAAACAACAACTTAAAATTAACTAAACATAAATAATACTTTATATCAGAGATTTTTAGAGATATTTTATGCTAAAACTAAATTTTAAAGCTAAATTTAAGTAAATTTACTTCATTTCTAGTTTACAGTTTGAGTTTAAGTTGTTATTGTACACTTTCATATCAAAATCAAAAGTACAACCAGCCTTAGTTCTAAAATTCATGCTTATACAGCTTAAGAGTACATTAAAGTACAAAGTTTCTTAGAAAACAAGAATATAAATTATTTATATAAGTTATTATGTATTAACTTATGATTGGACGTCGAAATTTAGAAAAAAACTTAAAAGTTCAGAAAAAAATCATTTTTTGACACTTGGTGCTTTGAATTATTTGCAAGTATGAATTTCAACCGTCTTGAGACACGTCTTGCACTGCACCTCGCAACACCACTTGAATTTACAGTGACATCTTTCTTTAATCGTAGTTTTAAGAGTATTGTATCCTCTTCCGCAACAAAGCAGATTACATCCGTCCATATCCTGTGAAGTACGGTTACACGCTCTTCCTGTAGTCCCATGTGACCCTATTGTTGCATCAGCCACACAATAATTAGGCGACTCTTCAAGATAAACCAAATCGTTAGCTGTGGGTACTCGATAACGTGGATCATCCAATTGAAGCCTGCCTCGTTTGTTCACACGAACTTCAGTTGCGCCGTCGTATTTTTCACGAATATAATCACCTACAACATAAAACAAAAATGAGAAACTTGCAGTAAGTATGTTTCGGAAATGTGGTATTCTAAGTGTTGGTAATTTTAGCTGGATAATTAATGGTTAATAGTCAGGACGCCTCTGCGATACGCCCAAATCGGAATTTATTCGGTAAAATATGCGTCGAGCGTCGAAATAAATGAATCGAAACCGCTTGATTTTACGGGATGCATTCGGCTCATATTAGAATTAATAATTATTAATTACGTTACGTGCGCATGGATGCACCGCGGTAATAAAGTGCGGCCAAGCCTTCGAGCATCAAGCTACGAAACGCAAGTAATGGCCTGTCATTATCATTACCACCATTTGCTACGCGGGCGAAACAAGAAAACGTAAGAAAAAAGTTTGTGTAAAGTTATGTAACTGTTGCTGCGTGTTAAGAGGTGTATATTGGGTTGCCTAATTCTCACACACGTTAAAAATTACTGTTTTAGGGAATTTAAGATAAAACCCTACAAAAGCAAAAGTAAAATTAGTATCAGCATAAAAAATTAAAAACTTAAAATCATATTTGCGTGTGTATTGTGTTGCCTCAGTTATACAAGTTAAAAATTAGTGTTTTAGGGAATTTAACCTAAAAATTATTAGTGCAAAAGTAAATTTGGTATAAAATAAAACTAAAAACCTAACAGAATATTAGCTTGTTGCATCTTAGATGTGTATATTCGGTTGCCTAACTTTAACACGTTAAAAACGACTGTTTTAGTGAATTTAACCTAAAACTCCAAATGCAAAAGTTGGTATAAAATAAAATCTAAAACCTAAAAACACTATTCGCGTACACAATAATAGTTGATGGATAATTTATGGCGATATAAATAAACACAGTGATGTTATACTCCGGTCTACAAGGTGTTTTAAACAATCACCTACAACCTTTTTGCTTTTGATACAGGTAAGTCCTCTTTATATTTTCTTTACTTATACCTACCTTGTGTTCTCTGTTTATACGCTTTGTACTTTTGTACATCACATGCAAGTATCATATGCAAACGCACGACGTGTGCGGTCATCGATGCGATTGAAGTCGCACACGAATCTCAGCGGTTCGGGGCGCCCATTTTATGCCTACAATCGTAAGCGATGCATAAATCGTAGCTGCATCATCTCGCGCGAGAGATGTAACAACATGCAGGAGACTATTTAAAAGGACAACCATTACGGGTGTGTACCACAATAACACAGTGTGTTGAACGCCTTATGCTCAAGGATTCATTCATTGAAAACAAAGTCAAAAAGACTAAGTATAATATACAACAAAACAAAAAAAAAACATGGCTTAACAGAAAAGAAAAGATTCAAAAGATGAATGGTCAGCAGGTTTACTAGTCGTGTAGCGGTGAGCTTTCAAACGTCAATTGTGGACATAAAAACAAAATAACTATTAACACCTCCTAAATGTCCGAAAAGAACATGAAAGCAACGAAATGAAAAGCAAATAAAGGTATAGACGCAGTGAAACTAACACCAAGGGAACAAAGGATGTCACAATCACGAGAATTGTTCAATGTTAATGTTGTGTGAAGCTTCAGTGTTTATGTTCGCACGTTGAAAGTTAAAGTTACATGTTATGCGACAAAATACGGCTGGGAATGAACAAATTTATTGAATTAACCACTGATTTGGGTAAAAAAGAAAGTATGCCGAGTTCAAATATTAAAAATTATAGTTTTTATCATTTTACAAAAGAAAAAATTACTCTTAACTATTTGTTCATACAAAAATAAGTCGTAGAAAGTAAATTTACGATAGAAATTTCCATTTTAAAGTGAAATTTGACCAATTTTAATGACATTCAAAAGAAAATCGTGACAAAAAGTTATTACTTTGAGTAATAATTTCTTTTACTACAAAAAGAATTAAATTAAATTAATGAATAGTTTAAAAGTTAACATGTTAACAAGTTGTAGCTGCCAGTCATTCTCACAATAAGATATCGTATATCGTTGCATACGAAATGTGAGTGAAAGTCAAAAATTTAAATAATTCAATTGAAAATCCCAGTATAACACGATGTGTAAATGAATTCGGACCGCAAAGAGGCTGCAACTTCCTTTTAACACCTCTTTCGAACAATCGTAGTCGACAAAAACCAAGAATATTGATTAAAACCGATAAAATCTGTTGAATTTAATGCGTTGTTAGTTTTTGGTGCTGCACATTTATGTAAATCATAAATAATAATCAAGATAGCGACATATAAAGTCAGCAACTAACAACTGTGAACATATAAACCAAGTAAAAAAGTCCAACTTGTTGCTCGAGGTAAGAACAAATGCATGCGTGTCACAAAAGGCGATGCAATTTGTACGTGCGGCATGTCCGGGGCCGCCATTTTGCGCGCGCGCACGCTAAACAAACACATTGCATTTGCGCAATGTGTAACTGTAACGGCGCTTCTTAATTGGCGCGTTTGTATCTTACCTCTTGGCGAGTGCTTGGCAAGTACAGAGCGTGCAGACAGTGCACAAAGAGCCGTAAACCGCAACAATCGGCGACTGCGTTCATAATTTACACACCACTGTCGTCGGAGTAATAAAAGTAATAAAATTGCGCACTACACAATCGATAATTGAATATAAATCAGGTGGGCATATTTATAAACTCCAAATGTTACATTGTAAGTTGTTCTAAAACCTTCAAAATTAAGTTAGGTTAGAATTATCCTGCGTATTACATGTCTAGAGTGGAAAACATCGGAAAAAATATTTTTCTAGTAAATTTCATTCATTTATCTTCTTCCTAAGTTGAAAACGTCATTTTCAATAAAAAAATTCAATATTTTCTTGAAATACATGAAAAAAGTTGATAATATGATAGATTTTGAGGTTATGTTGCAGATTGTGTTGAGTTTTGTCGCGTGTCAAGTGATTTATTTACCAAAGTCAAGTATTTTCCACACCCGATGTGGAAAACATTCTTTTCAACACCGTTTCACCAAAAACTATGTTTTTAAAAGTAAGTGTACCTAAAGAAGCAATAAAAACCCGCGCATGCGTACTTGAACTTTTCTATTTTTTACTCTCTGTGGTCTGTAAGTTCCAAACGTAGACCATTCAAACAATTATTTGAAATGACTGTAATTTATCACGAAAAGGGTGTCGGTGCTTTGTAAGTCATGCTGATGTTTTCGTGTCGAGACGATGTTTATGCGCGCATCGAAAGAAAGATGCGCATGTAATGACCACCCTCGTGGATTCGTCCGGCGAGGATGATTCTGGTGCGCGGCGCGGTGTTCTTAAATCGTAAATGCGATGCCGGCTGAAACCTGTGGTAAAAACAGCTTAGCAGAACTTAAGAACCGGATAGGGAACATTAGAATACATTAGGAGAGCTAAATGTGCATGTTCAAGAGAAGTTTTAACTCTTCTAGGCGTAATACCTACAAATTATTTCCAAATTTGTTCATAACTACTTACGCAGAATACACAGAAGTAAAAATATTTCAACATTGTACGCAAAATTTAATATTTACGCGTAAAAATACTTAAAACAAACTGCGAAGTGTATGACAGATATACACAAATAATCTAGGGACCCTAGATGACACCAACCTGTTCTGTGTTCAACCAAATTACACGAAATTCTAACCTAAAAATTTTCTTTCTCAAATCTTTAATTTTTATGCGTAAAAATACGTAAAACACGTCATTTTTTATGTATTGCGTTATTGAAATGTAATTTATGGTTTTTTCGTGCAAATTTATGAACAATTTATGCATTTCATGCCATCATCGCGATTGTCACGACGTTTTAATTAATATTCATACAGCTTATAAATATTCATCAACTCTTCGTGCATATAGTAATAAATATCGATAATATGTATTCATAATTCATACGTCATATCTTTTTCTCAATAAATTAAACTTTTTTCAGTTAAATGTTAATAATTATAAGTGGAAGATATCGTATTACAAATATCAGCGCGATGAGGCACGTAATTTGTTACAAAACACACGATGCATGAAGCGCGTGCATGAAGAAACATAGGCGCGGGGTACTTTTTTAAATAATTATTAATTAACTCGTTTGCACGAAGGTGTTGACGAAGGCCCGACAAGTTATGCTACAAACAACCAGGAAACAAGTCGTTATTAATTGTTATGGACTTGTCGGAGAAATAATTTTACTTTTCAATGACGCAGGCAAGGAAGACAATAAATTACTTGATAAGGTCATAGAAATTCTTTGTTATTTGCATGACTGCGTTTGAATTCAATTAATTAAATGTTTTAAGTATTAAAAAACTTTCTTTTGTGTTATTTTCATTTGTATTGTTTTTTAAATTTAGTAAACAATACAAAAATATGTCATTTGAATGTCATATTAACACCCGAGTGTACCACGAGTATGCACGAATATTCTAGGGACCCTAGAAAACACCAACTGGGGTATTTATTTTGCACGTAGTTCTAACCTACAAGTTACGTCTTTTCCTACTTTTCAACCGTCATCATTCGTAGTTCCGCATCGCAAATTTTATAAATATGATTTTTGTTAATTCGATAAAGTTGTGTAAAAGTGTTCTGTGATTTTGCGATGCGATGCGCCGCGATAGACTTACCAACTTCCCTGAAGGTCGGCAGCTGTTGCCAACAGGTGATCAAAGAGCAGGAGCCTGAAACGCCGTGACACTTGCAGGTAACTCGCGACTTCTTAATGACTGCCTGTTGATATCCGAACATGAAACATAAAAATATTAGGACATTAAAATCAAAATAAATCTTAAATCAAATAAATATGTACATATGCACAAATAATACTATTAAAAGTTCCTTTGTTTTTAGTATTTATTTTATTAGATAGTATTAAAATAAAGTTAATTTAGGTAGTTTTTAAGGTTAATTAGTAACACATTTTGTGTGTTGTCCATGGTACCCATGGTGTTCGGCTTTCTCTTTTCCGTAACTCGGAACTAACATCTGAGAATCGAGATTGTAAACAAACTCACCAAGGTGCATTATTTTAATATGTGTACTTTCCTTGCCCTTCAACAGGAATTAAATTTGTGTATATAGTTTGATTGCGCATCATAAAAATGATATAAAATATTAGTTTTTATTTTAAATTGGTTTTATATGCCCGCACAGCAACAAACATTTTGTGTTGAATACTCTTCGGTGAGTTTTCTTCAGCTGGTGGGCATGCCAGCGGCGCATTTACCTTCAGAATGTCATTAAATCATTTTATGACGTGTTATTTTATTATTACAATAAATACTAATCACACGCAGCTTGAAATATCATTTCGTAGGCTTATCTTTCACATTTTTCCTGTGAGAAGAAATTTATTCGATGGGTTTTGAAGGAATTTTATTGCGCTTTTAATTAACACCTTATTGATGTCACAGAATTTAATTTATTTTTTTTTTACATTTTCTGCTTGTTAAAACACAAATTTTGCAATTAATTGGAGTTTTAATAACATTTAGAGAAATTATTCACCGATTTCCATTATTTTTTAGCCATTTTACAAACACATCTTAAACTTATCGCATTTGTAGTACAAGCAGTACTTTCTTCTAGTTTGAAATTGTAATTTCTTTAAAGTTTGTGGTTTTGTGGTTTGGACTCGACCTGTTCTTAACCACTGTATTATATTCTAAATGAAACTGACTACGAGTACAATTATTTATTCACCGTCTATGGCTGTCGTTTGTTCGCTCCCGGTGTTCTCATGTCCAGTGGACCGTTCGTTGTTAGAGAATCACTTCAAGTTTCTTTCAAAGCTGCACGCTTTTCTTGGATTTTCTGCACCTTTCACATCTTTAGTTTTGCATTATGTTGCTCTAGGTTCTTCCGATCATCGTTACTATCCATAAATAGAGCGTGACGGATTCACGGATTTGTTTACCATTAATAATAATAGAAAAAAAGAATTAACAGTTTGTGCAAAATTAAATTTTATTCAATTTTCTTGCAAAATCTTCAATTTTCTTTAACGGTTTAGTCATTTAATGATTTCTTTGGAAAAGATATTATTATTTTTTATGTTGTTATAAGTAATATACTGTTAATAAGTACCTACCACCATGATGAACAACCATTAACTCAACTCAACTCTGATAGTCATTGCTCATTGCGTTCACAAGTTCCGCACTAATGGTTTCTACATAATCTCTTTTCATGATGACAATCAGGACTGCACTAAGTGAAAATGACTAGGAATTGATTTTTTATCAATTAAACGAATGCAATATGCGTAAATAGAGAAATAGCCACTTAGGCAATATAAATGACCTATACTTAATCAGAAGTACTAAAAGATATTGAAAAACCATAGATGTAGAATTTGCATGCGTGCGTACCCCACGTAATTAATTTAATTGCATGTTTCAATAATCATTCGCGCATAATTATATAATTATTGAGCTCGTTAATGGCGGCTTTTACAAAGGCCGCTAATAGCACTTATTACATGTCAATTCGCTGGAATCGCTTGTAAATCGACACCCATTATGTCACGACGAGTTATTTTCAGTTTAATAATTCCACGTACTTGCATATTTTCATAGAAAAGTAAATTTTATCGCGTTAATATTTTGATGAGAAGAAAGTTCTAATCATAATCAGTTTTCTCATATGTGTTTTCTCTCGAATGTTTTGTTAAGTACCTATTAATTTAATTCACGTAGCTTTGGTTAAGAGAAGAAGAAGAAAAAAACATGATTATAATCGTATTATCTTCTCATCAATTTCTTGCATCTTGTTTCATTACGGAGCATTCTCATCAGATGCTTCGTAATTTTCATAATCTGTTTAGTTGCTTCTTATCCATCATTAAATCTATTAAACTACGCATCTAAATTCAAGGAAAACGCAACGTCTAATGACATTATTTACGATTTCCTATTAAAGTCATAAGTTTATTATGAATTTGCTGTGGTCCTGCTAGTAATTAAATCTGCATTATCTTTTTGTGCTGTGAAATAAATGGATATTTAGATGATTTTTGTTATTTGTGATAAGCTTATATTCAAAACTTGAATTAATTTACAAGTTTTTTGAAATATTTATTTATAAACTTTACGTGAATATTGGATTTCCAATTTTTATATGTTGAGTTAACATGTTTCGCCCTGAGGGCATCTTCATAAACTCTGTTATTAGATTACGTATTCGCAAATGAAAGTGATAAAATTTTAAGTTTATGTTTTAATTTGCTACAATTTTATTTAAAAATAATGAAAATTGCTAATATTTCACTTTAGTCCCATCTCTGATTCAATTATTTAGCTATGACTATGATTAAACCTGTGTATCAATTTTTATTTCTTATTTAACACTCTTAAAGTCATAATTTCTGATATGTTATTAATTATTCTACTATTAGAGAAGAAGACAAATCCAACAAATCATATTTCTTCCAAATCTGTCCACGCGTTCGTGAGTTATCAATGTTGTAACTAACCGAACTTTGTTTTATACATATATAGATAGTATGAAAAATAACTTGAGTATATAACTCAATTCACTATTCGTTCAAATGTCGTTAAACCGAATTACACTTCTTATTTTACTAAATCAACTTTATATATTTTCCACAGTATCAAAAATTGATATAATATACGATTACGCATATGGCGAGAACGTGCTTGCAGATTGTAATCAATGTTATAGCTGAAGTTGATATCCGCTGATCGGTGTAATCATTGTGGAGCATGTGGGGCATTAATAAACGCATAAACGCATAATCCCCAGTCATAAATTCGCATTAAACTGCGTCATAAACGTATTGCACTTGCGTTAATCCACCGCATTTCTGGACATAGAAATTATCAAACAAATTACTCACCTACTCGTAAGCGCAATCAAACAAAAAGTCTAAACTATTTGATTTCGCAGGAAATTAGAACTATTAAAACATAATTTTTCTAAATTTTCTAAGAAAATCATTCAATCACTTTAGTTTCACATCAGTTAGTTTTATATCAATTACAGCTTGCATTTGCATTCGCAATTCGATATGCTATTTCCCTTGCAATAAAAATCCGCATGCGCGGATTATGATACCCGCGGATCTGTGACTTAACCCAATTAATCACGATTAGCTTAATTAATTACAGCGGGGTTGAGCGCGCACGCGAAATTTATACGCATGACAAGTTATAAATTCATAATCGCGGACATAAACGCGATAATTATGTCAACGCTTCGAGATTTTTAATTTTAATTAAAATCAATTTAAGTCGAATATAAACATTAAAATGTTATCTTATCTGCTCCCATTTTTATAGGTATTAATAGGTAGATGACTAGTTAATTATGCTAGTTATTTTGTTGGAAACGTTGTTTGTATTCTATAATCGCTAAGCTTTGAAATATTTTATAATCGACTACCGGATTCGATGATATTCGAGCGCGGTGTCTATTTTACTACTCTGCTGCCCACTTCATTCCTCGCTAACGTATGTTTCGACTTGTCTGCGGCGCGGCGTTATTAATTTTTCGTTTGAAGCCGAAATAATTAAGATAAACATTGTTAATAGTCACGCAATCTGCGCATAACTTTGAATATGCACGCCGCTCACATCTCACATCTCGAGGTTTTATTATTTAATGTAGTTGTTTCTTGGTTGAATCTTTTACTCTCATCCTAGTGAACGTGCGGATGGCTAGAAGCTGATAATAATGGGAATCATGAACGGAGAACTTTATAAATACACAGATGCACGTTGGCTTTTTAGTTGTTGTTGGTTGTTGGTTGAATAAAATATAGTTAATAAAGCCATTAGCGGCGTGACGCGACTTTATATTAGGAGCGACTGCCCACGTTGAGTCGGGCTTTTAATTACGCATATTGATAAACCGCACGGGATGTTTTATACAAAGTGTATTATTATTGTTATTATTTACATATTTTATGAGTAATTGCATACTTTTATTGATACACTCTGTATAAATAATAATAATTCATGATTGTTGCATTTCTTGAGCTTTATAGAGCTTGTTTCACTGTTAACATTGATGATCATGAGTATAATGATGATTATCATCAATTTTCTAAACTTTTGAAAAGTTTTATGTTGAAAAAATGCCTGAAGTAAGAAAATTATGCACTAAATATTAAAATTTTAAGTCAATAATCATTGTCAATCACTAATTGGTAATAACCCACATTAGTGACGTGTACTAATTGATGACCAAAACCGGGATGAATTAATTAACAACCGTCAGTTTTATTAGTAGCTGCCTATCAACTCCTACGAGCAAAACGCGTACAAAATCAACAAAAACCAGTCAAAAATGTCAGTTTTAATGCAATGCTAATGAAAGTTTGAAATTACTAACGATTTTGATACTCAAGTCGTCAAACTAATCAAACATTACGAAATTTTAGTCTTAATTAATTTCCTCGACGAGTCAAAACCTTACAGATTGAATATTTTGATCTTTGAGTGCTATTCTCCGACTGTGACTTAGAATATTCAATTGGAATTTATGATTGAATTTTTGTTTGCTTTACTACTTCATTTATCAATGCTGTTACCTAAAGATAGTTGTTAACTGATAACTTTCCAAAGAGTTTGATGATCTTGTTTGAAGTATTGGCTATTGTTACTTCAGATACAGATACACTTGGAAGCACTCAACTAGAACTTAATAAATTATCATTTAAATATTTTTAAAATATTTACAACTGTATAAGATTTTCGCTCTAGCAGATACTAAAGATAAGATGTTAAGATGTTGACGATTTTACTACAGTGTCTTCGTGGCGGCTGTAAAGTTAGTTTTAGTTTTGTGCTGATCTCTTTTGATCTCGGCATCTTGTTATCGCATGCCATCTCGGCATCAATTACACCTTGACAAACCGCAAACCTGCATCACATGCACAAGCGCATTTTCACGGTACTAAGTTTACTCGGAAATTGCATGCACGTGTAGATGCGTTTTTTGTTGTTTGTTGCTGTCATGCAATCAGCATCATATCAATATACCTATTAAATTAGTCAATTATTCAATCTCTTTTGATATTTGCTTATTAGCCGCCATGCCGCTACGCAGCAAATTTGCCAATGCTGATAGTGATAATCATAATCCTCTAGAATGTATCCAAGTATGCATAAAATGTTGAGTGTAAATCTTCTCGGATCGTAAACTGACTGCGTCTAACAAATTGGAAATTAGAAATTTTCTTCCGTGGTAAATAAAATTATCAAAGTGAAGTGATCTTTCAATCAATGTCGTGTCATAGTTTCGCGGTCTGTGGCCATGAAACAAACAATTTCGTCGGCAAGAAAGTAAATTCTATCACGACTAGACACGGCTAGAGTCATGAGATGGAACGAGGAAGTCCGTCGAGGATGTCGGGAGACTTTTGACATCTTAATTTGTATTAATTATGTGGTATGAGCTTGCGCGCATGCAATCTCTGAAACAAATTGAGTTGCAACATGTATTTTCAAACACTTATATATTACAATGTTTTGTAATATGCTTAGAGTTCTACAATGTTATAATAATAATGCATAGGTTGGATAAAAATTGAACATTTATTCAAAATAACTGTAGATAAATTGATCTCCTACTATTAAAGTAATCACTGTAATTAATCGAAATCGAATCAGGATTACAAGTTCGTCTTCTTTATCTCAACTACCTAATTATAGCAAGTTGGTTAAACGTGTGTAAACAGATTATGTAAGTATCGAGGAACATCTTAATCTTGAGATCGTGTTTGGTGCAAGCATTAAATTAGTGGTTTTGTTGTTTTTGAGATGTTTGGAGTACAATTACAAGTAGATTAGTCACAAACGCGTAGGTTTTTCGAGTAAATTGATCTAGGGAAGGCACTTATTTTATCATTAATCATTTTATAATTAAATTTATTTTACCGTTATATGTATTTTTGTGAATTTAAAATCAGTAAAATGCATTTTTAAGAATTATTTGAAGTGGAATTAGATTTTTATTGTTTCACTCAAATATTGCGCGTTTTTGCACTTATTTTATTAATAATCTGTATGCAATTACTTTTGTGTCATCGTTATTTATATATATTTTTGTTTAAAATTAGAGAAATGCATTTTGAGACTTATTTCTTGTAGAATTAGTTTTTTATTGTTTTATTTGAATATTACGCGTTTTTTGCATTTATTTTATCGTAAATCATTTTGAAATGAATTTTATTTTACTGTTTTACATATTTTTGTTCTTTTAAAATCAGAAAAATGCATTTGAAGTTTTATTTGAACTTGTATTAAACGTTTTATTATTTTACTACGTTTCGCGCGTTTTAAAATTCCCAAACAGGAAATAATAAGAAACTGATCTTGGAATAGAACAAAAAACTAATGAACAATGCAACACTTGACACCGTTTAATTAAAACGTGTCAAACTTTTAGATTTATTATGTTTAAAGCCAAAAAAACAAGAAAACAAAGGAACGTTTTTAGACACTTTAGACAAAAACATGCAGATTTCAAGTGTGTGAACAATGAGAATGTAACAATGCATAATAATAATTAGTCCGAAGTAATGTAAAGTGCATTTGAATACATAATTAGAACAATACCCAAGGTGTGAAGTAGATTTCCAGTTTAAATTACACAATAAATCAAAATAACGGATGTTCATCCGCTAAAAAATATAAATTTTTTGACTTTTATGTCAATTTATTGCTCTTTTTTCTACTTATTATCATTTATAATATCAGGAAGTATCAATTGCCATTAGGAAACGTTTGATGCTGTCTGTAACCGTCGCAGGATGATGAATATATTAACACTCAAACACTGTTAATTCATAATTTAAATAAATTTAAATGCACGCAGCTATATTCCGATCTATAAAAATATTAAAGTATTAAATACAAATATGACCGACAGTGATAGCGATAATGATGGTTCATTCATTAAATTACATCTGATACTCTGATGGGCGTAAATTTCAAAGTGCATATTAATCGCCGTATAAATTACAATATTTCAATATTCAATTAGTAACCGTAGTGCGCGGCGTAAGCAAATTGCCAATTTGGCCAATTTTCTTGCAACTTGTCATAATCCATAGATTTGTAGTGCTTACAAATTGAACGCTGAGCATGTATTAACCGGTTGAGATTTAGATTAACTTGACTTAAGTTAACTTCAATTAAAAACTTAAAGATTAGCACCGGATCATTTCCGTTAGTGAGTGAAAATTGATTATATTTTACGTTTGCATTTTTTTTGTTCATAATGTAAATGATAAAATTTATAGTTTTTTCAGTTTAGTTTAACCTGATCATCTTGACTTAAGTCAAGTATGTGGACACTGTATGAATATATGAGTGAGTCTGTGAGTGCGTGCGCGCTTGTCGTTAAATTTGCATTTTGATTGCCACTCGGAATTCGCTACTTGGCGCTACTTCAATTTCGCTTCCATTGCTTCCAGCGTGATGTAGTGGCGCAATCTTTTGATACTGCGGGGCCTACATCACCGATGATGATGATGATTCAATCGCAACTTATCAAGTGAACCAGCTAAACGAGTGTTAACAACTCATTTGTTTCAAAATTTTGAATAATTTATGATTTCTTCACATTTTGCGTTTGTATTTAAAAATATTTACATTCTACGTGTCTAAATATATTTTTTAAAGTGAAATCTTATTTTTTACACGTGTACTAAGCTTTTTCGATAATAATATATAACAACCCTGTAATTAGGCAACCAAATTACCATTACTTGATCTCTTGTCAGGTAGCAATCTCGTAAATTTCGAGCGGCGCACAGCTGAAAATTCCACGTTTCCGGGCATTGTGCCCACATTACCGCCACGTCACTTTACATCACATTACATTATCTCGTCACAGCCATTAGCGAATCAACTTTACATAACTTTCCCGTGTAATTTCCATGGGCTACGAGAGTATTTTTAATGCGTTTCAGAAAAGTATCCACGCTTTTCAGAAGAAATCATCTCGAAATTCTCAGTGGAACAAATTAAAATTACTTAAAAAGACATCAAAATTACTACGAATTTATGATTACATCGTAATGTGGGTGGTCTACGCTTGAAATAATAATAGTCTGGTTATAGAGGTTGCCTATGTTAAAAAAAATCATTGCTATTCATTTGAGGAATGTGATAAATTTGCAATAAATTGTAATATTCTCGATGTTTGTTTTTGCACAGACGCGCCTCTATGCAACGACAAATATCTACATAAATAAATACCCGCGATAAACTTGATAAATGTCCTCATGGTGCATAATGTCCTTCGATTCGCATTAAATTTGCATAATGGAAACATCAAATAAATGTCGATTGTCGCTGCACTCCAAGAGTAAGTGCACTGAATGCACTTGACTTTTGATTATTCTCCTCCATCTTACACCAGCCTGTAGTGTAGCACTTTTACACACATTGTAATTCAGTCATTTATTTAATTCCATTAATGCACTAATTTAATTATGGATGCAATGTAGCCTTACTCATAATAATATTCCACACTGAGTATATAAATTTAATCATGAATATTATTATCTATGATTTATTATTGCATTGATTGTGATTCTGCTTGATCTTAATGCAACATTCAGTGTATTTGTAATTTTGTAATAAATTTATTAGCGCATGATAAATTCATACATTCAGACATAAATCAAACGACAGTGTGAGCTTGATTTATTCGCCCGCGCGATCGAAAACTGAAATTACAACATTTTTCAATTTGCGATTTGTTTGCGTTCTCCTCTGGAAGAGAGGTGTGTGTATGGTAAGGACGCAGTGAGTGGTGCATCTGCATTGGTAATAATAATGTAAATAAGGATTCGCGTGCATTGCACACGGGTACAAGCAGACAATTTTGAACGCTTAATGCAAATTTATGCGAATAACGAGCGCGCACGAGTGTGAACATACAAGCAATTGTTTTTGACATTTCGAAACGTGTCATTGAATATTGTTTTACATCGAAATATTTGTCATTGTATATCAAGTAGTGGTTTAGGCACAAGAAAGAATATTATTACTTTATTTTAGATGAAAAAAATAGTATTAATGAAAGAATTTGCATTTCCAAAATTTAGATGATTAAAATCAACGTTTTTCAACGTGTTTTTGTTTTCAATTCCATAAATTTAAGGTGATAATGATGAGATTTATTTGTTTTAATTTTTAAACTTTAAAATTTATATTTTTTGCCATTGCGATTAAATATGTATATTTTTGGTAACTTACCCGTCTTCCAGCTTCATTATTATGCAGATTCATCAATGATCTGCCTTGATCCTTGCTGCCTCGTCGAAATTTACGTTCGCGTTCACGAACGTCGACGAATCCTTGCGTAAACCTGTAAAACATCACAACGCCAAATAATCAACACGCTTCAATCTCAAGATCACTCCGTTTAAGCTGATATTACGCTTCTTTACAAGTCGTGTTATTATCATAGAAATAGCAGCCGGAAGTTGTTTATTTACTTAATCTCTCATTGGCAACTTTTCATCAAACCGAATGTCTCAATCGCTTCGATTTCGTGACTTTGAAGAGACGCGCGACAAGCCATCGCGGCCAATTAATGCGCCTTCCAGCTCATTAATCTTGCATTTCTTGATCTCTCGACATCGCTACGCACGTCACCTCATCACTTCTACACTTCGGTTATTTTATCTGTTTATCAACGTGTCATCGAGTCATTTCTCACTAGTTTTTATTGACTAACTTTCAAGTGGCATGTGAAAAACTACCGTAGGCATTTGTCTGTTAATTATTTATGGATTTAAAATCGATACAGAGAAAAGAATTTAGGTTAACAGTACAAAGTCACCAATAAAAATATAAATTTAAAAAATAAAGTACTAGATAAATGGAGTATTGAGTATATACCACCCTTGGGTTTTAAAATTATTCGAAAAATTGGATTTTTAGTTATCTGCGCCATCCTATTGTGATAATTTCAGCATTACGAATGTAAATCCGAGCATGACATGATTCGTCACGCGAACGTAACGCATGTCGAATTATCTGCCCTCCACAGCAGCAACAAGACCGGGGCTGTACGCTATCTAGTAAATTGGAGTGTGTGATTTCGTTTGCGTTTCGTCTCACTATACGCGCATAATACACGTCAATGAATTATTGCGATGACCAACTTGCGCTGCCGCCAACCGATCCTCGTTCATTCAAACTGTCCGCGTCGGCACAGATGAGAGCCGCTGCTGCGCCGACTTTGAAACGAAATCTATTTCTCTATGCGCTATGCGACCGACGACGGTTATTTGTGGCCGAAATCAACGTGAAATACGAGCGAGATCAGTTGCCGCTTTGAATGAATGAATGTGAATTGAATGCAGCGGGACCACCCCTGCCGATCCGTCAAATCCGTGCGGCGTGAAGCATAATCGGCGACGCTAGTAAAACGCGACGGCGCGACGAATCCTCGCATCCGAATCCGAATCAATTCCAGTCACATGTGCGCCGCGCATAAGGAATATCCTGCAATCTACAATATCTGTTTGTATCTGGTTAATCCTCGGACATAAAATAGAAATGTATCGCTTGCCAAGCGGGCCGACAAGCGGCGAAGCGAATACGCGTAGGAAATAAATTAAATATACAGGGTGCTAACAGAAAATACACGCTAGGTAAAAGCAAATGCGTATGCGCAAGTTATACTCGTGACTAAAGTACTTTAGTCACAACCTTGGACTCCTATGATTAAAGTGTCACTTTTCGTGTCTTAAAACCGTGGAAAATTGACGCTTTAAAGGTAGAAGTAAAAAATATTTATTTTACTGTCTAGGTAGTGAATAGCCACTTTAAAACTCATTTCCAACAAAAATATAAAGATTGTTTATGCTTACTTGTATCCATATTCGAGATTATCTCCACATCCTCCCCAAACCCACTCCTCCCGTAGATTTGCCGGTCGTCCTTTCCTGCTGCACCCGCAGGACTGCAACTGACCATCCCTGCAAGCGCGTGCCACCGAATGAGTCACCCCGCTGCAGATAATGCATGAGCAAAGGCACTCTCACGACTTGCTGAAACACAAAATTTAAGCAAGCATTTAACACAAATTCAATTCGCATAAACACAGTTTCTAATTTAGTTTTTGCAAGTTATGATGTCTAGACGACATTAAATTTACTTAAAGACATCTTTCACTACTTTTACAATCGTAGCATTCACCGATTCAGTCTATCTTCAAATTGTGGTTGAACTCAAGTGGTAAATCTCCTCATAAAGAGGGAAAACTGTTGGTTTATTCCCCTAAGCTGCGAGTTGATGCACGGATGAGCACCACCCCCGGCAAAGTCGTGTTTATATGTTTTATGATCGGATTTAGTTTTGAAGCAGAAGTATACATACGCAATCCTAGTTTATTTTCCGGTTTTGTTCTCCAACTGATATTCTGCAGTCAATAGGATTATGACTAAGTTTATTTGTTTTGCCAACCAGTTCATGTTCATGTAGAGAACACATATGAAAAAAAAACATTGTGTGTGACTAAATACCAGTTGTATGAGAACGAGTGCAAGAAAGAGTGCATTAAATGGATCTACGGATCTATAACTCAACTAAATGTTCGGTGCAGCTTTGCAGGAGGGGCAGCTTTGTTTCATGCGTGAAATAAATTCCAACTGCTAAACTGTCCGGAGATTAGTTACGCTTCGTTATGTAAATTTCACTTGTACGGCAAAAAATTACAATAAGAAATAAATTTATACGTTTTTATTTAATACAATGGTAGATGATAACCTAAAAACCAGATTTATTTGGTTTAGTTACTAAATTTAGGCCATGTTTTTATTTGTTTGCGAACTATACTAAATTAACAACAAAAACGAGATAAAATTGTTTGCAAATTTCGTTAACTTGCGGTTTTTATGTCTTTTTTGTTGGATTTATTTTGTTTTATTGTTTTCTATTGAAATTAAGAAGTTTTTCTCATCGCTTGCCAAATGTTTGACATTTTATTGCATTAATATTTTATTTCAAACTCTTTCTAGGTGATACGCAAATTTCACTAGTGATTCTTATTTTTGTTGCATAGCTAAAAATTCATTGTATGTATAGGCGGCTTTTTAGACTTTAACCTAGTCGAAATAAAACAAAACAAAAAATCGTGACGGCGGCACCTTTCGCTTTAAACTTCAACTTGGCCCAAAACAAATATTTGACAATAACCTACAATAGTCGGAAGACGAACGCACCTCAAATGCGTTGTGTTAACATTTGAACTAACTAAACAATTAAAAAATAGAAGAACCCAAACGTCAAGCATATCCGCAAGTAAATACAAACAATACAAATAAAAACCATAGCAAACAACAAAAGTAAATGTGTAAATAAATAGAGGTAAAGAAATTTAACACAGGAAACAAAATTTTAATTTTAAAAGTTTGAGAATTATGTTCAAAAACTAGCAAAATAAATCAATTCTTTGGTATTGAATAATTGAATCATAAAATTTCTTCGAACAAATAAAGTTAATAAACGAATCAATCCGATTTAAAGTGACGCAATTTCGAATCATTAAAGACAATTTATTTCTGGGGGTCAAATAGAAAAAAATCCAAACCCGTACAGTTTGTAAAGCACTGCAATGAAAATGAAAATCTATTATTGCTGCCCAGATTGACTGTTATTGAACTATAATTTGCTTACATTTGAATCTATTAGCGTATCGAATACACACACGTACATAAATTGAAACGTTTTATTCCTCGGCTCGACTTTAGCTATTATATTGTCTAAGTCATAGTCACGCTTGAAAGAAACAAATCAATTTTATGTAGTTAATACATCATGCGTGTGCGCATGTGTAGTAGCACAAACATGTATTGTTCGAAGTTTCCTAGAAATTTAATTTTTCCGTAAATATGGTAGAACAAAAGCGCCACATAAAACGTTTTCCAGGTAAACTAAAAGCTAGTAAAAGTTACACTTTGATGATCAAGCCACAAGCTGCGTCTTTCTGATGCTTGATGACTTCAACCGATATGAAATGTTTTTTCCTGCTTCTTTGCGCTGCGTCTTCTTGACTTCACGCGCCGCTGGTATGAATGTCATAAAAATAACTCAAAACAGCTAAGTGCAGCTATAAGAACACACAGATTCGATCTTTTTCTGCGCGTATCTCTGTTTTATTTGAGCGTGTTGTCTTTTTCTGGCTTAATGTTGGTGAAAAAACAAATATAACACGCATTATCGGCGCATCGTCGTCACATTCGCGTCGGAAACGAGTCGAGAAAAATCTCGTAAAAAACGTGATACTTATAAAGTTAAGAAGAATAAGAAAATGCAGACGTGGTTGAAATTGCAATTGTTGCGGTTTGCTGGGGAATGAAACGCGAAAAAACAAAACTGCGTGCAAAAAGCGCAGGATTTGTATGTTCGCGGGTTTGCAGTGTGCGACGAATCCTCAATCAGGAATCGTCATGAAAGTAATTCGCACTTCTTGGCAATTCTCAGTAATTGTACTCACTCTGCGATGTGATCGCAGCGTATTAACATTCTTGTGCGATTTTTATTCTTTTTGCCTGGCTATCATTTCAAGGATTTAAAATTTTATCAAAACCAAGTCGGCGAAATTACACTATTTATTATTCAAGAATAATAAGGTTAAATTTATATTTTTTGATTTTTTTGAATTTGTATGCAACCCGCGTTGCCAATATTTATTCCCGTCAGTATTGAGTTGTTCACTTTTATTGGTGTTTTACATATCCTGGCGTTTATCGTTTTTTTCCAGATTTTTTAAATAAACATCAATTTTGCATTTTTTCACAAAAATTTGCTAAAAAGTATTAAAAATTCATAAACTTACCGTAATTTATAGTTGGTCCTAGGACATTCTCCCCATCCAAAAGAGAACAATTCCATCTCCGATGCGCAAACTGATGTTTACACTCTGTTAACGCCTGTCGCGCGCCCATCGAAACCGGAAGCATGTGATCACTATACAATTTACACAAATTGCTTTGACCAGCACTCAGCCCCGGCAGATTCTTGCATGTTGGCGGTGCTTCCGAGTTGAGGTCTTTAACTATCATCCCCAATCGCCTGCAAAAAGCAAAATAAAACATTACAAAACAATCCGTAGATAAATAACGTAATTAAGCACTGAACGCAACGCTAAACTGATCTAATTAATGATTAGTTTAACGTTGTATAATTCTCTGAATCGATAAAACAAGCGCAAAAGCAACAACAAACGAGGTCGATACATATTTTCTACGGGAGCCACATGATCAGGAATTGAAGTCAAGACACACACACAGGTAAATAAGGCTTGATTGCGGTTTTGGAGTCTGTTAATGTGCCTTCTATTCTGACTAGAGTGACACGTCTTGTGGAAGTTGTGTGTTGACTATCATTAGCGTCGATTGGCAATAAATCTTCTGCGTAAAAGCGTCGAAAAAATGCGATTGTGCGCCATACAAAGTCGTAAAACAAATAATTCACTTGGGTTTACTTCTTAATTAATAAAATTATTTCTAGATACTCTCGTCGTGTATAAACCATAGTCGCTATGTTTGCATTCAACTTAAGTTAAGTAAAGTTAAGATACCATTTTACGCTCGAGTCCAATCAATCCGTATTTGAAAAATGCTTCATACCAAATATCTTAATTTTATGCATGCCACCACGTTTTTTGTGCCGTGTATCTTTGTAACCCTGAAAGACTTTTAATTTTTTTGTCTAAATTTACGTTTGATTATGGTGGGTATAATTAAAAGTGTTGAGTTTTTGTCAGGATTTATGTACGGTCACTTTCGAGATTGGAGCATTAAGACATTAACTTTACTAATGGAATTATCGCACTTTTCGGAATAACATTAATGAAAATGAAAAAAATAAATATACGCTGCGCTTTTAAGGCTATTCGCCTCTAGGTGGAGTACAAGTATGTTTATAATCCGTAAATATTTCCGGAATGTGAAGGGCACTTTACGATTTGGTTGCTCGCTCGCACTGCGCACAATTAGCGCACATCTTTACGGCACACAAATCAGTCCGTTATACCGGAATGCTCTGACTACACAGCAGCGCAGCATCATCAGTAAGTGCACAATCTACAATGCATCTGGTCAGTGTTAGCAGTTGAGTGTGTTTTCAGAGAACCGCGCGCGCTTCGTGCGCGGCATGTAACTAATTGACGTTAATTTTAAAAGGGATGACCATGCGCATTTCCTCTGCGATCGCGAAACAACACGCCTCGGAGACTTGGTACAAAGTCGCCCAAGAAAGTAAAGTGTGCGCGCGCACACTGGTGCGATGGTAGTTTTGGTCCAGAGGTGGTCATTGTGAAGAAAACGCGTTAAATTGTTAGTTTCTGCACGAACGCGGACACTCTCGAAGGATGTGTCCGTTCGTGCGTGAAAACCAGCTATTATTTCACCTTTCTTCGAGAATCTGCAACTTTTTTTCTTTGTTTTATGCCTTAAAAACTCGTAAAAACGAATTACTTTTAAAACATTCGTGATATTTATGACTCACTTAGAGCTACTCACTACTAGGTGGCGCAGTATTTTTATTACTTATTTAATTTCCTCAATGTTGTTATTATTGCTGCCGTAATTATTTCTAACGACTTGAAATGAATTGATAAGTATCTTGCGCTAATTAATATTATTACCAATTGAAAAATACGACGGTAGTTACTCGATGAAATCAAATTGAAAGCAATTGAAATTGCAGTTATTGGCTCACGATCTGCAATGACTCGTTATTCTCGGCTCGTTACGCAACGTTTAATTAAATTCACTGCGCATACACCTGGCTGATATTTATAATAATCGTATTAATAACATGCCATGGTTGATATACGACACAAGCGCGCACGCAAAGCTTTGATATTTTGTTTGGTAAATACGTTTTCACTCATTCGGTCATTCACTGATTTATTAGATATATTTATATTCAGATGATTGATGGATAAGACATTTTTGTTACCTGAAAATGAAATTTTTTATTTTAAATAAGATTTTAAATTTCCGCATGCGCAGCTGGTGCTTTCCACTACTTTGATGTCTTTGATTGCTATTGCTTTTACGCATTACGAGTAAACTATAAACTAGTTGATAAAGTTCACGATTAATTAGAGCACACTCGTTTTCATCATTGCCTGAGTGATTCAATGTCTCAATAATTGATTTCCGATAAGGCACTAATTGAAAAACTAGTTTCTTCTATATTTTCTCTCATTTTGTGCTTTTTATTATTTTTGTTTAGAGTTCTATGGCTTTGAATTGCTTTTTACTTATTACTTTCTTTGATTGCTTCTTTTAATTTATTTGCTTTCAGATTTTTTACTGTATTTGTAATTAATCATTAAATCTGGTGGTTTTAAAAGGTTTTACCTAGTTTTCTATATTCAATGAACAAATTTTTTATTATTATTATTTTCTAAGTTGATTACGTAATCCATGGTTTATAAAATGTATTTATTAAAATAATTTTGTGATTTTCTTGGATTTTACAATTTTGTATGCGAAAAATTTTGTATCAGAAAAGTTTCTGATGATGCCCACAGGGCGAAACATGTAAAACTCGCATACAAAATTGTACAATCCAAGAAAATCACAAAATTATTTTAATAAATACACTGAACAAATATTTGTATTTTTGTGTATTTGTAACGCATTCACATGAAAACTTTCCAACGAATTTTGATAAATTTTGGTATAGAAATATTTTTAACTAAGGAAAAACAAATAGGCTACTTTTAATTGTATAAATATATCTTGAAGGGTGTAAAATAAGGGATGAAAGATGGTATGGCCATTTTATTGTAGTTTTAGTAACATAATTAAAACTGTGATAGCGCAATGTGCATTATTAGCATTTTTTATTTCTTTAGGTTAAAATTTTGAATTTAATTTTTCGGATTCAGCTTAAGACGCCTAAGAAACATGAAAAGTAATAACTTAGGCAATTTTTATTTAAATATACGTGAATAAAGTCGCGGGCCAAAACTAGTATTTAATATTTAGATTTTAAACTAATAAAAGCTACTGTTTTCATCTGTTGTAACTTTTAATTAAATCCAACTATTCATTTATTTCAGAACTGTCCAAATACATTTTGTTTCTTGTCATCCTTTCAGTCATCAACTTCTCTATGATAGTTTCCCAGGGCCAAGTTATAGCCATAGATAACAATTACTGAATGAGCCTTGACATTATTACGGCATTCCTTCATGTTTGGTGGTATTTTTTGTTTCGTTGCACGCTTTTACCTTTTACTTCTAGAGGCACAAGCAAAAGGTACTTCCATTCCATGGAACAGTTGGTTGCCGACCTGATTTTCGAACCCTTCTCGATTCTGTTCTTTGTGCCATTGTATACCCTTTGTTGTAGTGCTTTTATTCCGGTTTGAAGTTTTAATATCATGACCGGGCTAATAAAATATTGTACATATAGGTACGCAATGCGCACCGGAATAAAAGGAATAATAAAATAAATATTTTCAATAGAATAAAAAGACGCAATTCCTTAAATTGAAACAAAACGATGAAATTTCGCTTTCACATGGAAAATAGTGCCCGATAGGTACGAATATTACTTGGCGTACAAATCGATATATGGAATGAAAGCTTCAATACAACACGTCGACTTTAAACATTGGTACACACAGCTTTTGCTTTTGTCGTTGTTGTGAGTTGGGCAAGACCATATGCTGCCTTGCGTCCGAATAAAGTGGCTCATAAATAGAACATGTACCTCGCATTATTACGATACTCTATTATTATTCTTACATAAATGTGATAAGAACGTAGCAGTGCCGTGTGTAAGTACTTTCAACTTCTTATTACGAGACAGCGCCAAACATGGGTGTGAATTTTGGAATCTCGGAATGCTACGAATCAAACTGACGCTTGGTAGAAGCACATCACAATAATAAAGCAATAAAAATGGGAATTAAATGCATTGAATGCATTGCGCCGGCCATAACCATAGACAGTCCATAATGTAGTTAGTTAGTGTAGGTACTTGTAACTGGAGGAGGTTGAAAAGAAAATGGATGAAAATAAAATTTAGTGTAGGTTGCGAATATCTCCGATATCGTCAATACTCTGGTTGTAAATTCGGTATTGTACTATCAACACAATCTGATCTCAATCTCTAGCTTTATTTGACTTAACATTTTTATAAAGATTAAGATCACTTAAGATATGATTTAATACACACATTCTAAAAATGTTTGTATGTTTGTGACGCTTTCACATCAAAGTCACTGAACCAATTTTGATATATTTTGGTATAGAGATGTTTTATACCTAGGAAAAACTAATAGACTATTCTTTGTTGCATAAATATTACTTAAAGGGTCTAAAATTAGGGTTTAAAAATAAAAATGCTATTATTATTTGTATTTCTAATTTCTATAGCATTTGGAGCATTTGGAGCAGAAATACCCACTCCTGCGTCCAAAACTCAGAAAAATAATTAATTTTATTTAATTTTACTTTGATCATGGACAAATTCTGGTATTATTTAAACATAAAATTCATTTTTATTAAATTATGCTTTGATTATTTTTATGATGATTAAGGACTACTGCGGTCGTTTCAAACATTTATTTTAATTGTTTTAATACGTCGTAAAATATTATTAACGAACTTCAAAGGCTAAATATTCAAGATTCCAATTAACACTAGCTCTTGATTATTAAATTAAGTGAATATACAACGTAGTCAAGTTTAAAGAAATAAAGCGTTATAGTGACATTCAACTAAAGTTGCTAATATTATAAACGCACAAAATATTTAATTATTAGATCTTTCTATGTTCTTTAGGATCTTCATCTCTGGTTGAATATTAAAATACAGGTTTGTTGGCAATTTAAATTAATCTCAAATCAGAAAATCGCAAAATCGAATCGAATCAATTCAATTTACATCAAATATTAATCGAATACGAATCGATTTCAATATGAATATTTATACACGACGCTTCGATGATCTTTGATTATTATCACACTGGATATTTCTACGTACAAGAATTTATTTGACATCAGGAAGCTGTTCAATTAAATTAAATATAATTTCAAAACGTTTGCATGTCCGCGTGTTTCTCTCGTCATTTAATAAAAATTGTATTTAATTGTGCTGTTTTTCTTAACAGCTTTAAGAATGTATGGATTATAAATTAGAGAGTTTAGAGTTGTGTCAAAGCGCGTCGAAGAATGCGCTTTTCAACGTTTATTGGCATTTAATGACATTTAATTAACACCAATATAATTTGCGCTGTTTCTAGTTAAGAATTTAAAGCTTTAAAGTGCATATGAAGGTATTTATTAATGTTGAAAATGTAATCCTCGATAATTTATTTACTTCCGGTGAAATTTAAGAATCTCGCGCATGTGTGCCGGACTTTTGGGTGCAGCCAATGACAACTTCTATTTTTAATATATTTATTCAAGAAAATCAATGATAATCTTACAATTAATATTAATTTAATGCAACAATTTAGATTTTTTGCTGATTATGATGTAAATAATATCTTTGCATTGATTTCTTCTTGCTGGTGTAAAGTGTAAAATATCATCCAACTATCAATTATAACCTGCGCGCTCGTGGCTATTTACCATGCAGACACCATTCGTATAAGGACTGTTTGGCGTTTGCTGGACTCATTCCTCATTTCTGATTTCATTGCGCACAACTTGTGCTCACAACTGCTCCCACTTGTTGTTTAGCAAGTCGCTCGCGCGCGCCTTGCTTCCGAAGAAGCAATCGAAGCGACAAGAAATCGATAAATTCAAAACGCTCGACGATCGACTGTCACGCCGCTGCTCTACCGAAGAGAAACTGTTACGACCTGTGTGTACAACCACCACAAGACAAAACAAAGCCTGCGACTATGTGCATCTACATTATATCGGACGTTGGCGAGCAAACGCGCAACGTGCAAATAGTGTAACAGGAGAAACTTTTTACTCGGCGAGCAGCGCGTGCATAAGAAATGGAACGAAGAAAATTAAACCAAGATATTGGTATCGAGATTAAGTCAGAGTGAGATGCTGTGATGCTGCTGGAAAAGTGCACTGCGTTCTGGTATTCTTAAGTTCTTTACTTGTAGAATGCAAGTTGTAAATTAAAAAAATTATTATAAACTTGCTTTATTACACTTGTGCACAAGCCAAGAAAGTCGAAACTATTTTAATTCGTTTGTGGTATCAAGTTAAAAGTGTATTGTTAATTTAAATTTAATTTCTTGTTTACTTACAGCCATGATCCATTCGGAGTCGATCGTCGCGCCGCTTCGGCCAAACCGGAAACAATCAAAATGGCGAACGCACGCTTCAAGATTAGGTAAGTTGGTTTCCGACGAAATTTCGTACTTGTTGTATCATTACCCGAAGTCATTTTGATGGTTAATCTGAAAATAACATCAAAATAATTAAAATTTTCTGTTTTCTGCAAATATGGAACAATTGAATGTCATTCTGTCCACAAACGTTAAATTCTTCGCATTGTTTTGTCTTGACCTATCATGCGCAAGCAATACGAATAAGTTTAACCTAAATTCTTTTGTATCTTCTGCATCCTTTGAATCTTTCTCGTTGTTGTTTTGCAGTTTTCTTTTTTAATTTGTATGCATTCAATATGTAAAATATTTGAATTTCAATAGTGCACTTTATGGCGTTGTCGTGATTTCGTGATGAAAGCAACTTTGAAACTAATAATACTCATGCGTCACAAGATCTACGTGGAATTCCTTACAATTTACAGCATCGCACAATTGTTATTATTATCCGAAATTACATTCTATCATTGAAAATTATCCATTATTGTAATATCACGACACGGACAATTGCATCGTTAGAAATGGATAATATCGGTCATAACAACTGATTTATTTCGATTCAAAATTAAACTAAATTAGAAGTAACTGACACAACTTTCCAACATGAATCGAGCATTAACCAACACGCATTGATATAGAAGGCAATAAAATAATGCTGGCGGTTTGTATCTTGTGTTATTGATAAAACAAGTAGCATTTTCGTTGGAATCTTGTATATTTTATGAAAAAGAAAAGCTGACATTTTCAACCGCATTTATACAATGTTTGATAATTTGTAGCGCTATGTATTTGTTGAAACTATCCATAAATCGTCGCTGAAATGTCAATAAATAATTCTCGCTGAGCTTGACGTCTTCGATTGCACTTTCAGTTGTGCGCTGCGCTTGCTTGCGGTTTTGATTTTCTAGTTTCGGAATTTACGGCTCGTCGTTCCAAACATTTATTAACACATTTCAGCGATAAATATTACGAGCAGCAATGGATAATGAATTTCTTGAAAACTACCTACTTGGAAGTATTTTATACATGCAGGTGTTAATAATTGTAAATTTATTAATAGCGAGACGACGAAAATTGTCTACCGGTTGTTACTCCTGTAGTATAGGCAACCAGTTATATATACATAACCTATTTTAAAACTCCAAAAATTTAAAATTTAGAAAATTTTGTTGTTTTTGTTGTTTTAACACCATGTAGATAATTCGAAAATGTCGCAATCGTTTGTGAAGACGTTAAATTATCGATTGAATTAGCAATAACGCGCACAGCAGGAGAAAAACACGTCTCTCGCGAGTCTCAAGTCTTTGAGCAAACTCTTCAACTGTTTATCTAAACATTTCGAAGCTGAATAATATTATAATGTTTAACAAAAGTCGCACAGTCACAATAATTGTCTAGTTCAAATGTTAATTCGATTTTAAATTAAAATTGCTTTCGTCTGATGACAAATCAATGCCAATCCATGATAAAATTCCATTTTAATTGGAAACAAGTGAAACAACACTTTGCGCAGTACTAAACCAATTGATAAACCTACAGATTAATTGAATTATTGCCTGTTTGCCCTTGATAAGCACTAGAAGCAAAATTCCTGCCCGGACACTTTGTATATAACGTGCACTAGTGCAATCATCGTTAAACACGCTCAAGTCAACGTTTAATTTCATTGACTTTTAGTTACAGCACGTCTTTAACTTTTACACTTACAAGTTGAAAGAAAAAAGAAATGCAGCGCTTTAGTGTACGCATTTGAAGAAAACATTGAAAAGTTAATGTGGCGACGATAAATCACCACCATTCGAGCTATAGATCATTCGGTTGCGCGGCTATTTGCCCAACATGACGCTTAAGCTCTAAGCTAAGATGGAGTTTAAGCCTACTTAGCATCAGGATACAACAAATACAAGCGTAAACTTTTTTTTGCCTTCGAGTTAGTTTCAGTGCTTTTTGTTCGTTATTTTCGGTTGTTGTTGCGCTTCGTGTTAGCCTCAAGAGGCAAATTGGTGTTAAAGCGCATGAAAAACTGACTTTACGTGGTTAACATGACACGGACATGACGTTTAATGATAATTAACTGCTTTTGAACAATTTGTCATTTTTAAAGCTTTAAATTAACTTTTTAAACGCCATATTTGGAAAATAATAATACACTGTAATTATGAAATTTTCAAATTAACATTTTTGCTGAAATAAAATAAACATTCTAGATTAATTTGACAAATATTGGAGAGTCCTGCTTAAAATGATTATATATAGAGAGATTATTCTAAATTAACAACAACTGGCTGGGTATCTCAGCGAGTGAGTGTATCTTCGGTGTTCGCGGTAAAATTGAAAACTCTCCGGTTGCTGCGGCGAGGAAAGCACATGCCTGACCTTTGATATTCAATCGGTGAGTCGGTAAATGCAATTCCAGCCTTCCAGCAAAGCCGCAATTCCGATTCCGATTCCGCCGCGGATCCGCGCAATTATTGTAATAACTCAGCGAGATTTAAGATATGTAAATGCTGCGCACGGTGGGTACAAAGAAGCCTTAAGACAAGAAACTTTTAAAGCTTTTAACTGACGGTCGGTTGGTCGGTTAGGTTGGAAAATGGAATTTTGTGAAAGTACACAATTGAAATTTTTGTTTCATTCCATTACCATTGCTGGTCGCTGCAATTATAATTACGCGAAACATAATCACCGACATTATTCTTCAGCGAAGAGGTAATAAATTAATGCAGGACGGTTATTATTCATTAAAAGATTTATTTTTGATTAAATGGGGTTAGGTAGGGCACATACGGCATTTTATCTCTATTTCATCATAAAATCGTCAACGAGCTACTTTTTTATTAGTATTTTTTGTAGGAATTGTAAAAATTATTTAAATTCTAAGAGAAAAAAATTGAAGCAAGAATGTATAATTTGACATAGAATACTCCATATTTAAATTACTAATTACTTTTACTTTAAAACATAAAAATATCGAAAAAATTCAAGGAAAAAATAAAGAAAAACAAAAATTACCTCTATAAGATTATGTCATTTAACATAGCTGGGTATAAAACTCGCATAAATTTATATTTTTACTGTTTTTTCGCTGTAAAAGGCAAAAAAATCTACATCGTCTACATTTACGTGTTTAACTGTTGATGGACTTATCTTTCCAACAACTTCCGTACTCTAGCTTTTTAAGTCCCTAAGTTGTAAACTTCTTCAACAGCACGTAGTGTCAAGTCATCTCATGTTTAGTCGCGGTTTTCCCAAGTAGCCGTACAATTATTAAGCTATATTGAATTAAAACGGTCGGCAATTAATGCCAACTCGTTACCGACCTACCGAAGAGCTAAACAGCTAAGCATCACATTGCAGAAACTGCAGGTGAGATGTCCAACTAGTCTCATCTCATTGCCAGCCAACAGAACGCAATAAACACGCAGGAGGTAAAGACACCAGCGGTAATTATTAACTTCTCAACTTCTGGTGTTTGCCACACGCTCAGCCTCATACATTCACTGGCATTAGATGGCTTGAAACCAAAATTATAGCAAGTTTCATCTTACACGTCAGGTTTTTAATTGAATTTTGCTCGATATTAATATCCGATATTTTTTTATCGGGTTAATTATACTTAACTAGAATTTGATGCGTGTGTGGTTTTGATTATAATGTTTATAAAATGACGCAACAAAAAATAAATCTATTTAGTTTTTTGTTCAAGTTTATAAACGGTAGCTAATTAAAATAGTTTCAACTTTTGCTTTTCGGTTTTAATCCTTTTAATTTCATTAACATTGAACTTTTGATAAAATATTTTGAAAAGAATTTAATCCTTTTTAATCCTTGTTTATTGTTCACGTCAATATTTGCAATTTTGGTAAGCCATGATATGATAAAAATGAATATTCAGGGTTTTATTTAATTTACAACTGGATTTGTAAGTTTCCATGACTTTTATGAATGTATTATTTTATATTTATAATGCGTGATGACAAAATTGTGGCGCAAGTGTCGAAATCTTTGAAGAAAATATTAAATTTTCAGTTTATTCATGCTTGTTCATTAGGGAACATCAAATATACATTAAAAACATATAAATTAAGCGCTTGATATCACACTTTTAGCTTTTTAACACTTAATTTTTAGTTTTTTACTTCTTTACCTCTTAAATAATCACAGCATGCGGTCAGATATTAAAATATATTTTATACTTCAACAAAAACTTAATATTTGCTTTAATTTTTGTATAGTTTAAGCGTCAAAAATTGGAGACACTTGGTATAAACTAGTTTCGTAATTTTAGTCATCAAGTCATTGAGTGAAAAAATAATTTTTGAATTAGTGCCGAGAGCGTTTCCTCTCGACTTGTACGAATAGTGTTGAGATTGGGCGTGAACGGCGAGTAATTATCATTTAAATAACTCCCAAATCATAAACGTTCAAATGCTAAATACTCAAATTCTTAAACCTGGAACGCATCATTTATTGCCGTGTAAATATTAAGTATGAAATATTTAAATAAGCAAAACAATTAAAAAAATTGAAAATAAAAAATGAAAACGCTGGAATGCTGAATGAAGCATGAAACCAGAAGGAATGAGGAATACGCAATCTTCGGATAGAATGACCAGCGACTAACTGCAGTGTACGTGCGAAGGAACGAGGAACAAAAGCTTCATTGTGCACATCGCCATTGCAGACCGGGCATTGCAAAGGGCAATTACAAGTGGCATTTTCTTCTGGCAGCAATGAAGCGTACTTGCAAAACAACTATGTAAAGTCTGTGCGCTGAAAATTGCTTCGGACGCAACAATAATCAACTCAAAAACGCAGACAACACATTTTGAGCTATCACTCGTGAGATGGCGTTAGTTTTATTTTAAATACATTATACATATTGGTACACGAATAAATTTCCTGTTCAATTTGCTTGCATAAACTTAGCATATCTAATAATGCGGATATCGTAGGTGCATGATTAACTTTTTCGATGTCACTACAACTACAAGTTGGCTTTTTGCATGCTGTATTTGTTTTATGCTAAACATTCCGTACAACATTCGCTTCAAATGATTTACACGTGGTTCGGTTACATCTCACGCGTTGTTTTCGTTTATTTTCTACATTCAAAACGATCAAGCCGCGCATGCATAGCTTAAGCCTTTGGACTTTTTGGCTAAGTCATGATGCGCCTAAGCGCTAAAAGCTTGTAGCAAGTATTATCCTTTTCTCGCATTGCATTGCATTGCATTGCGCTTGTGCGCGTTTTAATTAATTATTTGTCGTCGTTAATTGCCATGAATATTGCATGAGTGCCGTGTGCGCACATGTACTTTGAAGTACAAGAAGTGTACATGTGGTTTTCTTGCACGTCGTGTACAACTTGTAGAACTCTGCTTATTTATTTATGCGATAGATTTGCATAATTCGCATTGGTATTTCTTTCGATGTTAGAAAGTGCACGAATAAAAATGGGAGCTTTAAGGCTATTCAATGACAGATGGCGTTAGTTTTTAATTTTAATACTTACATTTTTAAATAAATATATCCAAATCACACTATTTTATGCATAATTTAATTTAATAACTAATTCACTTAAGTTTTTATGTGGATGGTTTTAATGAAACAAAAACTTTGCGTTGCTTATTAGCGTTGTACACTTTGGTACATCAGTTTGCGTTAATGATTCGCGTTGTATCTCTTCGCGTATCTTTTATCGTCCTGCGCGCCGCAGAGCGAGTTGGTATCTTTCGCTTTAAAAAGTCGTAAAGTTTTTCATCCGGCGTGTCCGTCGAGTTATTGAGTCTTTTGTGTCGTCGGGCAGAAGTCGCTGGGCAATGGGCTCTGGGCACTATGCACCACTCTTGGGCGAGTTCGGAGCGCCAAGTTCTTTAATCAAACCCGCCGACGGCGGCGTATCGCACTCATCAAAGGCGCGCCGCGCCGCGTTAAACCCACAGCTCGCGAATGCATCAGACTGGACATCGGCACATCAGCGAAATTTTTAAATCACAAAAAACACTGGTACCGAACAAGTTGAAGAGTTTATCACCTTGAGACAATGTCACATTTGTACGAACACTTTTTCGGAAAGTTTAATCAGTCTATAAATATAAATATATCCGTTTTATATTTCGCTGAATAAAACTTAGTCTTCTTGAGATTCGTACTCGTACTTGACGTCTTCTATGTCTTCAGCACCTAGAGACTGTCTAGCAGCTCTTGTGTTGAACCACCCGTCGCACCAGTTCGCGCGAGACTGAAGAGAGCGCGCCGCGAGAACGCGGATATACGCCGGACACGCTCACCTATGAATGAATGAATGAATGAACCGACAAACGGGCACGCACGCTGCGAGGAGGGCACGCCGATGATGCCGACAAGGGGGATGAAACAGTTTGCACCGGCGTTTGCGGGGCCTTTGTTGTTGCGCTTCACACGTTAATACGACTAATACGAGGTTTTACTACAATGCGCAATCAGGGAAGCATTTAAAATTTTATTTTTAACCTCAAAAGTTGTAGAATAATATTTTTGATATAATATTATGTTGTGAACTACTGCGCAGGCGCAGTAAAACCTCTAAAAGTTCGTATTTTATTTTTGAGATGTTCTAATATTATTATTTTTATTTCGAAAGAATGTAATACGGTCCTGGGTATTTTTGCATAGAAAAATCCTATTTACTTGCAGAATACCGGTCACCCCTTTTTTGGGGTTTAATAATTAGTTATGCTATTTTGAGTACCAGTACCAGAAGCACCGGTACGGGTGGTAACTACCCTTCTGCGTGTACTTCATACAAGTTCGGTATTCATTGCTCGAATTAAAAAAAAAACTGGAAAATACCTGAAAAAGCACAATGCTCGCCTGACAGCTCAAAATCCACAATGAAAGTCATGAAATTTTCAATATGATATGACAGGACATGACGTGATCAAACAAAATTTAATTCGCAATGTGAATTTAGATCGTGTTCATTTCCACACATTTCAGAAAAACGATGATAACTAGTGCAAATCGTAAACTGAATAACAACACACCCACATTATGCTTATTACTTTCTGCGATCATAACACATACTTGTTGAGAGACTTGTAAGAGAATTGTTAGATCATTATGCGTAACGTTTGTGTTTAAATTAAACTTCGCGCATGTTTGATTTCGCACACGCTGTGCGTTTGTTTTCCGACACGAAAGCGTGTGTGTTTTCACTCGCGGCAGCGCAAAATCATTAATTGTTTGGGCGTTTTGTGACCGGTGTGGCCTTAGACTAAATTTACAGCGTCTGTCACTTGAACGCGCGCGCCGGCGAACGCAAATCACAATATGCCAATTGAAACGTAATCGTGTCGGTGCGAATGCACATTGCAATCGCAATTGTAATCATTATAATAAACAAATTAAATTGAAGGTTTCCCGCGTGAACAAACAAGCATAAATCAACAAGCGGCAGCAGGAAAATCGTCACTTTTATGTAAATATTAAAGTGTTATTAACAAAGTAAAGTAAAGTACAAAATAATTAACAAAAAAATACATGATATAATTTAAAACAAGATTGTGTACAGAAATAATTATCATTATTATACTTAATTTAAATTAAAGCCATAATATCTCATTTTATTTTCGTATTTTGTATTGTAATTACGAAAATTTGGCAATTTACTCACTCATAACCAGTTTCGTTTTGTCCTCGCCGGGAGTTTTAAACATTTATCAGCTTCTCTGGTAGCACACAGCCTCTTTAATTTCGTCTCAACGCACGTAATACGCGCGCAATAAATGCGAAACTACCGTACGACGCCAATAATAATGCAATAATGGAATTAATTAAAAAAGAAAAAGTCCCTCTTCGACAGCAAGGCACTCATAAGAGGAAGGTCTCTTCGACAGAGAAACCCGAGGACCACACACGCTCCGCTCATATTGACACATTGACTTATTGTTGTACGCGCATAATGCACTCACTACAAAATAATACACACAGTAAGTACATAAATTTCCTGCGAGTTGATTTCAATGCGATAAAAATTAATCGGACACGAAGATTTCTGTTCGGTTTTAATTAATTACATATTAAGCGTTTAGATAATCAGCTAAATTGTGTGTAATATTTAATAAGCACTTTAATACAATTCTAGAGAGGTGTTGTTACACAGCAAGGAATAAAAAATGATGATGGTAATATTAGATGTGTAATGCAATGTAATGCACCACACAGTCGGAATGTCGATTGTGATTCGAGAGAATCGCGGCGAATCTTTTCTTCTGCCCAGCATCAAGGAATCAAAGCAGGGCAATTTCTATTCATGAATCGTAAATCAATTCTTTCTATTGATGCATTTTTTGGGTTGTGTGCTATTGTTATTCGCTTTAAAACTCCACCCAAACAGATATTTCTCATTTAAGGCTTTGAAAATATCAATTATATAATATGATAACACTTTGTATGTTTACAACAAACTAGAGCAATTTTCAATTTATATGCAATGTCTTTGTTTGGCTCGTATTTTTAGATACACTGTAATCGACTAAATCATAATGGTGTAAATTGACATGATTATTATGCACAATTAGGTTATTAAATGTGACAATAGGACAATGGTCTAATATATCAAAGAATTTTATAATATATGTTTCCCGCTTGAAAACGCCAGACTGCACCATAATGCACGTCCACATCATGCGAATTTGCATATTCATAGGCATATTTATCACCGCTGACGCCTGCAACGTGTTAGTATGTGTTGTCTATGCTGTAATTTTAGTGTTTATTAAAGTAAGCGACTTATAAATTTGTATAATTTGTCGACATTTAGGTTAGGTTATTGTTGTCTACAAATAATAATTATATTTAAAAAAATTCTCGCACAGCTCAGATCGTTGTGATAAATTTATTCGATGACTGAGTGTCGTGATTAACGAGTATAGGTGAAATAAATTTCATGGTGCATTGCTTAAAACTGAATTATTTTAATTAATAATGGAGTTTAAACTATTTGTTTTTTTTTGCTACTTACAATACTTATATATGTAATTTGACGAAACATGTCGCAGTTTTATTTGAAAAATTTAGGAAGTTCATAGAAATGAGTTGTCTTTTATATTTAAACTCAGTAATACTATGGCCCCTGAAACTAAAAAATCAGCTATGTGCCAACATATGTTTCTTACTACGTAAAGTAAAATTTATCGTTAAAATAAATTTATTTTTCTTAGTGAGGTATTAAATGTTACTTAAGTTACGTTGGTTGCGTTAGAACAATTTAACAATATTTATGTGACATATTGCGGTACAAAATGTAAATTAAAGGACATCAACTTCTCGGTAAAAATCAATTAGAAAGTTAAGCAAAGCACCACCTTTGTGTCTTCACAGACTTCGATTGATTGACACGCTTTCCTCCACTTTAACTGCGTGAATCTTCTTCATTCACTGATGGGCGCTACGGGCAACATGCACTCGATATTACTTGTACTTGTAATGTACTTTTACATGGTACGAGTAAGGATCGATCAATCCATTCGTCGGTTTTTTATTTTATTTTGTTGACATGTAGTTACTTACACATTACAATGTTGCATGCAGCTACTTGCAACCACAGCTTGAATTAAAACTTTCTTTGCTCTTTAGTTGTAACTCTTAAGTTGTAGTTCATGAAACTTTTAAGTCTTTCGAAATGCCTATCATGTATTAATGGCTTCTCATAAAATCTTTTGCGCTGGTTGTGTGTTAAATAAACAAAGTGGAAATTGCGCGCGCCGCAAAAAAAGGAGATTGAGTTCAGACGTCAGATGCGCAATGCGAATATTAAGTTAATCGTTATCGTAAATTAAAAGATTGCGAAGATTGCACAGATGCTTTTAGCGAAACTAAAATTTAAAAGTGTAAATTTCGTTTTTTAGTGATAGAAACCAAAGTTTCAAACTGTTAATTAAATACACCTGAGTCTATAATAGTACTTAAATCTTTTTCGTCCGAAAACGATTCTCATGTTCAAATTTATCTTCTGTTCTTACCTGAGAATCACCAAACGGTGGCCAAAAAATGTGGCCCCTCGCAAGTTTCGTTGTCGGGTTGATTTTTTCGAATTGTTATTCAACCCGCCAGCGTCATTTGTGATTATTTCAATTACAGTTTCGTTCCGCACGGCGAGAAGAAAGATTCCTACCGCATTTAATGACATAATGACGATAAATCGCCACGTAGGGTAGTCGTTTGCAGACGGGTTGCTTGAAATTAAGGGTTTCGTAGTTAATTAGCTTCCCCAGTGGCATCCATGCCATCCACTTTGATTTATATCTAAATTACTAATCACGCTATCGATAGAGCCTCACACGAAAATCTAAATCAAAAAAAGGAGACGAGACACAACTTTCTTTGACCCCTGATTTGAATGATCATATTTTATTTGTTTTAATGCATTATAAATATTAATTGTAGTCGTAATTAATTTCCACTTTCGTGGTTTGTAACATTTAAGGCTATTAATCAATGTTTAATACGATGGCGATGGCGAACGAGATGAAAGCATGCGATTAATTACTTTTTATGAGTATTATTTGCGTTTCCCACAAGTAGAAACAAGCAACGCACATGCGCAAGAAGAAGGTTCTTGTGCGCGGAACAAATGATAAATTGCACCTTTACGCTTAAAAATTGTTTATCCGCTATGTCTGCTATTGATATGCTAATTAATAATGATAATAATTAATCGTGCGCTTTAATGTTAAACGCTCACACGATTTGATCGTGCGTTGCCGAACATGATTGTTAATTAAAAATGTCTTTGTCCGAAGAAATGGCTAAAGTTTCCTGCACAATTTCCCAGAGACGCATTTGTACAAAAGTGCATCGTTGCGTTCGGTATGATAAAGCAGAAAGAGTGCTAAGTTCAACCACGCGCATTCAAACATGAAAACGTTTCTGCTTTGCACAGCGCTCATTCACAATTTACACGTATGCACGTACGACGTGTGGGCTTTGGCCATTATTATAATCTATTAGTGCTTCATTGTTTCAATTAATTATCATAATTGCTCGTAGGCACGACGTGCAAAACCGTAAATGCAAAAATGCAAAAACCATATTTATTTCTTCTCTTTGTGCAACTTTATACTTCAAAACTTTTGTTGTAGCATCGTGAAGTTTTGCACAAAATAAGTGCAAGAGCGGATAAAACAAGGCGCTCCTTGTTTCGTTTGCAATGCGAAATGATTAAAGCGTCTATTGTTTCAAGTTGATATCTTTTACAGATGCATGGCTGCTTCTATGGGTGGCTGTAATAAGTATCATTGTTTTAAGCAAAATCTTGCCGTGGATTCATTTCACCTCTATAAATTTTTATATGAATGATTACAAGTAAAAATATAGTACAGACTTACACCGCCACCTGGTTTACACGTACCAAAGCTGTAATAGTCACATGCAGTAGGCATCTGCATGAATGGGTTGTTGCCTGTGGTTTTTGTATTGAACTTTTATAGTAGGCAAACCAACATACGTTACAAGTACAAAATATATACGTGTATATATTTAATAATTGTTCAATACTTTTTTAAATTATTATGTTGTTATTCCTTGGATGCAAGTTGCACTGCTCTTTTACCTCCTTTAGGTTCCTGCTTTAATAAAAGAGCGCAGGCGATCTGTATTTCACTAGATATATTGCTCTAAATTAAAATACTCATTCATAGGTGCCGCTAGGGCTTCATTTTTATTGCATTCAAATTGCAGCGTACAAGTCACTCTTCTCTGCGGTATATGGCAATTACGAAACAGGTCAATATTAAAATTATTTCCAATATTAAATAACCTCGCTTGTAATGGTTATAAACGTGAGTAGCAGTTAGAAAATAATTCGTATATTACCTTCAAATTAGCAATAGCTCTATACATTTTAAAATGTTTGTATCACGAAGCAGTTATTAGTATTTCGCACTATGTAAACAACAGCGCGCACGTTTTGAAACTAGTATGGTTCCGATCAGCGCCAAGTGCGTATTACTCTTTGTATATTGTGTTTTATTCAATATTTTCATTTTTGTCTACATTTTATATATAGACTTTAATAGTGGCAGTGTTACCCTTAACGATAAGCGTTTGTGCGAACTCCAACTTCTGTCGGAATAGTATTTAAATCAGCCTAAATTGAGTCTGCACGAGAATTGCACCGCACGTTGCACGGCTTAACACCTGGTTTCTTTCTCAGTATATAAAGTATGTGTGTAACTAATCATTCTTGCATCGAATTGTAAGTGTTGTTGTAAATATTGTAATTTTTTAGTAAATTCATGATGTAGTTTTGTGATTTTCATACGTGGAAACCATTAAAATAGAATTTTTGTCTTTTGACTGTTTTTTACACTTTTTGTTTCAGGGCTCCAGGAATTGAACGGCACTTTACAGCAGAATAATCCTTACTTCAAATTGTAAGTATTGCAAATCTTTATTATATCCATGACTTAATTTTGTAATTTTTACAGGGAGATGAGTGTCTGGCAATAATTTAAGTTTGCCTTTGAATTAGTGACAAAAATTACATTTTTGTGTCGCAAAGGCTCACTTTTTGCTTGTTTTAGGTGTTCGACATCCGAGCCCGACATCATAGGAGAACCATTCTTGCATCAGATTGTAAGTACATATTTAATTTCTTTATCATTTGCCTAAATAACTTTTGTGATTATCTTAGAAATTGACCCCCAAAACTGCATTTTTATGTTCGAAGGACTAATTTTTGCTTGTTTTAGAGATATTGCACCTGAATCTGACATCGTAGAATGATCATTCTTACATCAGATGGTAAGTATTTAATTTCTTTATCATTTCCCAAAATAACTTTTGCGATTATCTCACAAATTGACCCCCAAAATTGCATTTTTATGTTCTAAGGACTAATTTTTACTTGTTTTAGAGATATTGCACCTGAATCTGACATCGTAGAAGGACCATTCTTACATCAGATTGTAAATATTTAATTTCTTTATCATTTGCTTAATTAACTTTTGTGATTCTCGTACAAATTGACCCCTAAAATAGCATTTTTATATGAGAATGACTAATTTTTGCTTGTTTTAGGGATATTGCACCTGAGTCTGACATCGTAGAATGATCATTCTTACATCAGATTGTAAGTATTTAATTTCTTTATCATTTCCCTAAATAACTTTTGCGATTATCTCACAAATTGACCCCCAAAATTGCATTTTTATGTTCGAAGGACTAATTTTTGCTTGTTTTAGAGATATTGCACCTGAATCTGACATCGTAGAAGGACCATTCTTGCATCAGATTGTAAGAAATTAATTTCTTTATCATTTTCATATGTAACTTATATGAATCACTTATGAATTAGCGAGAAAAATTAACTTTTTGTGTTTCGACGCACTGATTTTGCTGGTTTTCGGGGATTAGCACATGAACGCGTCATCCGCGTAATATCAGCGAGGTCCCTAAAGATGTAAAATTCAATTCTTCATGGCGTTATATTCTAATGTCGTAGGAGATGTACCTGTAGAACGGTATTGTTAGATAAATTGTACGTTTCGTACGTTGTTATGTCGATAACTTGTAACTGTTTACATTTAGTCATTTTGAATAGTTTTTGGCTTATATATAACATGGATTGTGCTTTATTAATTTTCGTTCAAGTGACTGAGATAGAAATACCAGGATGATGTGATAGCAGGTGAGCTAGAATAAGAGAGCAATACTCTAAGTTTCATGTTCAATCCATGTTTTTTATATGATCTGCAGAATTTTCTACAATTTGTTTTTACTTTTCGTTCGACCTTGGCTTGCGCAGCACGCCGTGCGCTGCCATTTGAAATTTGACCAGTACCGCACTGGTCACCGTGCGTCGTCGGGTTCAAGTGACAATTTGCTATACTGCTCAGTACATCTTGCGCTGACGTATTGGCTGTTATTTTTTCCTGTTTAGTCAGTGGCACGGAATTGTGCTGTGCGCGCGTGTTCTCTTTCTTCTCCGCCCTTGTTCGTCGCGATTTCGGGCGATTTTAATAAGGTGCAAGCCTTATAATTGTTTAGTCATCAATTGCTATCAACTACTGGACAAGTGATTTATCTCGAATCGACTCGATACTTGCGCGTGTGTTAGCCATCATCCGCCGGCCGTCGGATCTCTTACGTTGGGCGTACGGATTCCAATTGCATTTATAGGCCAAAATGGTATTGTTAATTGCAAAAGCAATTCAGTGAGTAGTAACATCAATTCTACTAACAATTCTACTTTGTGTGTAACTTTTGATACGAGAGCGTTGTGGCTTGATGATACGTAGGAAAATGGCTTGAATCGTACGTACGTTCGTTTTATTTAAAAAAATGAAGAATGTATTGCTAAATACAATTAATAAAAATCAATTTAAAATGAAACTCTTATTCATAGTTCTTTGTAACATCCTCTTTGTCGCTTTCAGGATATGCGTTTTAAATCATATTTCATATGAAGTTTATGTGAGTGCAACATAGGTAAGGCTTGTGTTGTTGTTTTTAAAAAGTTGAATATAGTAGAAACATAAATAGGAGATTCAAATATTAACGATAAAAGCACTCGGTGGTCGAGTGGAGACGTGCACCTGCTGGCATGCTAGCAGACACGGATCGAATCTCAGGTATAGAAGGCATTTTTCTCAAATATAAAAATATCAGATGTAATTTGGGTTGCATATATAATTGCAATGAAGTATAAGAGAAATTGAAATACAAGTGAAGGCAATAAGAGAAGTAAGAAAGTAAGTGGAGAAACGAGAACAAGAGAAATTAAAGGAAGTAAAGAATAGGAGAAGATAGAAGGAAGAGAAGAAGAGAGTAAAGTAGAGAATAGAGGAGGGATAGATGAACAGGGAGGCCTAGATTTTTAAATTTTTTGGCACGTGTCGTTATGACAGTCTAACTGCTTCAATGCGTCCATCGCTCCCGGCCCAACCTACAGCTACGATGTCTCTACGCTTCATCCCCAGGATACTCAGGCATATCAACAATTTTTATGGTGGGGGATCATCCCCAGAGAGAGGGAACTCCTTATAAGGACAATCCTTATAAGGACTTGTAAAAATATTTCTAAGTTTTAAGTCATCTCAAGAGAGGAGACACTTAAAAATATTCTTACAAGTTCTGAGCAGTACCTGAAATGAGAGAAAGAATACACAAATCATGAAGTAAACCTTAACAATTTTTATAGTGGGGATCATCCCCTGAGAGAGGGAACTCTCTTAGAGACCTGTTCCTGAAATGATAGAAGGGGTACACACAAATCAAAGAAGTCAATATATCTTACTATTTCTTTATTAACAATAGAATACAAGTTTAGATTTTACAAGTCAACAAAATACATGCCGCCATATTGAAACAGGATTTACGACCTGCATAGCCGCGAACATGCAAGCAAGTAGCACATCGCAAAGTACAGCCGGGATAAAGAAATTAATTAAATACCTAATTGCGTGATTAAAAATGGAAACAAATATACAGGGAGTTACAAAAAGAAAATTTAAAGTGCAAACAAAAAGTTTTCATCGACAAGCAAGAAAACTAATATACAGGGTGTTACAAATAGAAAATTCGAAGTGCAAGGAAGAAAAACCTAAAAACAACAGTTAAAGCTAAAGTTTGACGGACAACAAGAAAAGCGAATATACAGGGTGCTACAAAAAGAAAATCAAAAGTTCAAAAAAGAAAACACTAGGGAATGACAAATTTAGAAAACTTACAATGTGACATCAAGAAAAACAAACATACAGGTGTTACAAATAGAAAATTCGAAGTGAAAAGAAAAACCTAAAAACAACAGATAAAGCTAAATTTTCACAAACAACATGGAAAATGAATATACAGGGTGCTACAAAAAGAAAATCAAGTGTTCAAGAAATAAAACATTCGGGAATAATAAATTTAGAAAACTTATGATGGGAAATTTTAAAAAAACATACAGGGTATTACAAATAGGAAACTCCTTAATTTAAAAACAAAATACAAATTTTAAGTAGAAAACGACCAGGAAACGATAAATTTAGTCAGTTTTACATGAGAGGACAAGGAAAAGTAATGCATAGGGCGATATAAGAAGAAAATAGCTACATTTAATAAGATAATAAAAATTTTCGATGCAGAGAATTAGATTCACGAGAGGGTGACATAACAAAACTACAACTGCATTTTTAATTAAGAATAGAGAGCTAGAAGAAAAATCAAAGAAAATTAAAATTTATAAAATGTAAAATTAAAAAAAGAAAAGGTAGGAAAGTGATGGATAAATAAAACATCAATATGATTTTATTGAGATCCTAAAATTTACTTTGCGATTGGTTCTCCAGATACGCCACAAGCAAGGCAAAATGTGTCGGCTGACGGCAAGTCTGTACACACGCGGGAAGTAATTTAAATTGTCTATTAAAACATGTCTCCGCGATTGGAGCATTATGACATTAAAAGAAAATGCAAGCGAAGAAAAATTCAAGCTATTAAATCGATGATTGACATGGAAAAAGCAAAGTCTGCAGCGAAACCGAAAACGCATCTGACGGCACGCGTCAATTTTGAGTTATTACGGTACTTGTTACGTGTGATTTAAGACAAAAATGTAATTACATAATTGTGATTTAATAAAGTTTATAAACTTACCAATGTGTCGGATAATCAAAGAAAGTACTGAAACAAAAAAAGCACGTGTGTGAGAATTCGCACTATGATGCTCACTTATTTAAACCCGTTCCGTCCCATAATGAACATGCACTATATTAACCGACAATATTCCCGCGACATCCTGTCAAAGACAGACGTTAATCACACTTACTCAAAACTATCCATAGGATACATATTTCTAATTTCAATTCTCAGCATCAAAGTAATCCAATAGCCGAGGGACCACTAACGCATGGATGAAGCTCAAGTTTTATTATCATTTTACCCGGAATTCATCATGCACAAAACACTATGCACGTCTATTGTTATTAAGTGCCGATATTTATGCCGATTTTTAATTAATAAATAATAATGTAGTTAATGTAATCGAAATGAATAAACGGAAGATTCCGAGCGGGGTGCAGTTACGAAAAGACTAAAATGATCGAAAGTTGGTAGCGTGAACTCAACATTGCGCGCGTTTATCGCGAGACAAAAAGTTGTTTATACACAAACCCCGATAAGCGCGAAGAATTGAAACCGAAATATTTCAGATGTGCACTAAAATACAATACAATATAATGTTTCACATCAGTTATAAACTTCAACGCAACTTACAAATAAGATAAAAACGATTGCACCAACGGATCCCGAGATACAGCCAAAATTCCACCGCATGTTTCGAAAATTCATAAAAGTCGTGAAAGTTTGTGAACGATTTTAAAGAACTTCCAGTATAATTTTGGGGAGCAGCAAGGCCGTATCATATAAAATACATCACGGGCTATGCAAGTTTGAAAGAATCATTAAAATCGCAAAAACGGTTCCTGAGATACGCAAATTTCCACCGCGTGTTTCGAAAATTCATGAAAATCGTGAATGTTTGAGAGCGATTTTAAGACACTTCCAGCGTGACTTTGGGGGGCAACAATGTTGTATCTTATAAAATGCTTCTCATGCTATGCAAATTTGAAAGAATCATTAAAGTCCCACGAACGGTTCCCGAAATACAGCCAAATTTCCACCACGTGTTTTGAAAATTCATGAAAATCGTGAAAGTTTGAGAGCGATTTTAAGGCACTTCCCGAGTGATTTTGAGGGGTAGCAGGGCTGCATCATATAAAATGTCTCTCACGCTATGCAAATTTGAAAGAATCATTAAAATCACACGAACGGTACCCGAAATATAGCCAAATTTCCACCGCGTGTTTCAAAAACTCATGAAAATCGTGAAAATTTAAGAGTGATTTTAAGGCGCTTCTAGCGAGATTTTGGGGGGCGGCAAGGCCGTATCGTATAAAATGTCTCTCGCGCTATGCAAATTTAAAAGAATCATTGAAATCGCACGAACGGTTCGCGAGATACTTGATAATTTATTTCCCCGATTTTCGACAGTGAATATCTTCTAAACTAAAAGAGATAGCAACCAGAAAATTGTAGATTATGGAAGAATGGAAAATTCTCTATCAGATGGAAATGTAAAATAATTAAATTAAAGTGGTAAAAGTTCTAAAACGCGACTGAAACTGTTAAAAATTGCAATTTTTCAATTTTTGGCGATTTATTTCAATTGCGAATATCTCGTAAACTAATCTACGGATAATTTTCTATAAGATAAGCTAATTGAAATGCATGTATCAGAAATGAAATTATAATTCTTTAAAAATGGACAAATGGGAGTCAGCTATACAGTCATCCACGTACGAAATGAACACGAGTCACTTCCACCGCTGCCCTCATACGGTGCCTTGAACACGAGTCACTTCTACCGCTACCCTCATACGGTGCCCTGAACACGAGTCACTTCTTACAATGGGAACTCAAGAAAAACAAACATACAGGGTGTTGCAAACTGGAAATTACTTCATTTATACCAAATACGCCACAAGCAAGGCAAAAGGTGTGGGCCGACGGCAACTCATGGCCACACGCGAAGAGAAATTTAAATCGTCTTCTACAAATATATTACTCTCAAAATTAATTGACAAACTACTAAAACACGTCAACGCGAGAAAATGCGAGTTGGAATAAATTCACGCTATTAAATCGGTGATTGACATGTCCAAAGTGTGCAGCGAGACGAAAGACGCACCCGACAGCATGTGTCAATTTTGAGTTACTCACGTACTCACGTTACATGTGATTTAAGGCAAAAATGTAATTATGATGTAAATATGTTTACAAACTTACTTATGTATCGGGTAATCAAAGAAAGTACTGAAACAGAAAAGAAAACACCTGTGTGAGAACACGCACTATGATGTACACTTATTTAAATACGTTCCGTCGGATAATGGATTAGTAATATTTTAATCGACATCATTCCCGGTAAATCCTGCCAAGAACAGACAATAATTACACTTACTCAAAATTATCAATAGGATACATATCTCATTGGAATTCTCATCATCGAAATAATGCAATAGCTGACGTAGTGGTCCGTCGTTCACATGAAAACACGAGTTTAGTGCAAATCATCCTTAGCATAACACTACACACTTTTGTTGTCATTAGGTGCCGATAATAAAATGTAATGTAATTAATGTAGTCGAAATGAATGAAAGAAAAGTACCGAGCAGCATGCAGGTAAGAACAGACTGAAACTGTCGACTGAAACTGTCGAACGATCGCAGCGTGAGTGCAGCATTGCGGCATTTATCACGATATACCTAAAAAGTTGTTTATACGCAAACCTCGATATAGGTAAGCGTGTAGAACTGAAATTGAACATTTACAATATGCACTAAAATAAAATGTGCAGGTATAGTTCCACCAAATTTCCACCGTGTGTTTCAAAAATTCACAAAAATTGTAAAAGTTTGAGAGCGACTTTAAGGCATATCTAGCATGATTATTGGGGGCGGCAATGTCGTACGGCGTAAAATGACTCTTGCACTAACTAAATATAAAAAATTATTCAAATCTCACCAATGGTTCGCGAGGTACCGACTAATTTCCACCGCATGTTTCAAAAATTCACAATATGTAATTGTAAAAGCGATTTTAAGCCAAGGCTAAGGCTAAAAAGTTTGAGGACGTTTTTCGGGTAGTTCTAATAGACTAAAGGGGTTGGAAAAGCATCATTTTAAATACCAACTCTTTCTCTATATCGTGGCTAAGAAAAAAATAAAAATTTCACAGTTATTTCGGAAATATGATCCAATTTCCACCTTAAAACACTGAAAATGCGCGAAATTTAGGGGTGTTTTTCTGGTAGTTCTAGTAGACTAAGCGGGTTGAAAGAAACATGATTTTCACAAACAAACTCTTTCTCTATAACTTGAGCAAGAAAAAACTAAAAATTTTCCAATTATTTCCGAGATATGGACCAAATTTCCATCCCAAAACATTGAAAATATTGCGGTTGGGCGGTTGTGCTACCTACATATCATTTTAAAAAAACAGCATTTTCGCTATACGAGAAAACTGTGATTATCTAAATGATTCTCAAGATATGACTCATTTTCCACCACAAAACACAGAAAATAGGCAAAATATTTAGCGAAACTTTGGAATTGTTTTTCTGACAGATCTTGTCGATTGAAAATCCACAAGTACGCGATTACAGAAAATGAAAAGTATAATTGCAATATTCATTAATAATCCAAATAGGCGACGTGGTATACGAAAAGCTATGATGCGATTTTTAATTGATAATTCTGAGATAAAATACCCCAAATAACAACAACAACACACTAGATTTCTACCTGTGCGAGCCTGCCTGAGGTGAATTTAATTATTTACTTACCAGTCATCTTCCATACATGTACGGCAAGTACCTACTGTAACAAAATAATACTATGTAAAACATTTTGCATGATACTAAGATATTACACATCAAGTACCGTGAAATAAAACCTTATATTAAAACATGATTCATGTATACACATTGATATGTATTACTTACAAGGTAACATGTTCTCGCGACTTAGTCATTGTAATCCATGACATCCAACATCCGACAGAGAAAAATATCACGTTTTCTAACATTGCACACACTATAAATCATCAGTAGCACGGCACACTTGTTATTATTACATTGCGTTGATACGTGATAGAATGTATAACTCAATTTACCGAATCAATCGCTATCGGAACATGGCAACTCGCGAAAGAAATACACAGAATAACTACTAGAGCACATACTCGTAATTTCTACTCGACTCAGTATGTTTCGGCGACGGCGATAAGTCATTCACAACTGCGCGAATTGAATCACCTGAGTTCCATGAATAGTGTGAGTTCCGAGTTCCGACGGCACATCGTCTCATGGACGTAAACAAATAAATCTAACAGATAAAACAAAACCTGCTGCACCAATTCACACTATCACACACAGCCACGCACGATTCCTTTTAAGGCTATGTACCCTCACTAGTACCTACCAACAACAGGCAGCGATAACTGTGCTTCGAATTTAATACAAATATGTGCATTCTAGCGCCATCTAGGCTTGATTTAAAGAATTATTGATAGATTACCAGTCTGTTGGATGTTAATAACGCACCGCGTTCATGTATTCTGGAAATATAATTTACCGTAAGTGATCTCGTGATTACTAAAACTGTACCTAGATTTATTTGTAGTACACAAATTAAAGGGTCGACTACACTGTGCTAAAATTTATAAAATTAGCTAGTGCTAGATAGTTGAGTCGGCGTATATACAAGATATATACAGCTTATATTTTATTTTAATTTCTAGATAGTGTAGATAATTGGATGCCTTTTGCTTCTTGAATAAGGAAATCTTTGAAATTTATAAAATTCGCTTACATTTTCATAATACACATTGAGTGCACAATAAGTTGCCTATGGTGAAACCTTGATCAAAACATTAAAACTGGTTCAACAAAATGTTAATATTATTAACACTGGATATAAAAACAGCATAATCGTATTAATCATACAAATGCATGAAAATTCATTCATTCAAATTATAATTGTGATAATAAAATAAAAATGCGCATAATAATTATATAAATAAAATTATATACAATTGATGACAACATTTTATCACCTCATTGGTCCAACACAATAGTTATTGCAGAATAAGTTTTGGGTAAAATCGGATGGCGCGTCAAAGATTTATTGTGGCAATTGGTAGTGATTGGGCACAATTTCGGCACTATTTGATCTTTGCAAGTCTAGTGTAGTCAACAAAACTCAACTTAGACTTTTCGAAAATAGACGTAAAATATTAACGAGCCGCATGATTTAACAATACCTCAATATAATCAGGCAACATTTAGCGTTTGTGCGGAATTGTGTGCCGAAAAGAATGTTTCTGTGAAGGCAAACAACTGTTCGCTATTCGAAAATATTTATACCTGGTTAGATGTTTAGAAATGGCGTCAAAAGCAAGATGTTAACTTCAAACATACGATTGAAAAATATTTATATCTGTGATGCATCTTCACATAATTAAATACCTATGTGTTAAATAATAATTTATAAATTTTAGTAGTATTATTTAAGACATTTAATATTTAGTTCTAGCTACTTGTCGCACCGATACTTGTTGCATCAATTTTTCGAAATGTGCTTCTGGGATTTCTGAACACAGTAGGTACCGGTCAGTTATACTACCGCAGATTATAAAAGATACTCCGTTATAATCCCTAAGCGTATCGCATCTTTGCACCACTTTCGTAATTCTAGGTAAATACTTAAAAGATTTGTAACATAGCGAAAAAGAATCGCATGACAATAAGCCGGGCGCGCTTTGCGCATCATAAAGATAGAATTAAAAACTACGCGGGCGGTAAACAAATTCGCCTACTAGCCGCTCGTAAACGCCGGAGAGAATTTGGAAAGCGACGCCGACAGTGCCGAAAAACGGTGCATGATGACTTTACGACGAAACCCCCTTGTAAACTAATTATTTTATTACTCGACCTCTAATTCTCCGGGTCGCCGGTTGCAATGTCGGCGTAATCTTCGATAACTCCTTGTCGTTTTGCGCAGATTTTATAATCTTCAAAAATATACCGTCCGAGGTCTGAAAATCGTTTTATTACTTCATAGATGCTATTTAGATATTTCCGTAAATAGCAATAATACATTTTATTTTATGGAAAATTGGAAGCTGTAAACGATTTACTACACCAAAGATTGTTTAAACAGCTGAAAAGTAAAAGTCCACGCCGTCCAATTCTAAATCTGAATAATTGAAACTAAACTTATTCAGAGATGAATGTATACAAGATAAAAATTAAATATTCGCAAGCGTTTATAATGCGAATGAAAAACAAAAGAATTACATAAGAATGCCGCGCGGAAAATTGCAATTCCGCCCACATTCGCATTCGTTTTCAGTTGCGTAATATGTGTGAATCGATAAATTTACATTTTTCCTCTTCACTTTTTCAAGTGCAGTTGGCAAAACAATTCATTAAACTTGAAATCCCTCAATTATCGAGTGTTTGACGCTCCAAACGCGCTGGCGAAAGAAATGAAAAACGGGTGCAAAAAGTGCACGCGAAAATGAATGAAACGCGTCCGCTCGTAAATATGCGCGAAGAATGAATGAACCAAAGTGTAATCACAATAACGCGAATAACGAATAGGTAACGAACGCGGAGCGCGCCGGCGAGCGCGCGCCGACTGAATGAGCGAGTGGAAACGAATTAAACGTAATTATGCGGTTCGTAGTTATCTTTATGGTTAAGCGCTAACCATTTTATTGCGAATTATGATGATTATATTAACGCAAAACACACAAGTCGCGCACGTACGAAACGGGCGCGTTTATTCGTCGCATCGATCGTTTCCCATCGAACACAAAAAATGTGCGTCACATAAAGTGGAAATTTGCGGTTGAGAATTTTTACAGAAATTAAAAATTCATTCAACTATCGTTAGTGACGGCAATATAAAATTGACAGTTGCAGCAATATATAATCAATACAGGTAATTATTTACAAACATTTAAATGTAAATACATAATTCACGGAAAGTCAAGCAAAAGTTAATCAACAATAAATGTCAAATAAATAAAAATATACACTAAATTGAGACAAATTGCACCCTAGCACAATTCTTACTTTCGTTTTCATTTTTGTTAGCATTTTTTATTGTATTTAATTTAATTTTTGTTTTATTTGCGCCGAGCGCTCCCAACTTTTATATCCACGCGCAATTTTCGACATTTGCGCTTCGTTAGGTCTTTTATTATTCTGATATGTGAGCTCGTATATTAATTCATTTGATTCGTTTCTATTTCGCGCATTACTTTATTTAATTTCGTCTCGTTAGTGCCGAATTCGGGCCACGTGTACTCCAGCTTTCGGCAGCTTTTTATTTTAATTTTGCGTTTATTATATTTTATCACTTTTTTAATATTGAAACAAATTAATTTATTTTTCCTTTATTTGAGTCCGTTTATTAACAAACATCATCCCAACCCCGAGGAGAGTCACAGGAGATAATTAAATCTAATATAAAATAAAAATTAAAAATATTTTTCGATAATATGAAAATAACGTTATTTGCAATTGCAAAACACGCATGAAATAGAACTTTCAACATTCGTGCATTCATTACCTGCATTAATTAATAAATTAAAAATAGATTGGTGTAAACACTAACCTGCTAGTGGTCAAACTGGCTGTTTTGTAATGACTCTTATAATGGATTTCGTTATCAGAAGATGATGGCCCGCATAAAAATATTTTCAATGACTTGAAGAGTTTAAATTTTAATTACACTGTATGCAAAGTTTGCTATGAGCAAACACAACGCATGGGAACTGAGTAGTATATACGCACCGTGCGAACGTGAACCAATAGCAATGGCAAGGAATGGAATAAACTTCATAACTTATTGACGCACTCCGCCATCGCCGCGGATAGGGAATCCAAATATACGGCCAGGCAAGTCTTATTCAAGTATGTATTATGTGTAATATGTATATACGCTGAGGCTATTTGCTATTGATAATAAATGTACACATAATCTACAGGACGTTCAATTTGAGAATTTAGTACGCGTTGTGTTTGTTTCTTCTTCTTGTTGTTATAAAATTGAATTTTTTCTTCTTTCTTGTTCGCCCCCTAGAGCATCTCGTGAAGGTTGTATTTGTTTTATTTTCTGGTTTGCGTACATTTTATAATGCTACATGTACTTGACTAATATTACTCTGGGCTGCGAGAGTCTGCACGAAAAGCAAATACAAGGCCTCGCGCAGCTCGCAACAACGCCCGCGAGAGATCTTGTTTCTCATTTCGCTTTTCCATCTTCCATCTTCCAAATGTGTTACGCGCACCGAGTGCGTCGAGAAGTTGGAAACTCGATACGTCTCTCAGCGACTCTGACTTCGGACCTCGGCGGTTCGCCTTTCATTCCGCCTCGTTTCTTTTGCAACGAAGAAAAGGAAAAAAAAGGCTCGAAAATATTCACAATCGATAAGCGTTCGATGCGCCCGCCAGAAGTTTATGTTCAAACGAACGCAAAAACACAATTATGATTGATCAAAGACCAAACAGGCGAAACCACCAAAGGGTTATAACAAACTTTTGACAAGTTTTCAAGCGAAAAGAAGATGTTGTCAAGAATCAATGCCGCGAGTTTTGAGCGAAGAAGAAGATAAAAGAAGGAAATTTTGAATCACGTAACAAATTTTTCGAAACTGTGTGATAGGAACGAACGAAGCCCGTCCAGGATGGTTGAAACAAGAACGAATTGAACCCGAGGCCCATGTGCACAAGCCACGCAAGAGACTTGGGTCTCGCCTAGCTGCCTTCGCCGCGGTGCCACTGCCAACTCCGCAGTGACTCGCCCTCGCCAAGTCGCAACCGAAGTTGAAGTTGGAACATGGAACTTGTTCTATGTGTTGCAGACTATATCCCACACACCGGGTGCTATCCAAACAACCAGCCGAACCTTCTCGGACCCTGAAACCTTCACCAACAAACGACGAGTACGCGGAAAATAAATCCACCTTTTGCCATTGCTATGTCGATATATTCTAGAGGGGCTTGGACGGCGATGTGTTAAGAGGGCAGCGAGGTACGACGGCGTTTGTAAGATCCTGTATGCAGTGCATGGTTTGGGTTACGACTGCGTTGCCTCGCCTGCCCTCCTGCTCTAGCCTGCTGGCGGCGTTTCGAGTTTCGTGCTCGACGCTCGAATCTATCCGCTTGAATTTTCAAGCGCATATCGCCATCCGGCGCACAGCGCGTCGTCTCAGTTCCACCCACGCCGATTCGCGCCGCTTCCTCTTTCGCCTCGCGGCACGCAACACGCCGAACGAGAGAACGCCCGAGTCGGAGCGCGTTCGGTCTTCCATTCGTTTTTTACTCGTTTTCCATGTGCGCGCTCGGGCGCTTTTTTCCTACCGCTTCTTCCAACTATACTCTCTATGTGCGCTTCTTTTTTGTTGTTTTTCTAGTCGCGGCGTTTTTGTTGCTGCTTTTTGCGCTAGCCCAGTGCTGGGGAAAAAGTTTCTGTTTGCAAAAAGCAAGCGAACGACCAAACACTCGCAAAACAAAAGCTCGACAAACAAACACAAAACTTCACATGTAGAATGCGGAATATTTTTCTTTCTGCGGAGAGCGTTTGTTGCACATTCTTGCAGACAATGAAAATTGGAAAATTAGAAGAACAATGTAAGAATTGCAAATGCTTGTCGGGTTTTAATTCTAGGCTTTTCCGCGGTCGGCTTCTTGGAAGCACCAAGATAACGGTTGTGTGTGCGTCGTAAGGAAAACCCTACATTTTTGCAAGTTGTTTTCCCAACATGGCAATTTTTTACGCTCGCCATGGTAAACATGTGAGGCGCAGAGATAGTGTGTTGCCGCTGTGGGTCCCCCACTAGGTGGTTCGTCGCCGGCAAGCCGCCCTCGCAGCGCTGGCTGGCGTGCATGCGGCGTGCGAGCAGCGTTTGGTGGGGAACACGAGCGGGCTGATGGGTTTTTCGAAAACTAGCCTTCGCTCGGCGAGAAACTTAAAAATGCCGCCGCGAGCGACCGAATCGATACGAGGCTGTCGACGCACGTGACGCGCGCTCCGACCAATCGTAGCCGCGCGCCTTCCCCAAACGCGTCGACCGACCGACGGCGGGCAACGGCGGCACAACGCCACGACCCGACTGCGTGCCGTGCGCTCCACACACTCCTCAACTCGTCAGTTCGTACGGAGCGCTCGGTCCGAGCGCGAGCAGTGCCGTTCAGACCCATCCGCCGCTCTGCACGTATACGTAAGACCCGACACGATCCGAGTGTGTACGTACGTACGTTTGAATTCAGTGACAAGTTTCGAAAGTGACTTAAGTCGAAAGAGCGCAACTAGCTGTGCGCTGACCACATTGTGCGCGCGCGCGTGTGTGTTAAGTGTGAGTTTCGAAAAGTTCTTGAACCACATGCTCCTATGATATCAGTAGTGTCCAGTATGATGGAAGATCCGACGCAAGTGCTCTTCACAGAGCTACCAGTGCCGCTGCTATCCACGGCGGCGTTACTCAGACACCATCATCATGGTACGACTCGCTTCCAGCCCTACCACCATCGGCTGCACCAGCCCCAGCATTTTCACACCCCCGTACAGGAGCTGCACTATCTGCAACGTGAGTGCATCGAAGAAGAGACCGTCGAGATTGATCCGGGACAGACACACATCTCATCGCTGTATCCAGAGATCCTTGCCATCATCTTCGGAAATCTAGAGGTTCGTGACAAGGGCCGGGCGGCGCAGGTGTGCACGACGTGGCGCGACGCCGCGTACCGCAAGTCCGTGTGGCGCGGTGTCGAAGCCAAGCTGCACCTGCGGCGCGCCAACCCATCGCTCTTCGCCTCGCTCGTCAAGCGTGGCATCAAGCGCGTGCAGGTGCTCTCCCTTCGGCGCTCTTTGCGCGACGTCATGCAGGGTATCCCCAATCTGGAGTCGCTCAACCTCAGCGGCTGCTACAACGTGACAGACATCGGCATCGTCAACGCGTTCTACACCGAGAGCACCTCGCTCACCCAACTCAACCTCTCCCTTTGTAAACAAGTCACAGATCACTCTCTAGGTCGGATAGCGCAGTACCTCAAGAATCTCGAGGTGCTCGAATTGGGCGGCTGTTGTAACGTGACCAACACCGGGCTGGTGCTAATCGCGTGGGGTTTGAAGCATCTGAAAAGACTGAACCTGCGCTCCTGCTGGCATGTGAGCGACCAAGGCATTGGACATCTCGCAGGTCTCAATAGCGATTCCGCCTCCGGTAATCAGTCCCTCGAATACCTTGGTCTGCAAGATTGCCAGCGGCTGTCAGACGAAGCGCTGAAGCATGTCTCCACCGGTCTCACATCGCTCAAGTCCATCAATCTCAGCTTCTGCGTGAGCATCACCGACAGCGGGCTGAAACACTTGGCCAAGATGGTTTCCCTGCGCGAACTGAATCTACGCGCGTGCGACAACATCTCCGACATCGGCATGGCGTACCTCGCCGAGGGCGGGTCACGCATCTCCTCGTTGGACGTCTCGTTCTGTGATAAGATCGGCGATCAGGCACTCGTGCACATATCGCAGGGGTTGTTTAATCTGAAAAGTCTCTCGCTCAGCGCATGCCAGATCACCGACGATGGGCTCGCACGCATCGCCAAGACGCTCCACGACCTGGAGACCCTCAACATCGGCCAGTGCAGTCTGGTCACCGATCGCGGACTCAACATCATCGCCGAAAGCCTCACGCGGCTCAAGTGCATAGACTTGTACGGATGCACACGCATCACCACCGTGGGCCTGGAGCGGATCATGAAGCTACCGCAGCTGAGTATACTCAATCTGGGCTTGTGGCACGTTAGGTGAAACATCATTTCGTGTTAGTTTTTTGCAACAAATTAGTGAACGAACAAAGGTGATCTCCAATGTACAGTACTCTACCGAGATGGCGGGAGCAAGTGATAAGTTTGCAGAGAGAAGGACGTTTACAGACAATTTCAATGAAATTTAAATAATTGTAGGAATATTAAATTTAGTTAATTGAAGAGAAAAAAATTTAAACCACGTACCGAGATGTGTGCGCAATGAGCTGTGATAGTTATAAACGAATGATGTAACCGTTCGACTAAATTGGTAACTTAACTAAATGATCTTTATTATTACACTTATACTACCTATGTACGCAAAACACGAGTATACAACTAAACGGCAACGCCAACCACCTTCAATCGCCCACACAGAGATAGATTTCATCATCAAACAAACTAAGATCATCTCTGTTATCATTGTTTTTTTTATATTTTCCACATTTCTGTGTGGTGGAAAATTTGAAAGTGGTTGGCGCTGCTCACCTATGGCAACAATTTGCAATCGATTGAAAACAAGCGAAATTTCGTGCGTCAAACCAAGCCTTGGAACAACCTATGTGTATAATTTTGCAACCACCACCAAAAACCTCGCTTGTGAACAATAAACAAATTCGTTTTTCAAGACATACAACACGATTTTGAATGAACAATGCCCAAATTTGCGAGGTGCGAAACAATTGCGTCTAGCGAATCGCCTAGATACTACTGAATGAACAGCAGGAAAAAAACAAGACAACAAAAGAAAAATATTAAAATGGAAAACGCCGAGTGCGAGGTGCGCGGTTGTTGGTTGCTAGAGCAACTCCGCAACTTCGCCTTGCGACACATTTTTGCTTTTTGCGTTAGAGGCGTTGTTGGTTACGCGGGCGCCGTTGCTGCGCGCTGTTTTCGAAATCCAAGTAATTTTGCAACGACATTACACACCTCGCATCGCAACGTGCGAGCAATAGTATAAAATATGCCATGTTGTATGCACCTCAACATTGTTTTTCCAAGCCGAATCGAAATTTAACACACATTTTTTCCCCTTGAACATTTATCGTACGGTTTCTTTTTTATATATGATATTTTTAGGCTCTTGGTTTTAGAGTAGACTTTTTAATGTCCCTCGCAGCAAAAAGACTACGCGCCAGTTGTGTGCTTTTACATTTTTTATTTTTTTGATAAGAAATAATGCGAGATTCTGATAAGCCGAGAAGCCGTATAACAGCATAACGAACGAAGCGGCGCTGACGCAAGCGGCATAAACGTAAAATAAAAACGACGATATAAAAATGGATCTTGCGCCGCTCAGCCGAGCGCTGAAAGCATCGAAACGCGGAATTACACCTTGATAAAGATGCAAGAAGCGTGTTTTGCTTTACGCTTAATATCTTTCTACGATAGTCAAAGCAATTAAAAATTCTAAATTTCGATCAAACTGCGAACAACGTGTATATGTGCATGCTTGCAAAGCGCAGAGGCCACACGAATGCCTAAACAGGTCGAATCCAGTTTTTGCAAACGCGACAACTAACCACGACCGACAACATTTCAAAGAGTTCAGAATGTGTCAGCCATGTCAAAAATCAAAATTTATTTTCAAAAGAAGCGAAAAAACCCGCGCTGTAGATATGGATGTGTAACATTGGATGCGTGTCGAGTGTATAATGTGGAGACGTGGACTGTATTCAACTTTTTGGTTTTGGCATGAGAATAAGAGCTGCCTGTTGCTCTTTCAGGCCCCCGAATCAAACGAGAAGAGAAGAAGCAGCACACACAGAGCGCACATACACACATGACGCTGGCTGGCAGCACAGGCTGTCCGCCTTTTTCGTCCGTTTTCTTCTTCGCTCGGCGCGTCGCGGTCTCGGCATTCATTATTCTTTCCAGACATTTTCGTCTGGCAAGAGCCGCGCATCATCTCCGAAGGTGCACCCAACCTGCATCCGTTCTTTTCGGGCCGCAGCACATACGCCGACGCTTGTTAAATATAAATTCTTCGCGTCTCGCTCGCGCAGCACATCCATTCGTTTCTCGCACGCAGCATATTTTCAAAAGTGCTCGGCTCAAAGCAAACCCAGCAAAAACCAAACCAGCCGGGCGCGCATACCTGTTCGAAAACCGAGGGACCCTTCTTCTCGCATCCAATCCGAAAGGAAGCGAAGATGTGCGCTGCACGTGTGCTTTTGTCCGAGGAGAAGAAGAAACGGGCCGGTACACCCTCTCTTAATACGTGTGTGTGTGTGTGTATGAGCGAGGGTTTTTTTCGGACGTAATGCGCCCTTCGACAGACCGCCGCCGCTTGCTTCTCGGAAGCCTCGACCCAACGAGACCTTTTCTCTTTTGATGCTGGCGAGCGTGGAAATCTCTCAGATTCGTGGAACAAAACCACCCCGAAGTGTGTGTGTGTGGCGCGGCGGGTTCTACCTGCTGCTGTCACTCAAAACTAGTGAATACCACGGGTCGGGGTCTTTATTCTTCAAAATCTAAACTAAAACCCAAGGCCTGAGAATTTTTTGCGCCCAAATTCTAAATCTAAACCCACGAAATATAATGATTATTTCGAGATATCGCTTTGAAAGTGACAACAAAGTGCATACAACATTGGTAAAATTTTGATGCATTGTTAACGAGCATTGTTTATTGTTTACAGCGCATGCGAGAGTACTCTGTTAAAAGCTCCCCTGATAATTAATGCAACAATTTAAAAATTTCCCAATTTTTCCAATCAATTTCGTGATGATCAATTTGTTTGTTTGTAGTTTATCTCAAATTACAACCAGCACTCTAGGGAAGTGAGGAGAAAATGTGTTCAAAATTAATTTTACCATTAATTGTACAGTAGTTTTTTTTGTGTATAGAAAATTATGTTTACGTAACCGAAAAAAAACGAAATTGTTGTTTGTTTTCGTTTGATCATTAAATAATTTAAATTTTAACATTGAAACACAAAAATAAAACACGCACGTACGCAAAATAAATAAAAATGGCGACGCGCAATTGGCTTGTTGTAAATAATTCGTTTCCTACCAAAACGACAAATTGTTTTCCTGTACATATGTAACTAAAACTAAATCTAAACAACTCTAAATAATAGAGCAAACGAAAAAAAATACCGACCCGGATGAAGAAAATGCATGTACGGACTCACATCATACACAATTTTAATAAAGTCTTGTGAACCGTAAAAGATAATTCAAAAACACACAAACGAAAAACCAAATATATTGTAATTTGTTTCAAGAATGTTTTCCTCCCAAAAACAGCATATTAAGAAGACAACCGAGCAAGAAATAATTGAAGAACGAAGAACCAAACAAGTTGGATGCGTATTTGTTGAGAAATTATGTTATGTTTTGTATAAAGAAATGAGAATTGGAAGAGATGCAAATTAATTAATTACAAACTAAAAATTGCGAAAATGAAAACTACAGAAAACGAAATCTAAGACTTAATAAATACATTTTTATTGAGAAATCAAATCTCTCATTGTATTCATTTCCCCGAAAAAAAAATTATTACAGATGATTCTACACACTGCATACACGCATGTAAAGGTAAGTGAAATTAATTAAAATCATGGTGTGGATCAACAATTAACAAAATAACAACACAATCGCATTAATGCATGCCTCATTCGATTAATCTGCGTTTTGTTGTTGGAGATATTAATGATATTCAAGGTGCACGAAACTCACTTAGTCATTTTACGGATTTGCTGCACGTTAATAACAATACGTTATTAACTCACGTCGAATGTGCGTGATCATTGACAACGAATTCATGAATGTGGTGTTGAAACAGTACGATTTTCGGCGTGTTTCGCGACGGCTTTTAAAATGCATGATTGGCGGTGAACGCTTGACAGTGTCTCGAATCGGACACGGTCTGGGAATGCGCTGCAATATCATGTGAACTGGTCTACACGAGTTGCAATGACAAATCTACAAACGGTGCCAATCGCCTGCAATTGCAATTTTCCTGCCTGCACATTCACGTGACGAATTGCATTTCTCTTCCAAGAGAACATTCACATTTTAAACAAAAACACAATACGTATGCAATACGTAGTAATTAATAAAATGATAACGCCGCTAAAAATATGCCTACTGCATGTCTGGGATTGCAGCCATTAGGCCTGCCATAACGTGACATGTTATTGTGAGCGCACGATATGGTTTGATGTCCTTCAAAAGTCAACGTCCCAATAAACATTAGGTGCAATCGGAACTCGTATGATAGTAACAAGAGAATTGTTGGCTATGTGTGTGTGTGAGTGATGAGTATATGTAGGCTGTACAGTATTAAAATTGCACCTACCATTTGATGTTCTGGGATGCATGGTGAAATGTCGGGCGCACGGGAGCGCGACGGACGTGCGTGTTCTGAAATTTCCTGCCTCCAAGCTTCCTTCCATATAATATATTATTCTCGACTACACACGCTGGACGCCGGAGAACTCTTCATTTTTACGCTAACCTTAAATTACCTCATGTGCATGTGTTTTGCGCAAATGACAGCTGCAGTGTTGCCAACGCTAGGAATAGAAATTTCACTAAATTTTAGTAAAATTTTACATTTTTGTTTTAATTTCTTCTGATATTCTTTGTGTAACTCACGAATGACAGCTGCAGTGTTGCCAACTCTAAAAATTAATATTTCACTATATTCTTAGTTTTCAGATAAATAATGAAATTTAAGCAAAATTTATTGCTTTAATAACCCTGAGAACTTTGCAACCAAAAAACTTGCGACATTTCTTATCAAAAATGAAACCTTGGTTTTGTCTTCCATGTTGAATCTTATATTCTGCCTACGAACTGTGTGCGGAATGTGTTTCGTCGTGGATGATGGCAGTAATGTGTAATCCACTTACCGCAATAAAAAATAATTGGCACTCAAGGCCGCATCGGTCGCAAACACCACCACACATACACACGTAATTTTTCGACGCTCCATATTTCAATTTGTACACACAGCATCAGTTTCACAATTCTCAGATGCGAAAAAAAAAAACACATCGGTAGTTATGCAGTGTAGTGTGTTAGTAATTACACAATACGTACATATATCTACATATTATGTTTTAGGTGTAGTTGAGCATCCATCACACGAGGTGAGCCGCCGTGCATGCGAACATCCGAAATCGAAAACAGAAGCGATAAATTTTTTTGCGCGCGCGCCTCGTTTTTTTCCCCTCCGTCGCTGTTTGTTTGTCATCGGGCGCTGGCGAGCCGCGGAGCGCGCGCGGCGGCAGCGAGGAGCAACAAGTTGCTTCCTTTGCATATTGTGTGCTGTTCTCGGTGTGTTCCCTTCCCATCCCGGCCGAACCCGTCGACTTGTCGTCGCGCTGTAGCTCAGGATGGAGTGGAGTGGGGTGAAAATTGCATCGAATGCGCGCACTCCCGCAACACACAATAAATCACATCATAACGTCATAACTGGCTACAAAACTTTTTTCCTACCACAACGATTAATCAACTTTGTGCTCACCAAATAACTACAAACGTTGAATTAACAGATAGAGGAAAAAACTGGTATTAGGTTAAGTGAATGTCACACTTAACCTCAAAAAAGTATGCAAACCTGCTGAACCAGCTGATATTATAAATATATGTTTACATTGGGTATTCATGAGTTTGTCAAACATTCAGCTGACACATCCGATGCGTACGTGTGCTACATTTCCCTGTTTCCCCATTTATTTGCGAATTTTTCGACTCAATGTTGTTGATAAAATTCTTCGCATTTTTCGCCATACAAACGCCACGCATTGTTTATTTATTTTTTCCGTATTTCTCATCGCCTGCCGGGACATTTCTACTCTCCCTCGCGTCAATTCATCACAGCGCCGAGAATTTTTCCCTTTTTGTTTCACGATCGAGAACAAATATTTCGTTTGTTCGGAAATTTGCATGCACACTGCGTTTGGAAATCAATTAATTTCGATTTTATTTATTCGCGCGCTTATCGCATTTGGTATTACAAGTAAACATTGCATGCTAGCGCGCGTGGGGGGCGCGGGACGAGAAGAGGAAACCGCCCGGATTAAATTCGCAGCCGCGGTATCACTCGATTCGCGATCGGCGGCGACCATTATTAGTTCTATTTGTGTTTGCCGGGCTATTGTTCCTCGCGCAGCACAGTCATCGATACGTGTGTGCGTCGCTCCTGCTCCTATCGTCGCAACTCGCGTTTCAAGTGTTTACGTGCGCCGCGACGATATGATTGAAACGTGCGTTTCGTTTTTCAGCGCAAGGGGGCGGCAGGGGAGGAGTGGGAGAGGCGGCTATCGGCTGCCGCATGCGGGCATAGTGCAAAACATCAATTTGCTAATTGGTTTTAATAGGAAAGTACATACTTTCAACTTATAGTGATTTACAATTATCTCAACTTTTCAATCATAAACTATGATTTTTTAACTCATTTTAGGTTCATAACCTAACTTTTTCCCGACCAATAACAAATTTTACTATATATCTTGATATTTTTGAGGAAATTCTGCTTTTTTTTGGGTTAAATTCTTCGACTTTGACAATAAAACTCTTATCTTTGACTAATCCACACATTTGTTTATAATATCCTGTTCATAACCTAACTTTTTCCCTACTACTAATAAATATTAATTTATAGTTTGTTATTTTAGAGAAAAAAATGAATTCTTTGAGTTAAATTCTTCAATTTAGACAATAAAATCACTGTTTTTCAATATTCACTACATTTGTATATAATATCCGGTTCATAACCTAACTTTTTCCCTACCAATAACAAATTTCACTATATATCTTGTTATTTTTGAGGAAATTCTGCTTTTTTTTTGGTTAAATTCTTCGACTTTGACAATAAAACTCTTATCTTTGACTAATCCACACATTTGTTTATAATATCCTGTTGATAACCTAACTTTTTCCCTACTACTAATAAATATTACTTTATAGTTTGTTATTTTAGAGAAGAAAATGAATTCTTTGAGTAAAATTCTTCAATTTAGACAATAAAATCACTGTTTTTCAATATTCACTACAATTGTATATAATATCCGGTTCATAACCTAACTTTTCCCATATCATTAGCAAATATTACCATTTATCTTGTTATTTTGGAAGAATATCCCATTTTTTCAAATTCTTCGACTTGAATCATAAAACCACTGTCCTTGACAAGTCACCACATTTGTTTATAATATAATATCCTATTCCATTCTGTGTATATAATGTTATATGCTATCTGTAATATCACATAACAGCTCAACAAAAGTCTCTTTTAGTCTGCTTGCAGTACTCGTACATACTGCTATGCGCTGATGATAATAATAATAATAATTCCGATACAAATTATAATTCACGTTGCCATGACGACATCACAGTGGGTCGCCTGAATCACGACCGCCAGCGCGCAATATTCGAGCGTCCGTCGTCTAATGTCTAATGCATGGATTCGACAGACGCGTTATAAATATGTAGCAGCGAATAAAATACAGCCGAGAGGAAATTGAAATAACTGAAATCAATTTTAAGGGTTATGGAATTGAAATGAAATCTGCCAATGCCCTAAATGAACCTTAAAACTATTTTAATCTTTTGACGCGTTTTCCAAATTCGATATTTTTTTCATATTAAGCAACACCATAACCTATAAACTGCAACAAAAGCTAATAACGCAAATTTCAACTTTAATAACTGATTATTATTAGTTTTCAGTTTTACAAGTTTCAGAAGAAAACTTTGCGTCGGCCGGTTAAGTGCGCCGTGTGTGTGAGTGTGCGCACGAAGCCCCGGCATATTTCCGTTTATGCATATTTCCTGATTTAGATTCATAAAAGCCTCGACCATGCATGCGTACGTGTGTGCACGTGTGTCGGAGCTCATTTGCATGCACGCCCATGTGCGCAACTTGTAGATATATATACATACATTTTGTATATATGTATGTGAGTACCTGTCAGCCAGCGACCAAACCAACCAAACCAAGTCTCAAGAACGGGCAAACCGACAGACTAGCCACACACAACACTCGCGCACACACATATATTATATATACGCCAGAAAAACGTATAAAAAATAATAAAAAATAAAATATGAACTTAAGAAAACGAAGCGAAGCAAAGCAAAGTCCAAGTTATACACCAGGCCGATCGTCGAGCGCTGGTATTTTTTCCGGAATATGCATAATTATTAAAACTTCTCGGCTTGGCTTGTGTTGTGTTTTTTTTTCAGCCGCACGTCGCCTTTTCTTTCTCGCTCAAATCGGAAAGTTGGACGTTGGAAGTCGAACCGCGTATAATAACAATAAAAAACGCGGTGGTGTGGCCGTGTGGCGATCCGGCTGCGAGATTATGCGCGTATAATATAGGATTGAAACATAAAAACGGCTTGATATAAGCTCTAAATAAATATATAAATAAATAAACGCAAAAAGCTAATCCCGTACTTATCTGGAAAGTAGCACCATCTTCAGGGCGTTCGAATAATCATTCTGTGTC